TTTCTTTATCCTCAACACTTATCTGGTTTTGATATTGTAAGGAGAAATTCTGTCTTGGTCACTCATGGGAGTTAAAGGATTAAAAGTGAATCTTGAATTTATTTTCTGAGCTTGTTTTAATCAAACTATGAAAAGATACATGACAGCTTCATTCAGCCAATTTTTGATCTGAAAGTTTGCAGATTGCCTCAACATTTTGATTCTAAAAGTAATAAGCATCTACTATGATACTTCCACAAAGTATCACCCCTTAATCAATCATTAACCCTTTACACCCAACATCATAATGCATATTCTCCATACTGTTCTCTACACATTTCCTAGGTTCTAACAAGGAGAATTTGTAAAACCATCCAGAAATTCATTAGTCACTGATCATTTCCTTCATTCTCATGACTTAAACATTTGATTCAAGGGATAGGACCTGATCATGGTTTTATCTGAATTGTGTCTTTCTTGTTTCCTTTTCATTGCTTCTTTTTCTTTCCTTTATCATCCAAGACAGAAAGGAAATTGTTGGTGAACTTCAGTTTGCCTTTGTGTGTTTCCTTGTTGGCCAAGGTAGATATTTTGCGTTTATTTATTTATGTTCATTAATGTAAATATTATGGTGCAGTTGAAAGCTGTTTTTTCAAGAGTGTGGTTGCCCTACCTTTGTCACTTCCTGCATGGTTATTAAGGGCAACTATACTCTCTATGTAGTTTATAATTGTTGTAGTTTATGTGTAACTGTTGGGTATAGATAAAGTTGTTGTTGTTTTTATGAAACATTCTGTAAACAGACAACCTGTTTGACCTCAGCCACAAATAAATCTCATTTTAAGGGAGCTATTTCTTGATATTTTGAGTTGTTAAATCTGACTTTCAAACTCCTGAATATTAAGTCTCAATAAAGTATAAAAACAGCAGTGAATGTAAGCCAGAGAGAGATAAAACATAGCTGTGAATTAGACTTTTTTTTGGAGGAAAAAAACTACTGGTACCTCACTGGAATGGATAATTAGCTAAAAATTTGCATTTTTGGCAGTGTATGATGCATTTGAACACTGGAAAAGACTTCTCAATCTGCTGTGTAGTTGTGATGAAGCTTTGTCAACTAACAGTGAGATATTTGATGCCCTGATAGGTAAGTAGTCTGTTTTATCACTGAGGTTTTCAAAGCACATACCAATCAATTTGATATCTATTTATAATTTGGGAAAGAGTGACTAACTTGTGTATGATGGAGTTAAATGGTAAAATTGGTGGATTTCATCCTTCTACTCCTAAGATCTCATTGGTCATTTTCCTTACTGTCTGCTATACACTTCTTAGAAAGTTATTTTGGCAAATTTGTTAAATTAAATCGGTTATTAATCCCCAGTTGATATTTTTCTCTATTCTCATCAATTGTCTGCTTTATACTGTAAGGAGAAATTCTTTCATGGTCACTCATGGGAGTTGAAGGGTTTAAAAGAGACTTAATCTTTTAACTCCCAGTTCAAAGTTGTAATTCTCCTTACTGTCAACCATACAATTCTTATAATGTTAGTTCAGAGAATATAGTATTGGATCAGCCAATCATCCCCAAATTGATATTTTTCTTTATTCTCTTCACTTGTCTGGTTGATCTTGTATTGATATTGTAAGGAAAGTCATTCTGTCTCGGTCGCTCATGGGAGTTAAAGGGTTAAAGTGATAAGATACTGGCACAGGATATCTTCTATGCGAAAAAAATATTCGAGAGTTTTTGTCTGTTAAAAGATGGCTGACAAGGAAAAATCCTAAATTCCTTTTGGGAATAAAACCTGATATCCAGGGATTCCCAGCTCCTATGCTCTACAACTGAATCGCAGAGACTCTTTGGTGAGGTGGGCCAATACAAGGTTCAATTGTGGCATGCATCCTGTGTACCATTATGATCAGCCGTGTTGAAAGCATCATATGTGTAAATGAAAAGGTTGTAAATTTCAGCTTGGTAATGAAACAGAAAAGATTTTTCTTTGTCTCATCTGGAGTGTGGGGTAAAGAGTGTGGGCAAAAGGAAAAGAGTATTTTTTATTAGCTAAACCAACCATCTTGTCAACTACTGCATGTCGACAAGATGGTGTTAATCCAAAACAGTCTCCTAATTTTTGTAACTTAAGACTTTTTTCCTATTTGGGGAGAAGGTGGAGATATGCAGGACTAGGAAAAGAAAAGACCCTCTGTCATTGCTACTGTATTGATGCATCAGACTGCTTTGTATGAGGGGTACTTGTTACAAAACCTAAAATGACTCCTGATCAATTACTGAATTCTCCTTTCAAACAATCTTGTATTCCCTTGTGAAACTAAAGAAGAAGTTGATGTTGCATAAAAAGCCACTGAGAGTTTTATTCCCTACAACCCATCAGTTGAACATTATAGCCACATCACATAAGTGCAGTGGTGTTGGTTTTTTATTCTTTCTTTTCTTTGTATACAAGTTTTTAATTTGTTTCTTTTGCTCTTTATTAAGTTACTACTCTGCCTTGTTTCGCTTAGGTGTGTTGCATTTTCAAGTGCAAGAAATTCCAAAAGATTTCTTTGTGGACATTGTGTCAACCAACAATTTCCTTACCACAACATTGCAGGTAATGGCCAGTGAGGATAAATATTATTTCCTTTGTAAAGAGTCGTAATTGCTAACAGGAGAACCTGTTTGAAACAGATAGCCTTGGCACTATCACCAGTGTCAGCTGAATACAGCTTTAGTAAACTGCAGGATGAAATTAGTGTTGTAGTCTTGAAATGGAACAAAAAGAACATTCCGCTAGCTTTAGAACCTAACCCTTCCAATTCAATCGAATGAAAAAAATTTAACCGGTAACTGAACGTTATTACCCCACTAAAAGTATATCTAATAGTTAACTACATTAAGGTACATAAGTTTTAGATACTTCCTATCCCTAACATCATAAAAGGGTAATCGATATAGTGGAGAGGTGATGTTCATTCAAAGAAATTTATGAAGAGAAGTCATTACCAAAACTAGACACCCAGCAGAACTTAAAAATCGATGAGGCTGAGGCCTCGAGAAACTGTTTCCGTCCCGAGCCTCCCGCAGCTTCATTTTCACGCTTGACCCTTTAAAACGCTTCCACAGGGTGTTTCTGTTTAGGTCAATTTTTTTTTATACTTTTATCAAACGCTCTATGGAGATTTAGATTTCCGAAATTAAGATGTAAAACAACACTTATTATCCCTGAAATTATCTTGTATTAGATCGTATTAGGCATCTTTGAGCTTAGCCGAAAATCTTCCTAATCCTTTAGTCCTGTTACTTACGTGATTGTTTTGTTCTGTATTTCTTTGTTTGTATAGTAATTATCTTAACTCGATGTCGTGTATGCTGTTGTTTATCGCCTGGTCAACATTTCCCCCGCTTTACTCTATTTTATTCTCCATTCGCTTTTTCCTCATTCTTTGCTTTATTAATCGTTCAGGTGTTTTTCTCCAACATGGAGAGTTCGACGACTGCGGATAAAAAGTTAGTGGACAAGGCGCGGCGATTTCGGCTTCATCTAACCAAACGATTCAACTGGGATTTTGAGAGCGAGCCGGAGGAGTTTGCACCAGTTGTGGTTGAAACATGATGTGTAAACACCGCTTGTACTGAAATCGGTTCGGAGCTGGATTACACTGGTGAAAAATTTGTCGTCAGTAGTGAATGTAAACTTTTTTTTTCTTTGTTGGGCCGTCAGGAAAACCATCAAAAGGTCACAAAGTCATTCCCTTGTTTATGTTAAAAACTAGAGGGTTTGCTGGTTTTCCAGGAATAGCGATTGGGACGGCATAAGGTGTGTGCGTTGAAGAAGAGAATCATCTCGATTGTACTACCGTAGTGCTTGCTATAACAAACCTGCATTGCCTAGCGCGCACACCTGCAGCCAGCGAGCTGTAGATTTGCTCTAGAGGTATTCGCGATGGCAATTATACAGACAACAAAGCGCTACCTGTTCAATTTTCCCTGCGTGCCTGGCTGCCGTGCTCTGGATAAAAAAAATCTCTCCCACTTCAATGAGTGTCTGCGACATGGCTACTGTTTTTATGGATATTACTCGTGATATTTTTTTAACACAAATCTGAACGCCATCATCATAAAATTCTGGCCGTGCTCTTACTGGCAATATCAGTCAAAATTTATACCTCTGATTTAAGTGTTTAACTGTGAAGCGGTGTTCATTCAAAGTAATGAAACTTTCAACAGCCCACTTAAACGGCACATGCCCTAAAAGAAGTATGTCTGCTTTTTCTGTGAATAGGATTCTTTTATTTCCTTTTCTCATCTTAAACTATGATAGATTCAAAACCGCGATGAAGAAAGGAATTAGTAAATGAGACAAACTATTTTTTTTTTCTTTTTACCGCAAAAGTCATCGTGTACCATGAAATTCCAGACCCAGTACTCTACAGTATAGTGAAACTCTCAGTTAAAAAAAAAGCTCCACGTTCGACTGGACGGCGTGTTTTTGCTTCTTATTCTGTTCACTTACGATGCCGGATTGGGTAAGCCTTCCGTGCTTATTTTTCCAATAAGCCGGAAATTCTTAACCCTTCCCTTAATCTATCACATGCAATATTTTAAAATAAATGTTACTATTTTGCTCGAAATAGCGATCGAGCCCGGTACATTTCACATGGGATTTAAACTCCCCCTCTGTCCGCCTGCCTCACATCAGACCTATCTCCTTCTTTCAACCGCCCTGGCCTTCCCCTCCCCCGAGGGGGGAAAACCGTCTATCTTCAAAGCGTGACCCATATTAGCTCCGTAAATTTCCATGTTACACTGACATGTCTCAGTCCTTATACGAGAGTTCCTTTCCTCAACCTCCCTAAACCCCTTCTTCCCATCTTCCCTGATCCGCAATCACAACCGAAGCTGAGTTCCAACACAAAGCGTCATGGTAAATCAATGAAAAATTTGTGTCGGAACTATTGAATGAAATCTGACAACCTAACCACAGGGGGTAGCGGCTGACCCTCGTCCCTGTCACGATTATGAATGACTTCCCACAGTTTGGCACACCAAGTGAATGTTGAACAAGGGAGATACACCAGCAAAATGTCGTGTCCTCATCGCAGCGCTGTAGTGGTGATTTTGTGTCTATTTTCGCTGTTCCCTGGTTCAATTCGAAGTTCCCCCGGATACGGTATGTTTATGCTTTAAATATTTCATTGTTTTCTTATGCGAGGTACTCGGAGTGACCGTGTTCATCTTTCATTCTACTTTTGCGATCCTGTCAAGATAACGATAACTGTTTTTGTCTTCCATTGGATTCAATTGTGAATTCTTTCCATGGCTGCTGTTTGTATGATCTAGGATAATCAGTTGTCTATCAATCACTCATTTACGGCAAACGTTTCTAATTCCGTCATAAAAGGTGTTTATACCGTGCATTCAATCCAAGATTCCTCGTAAAATCATGGCGAAATGATAGCATTTAGATTTAATCATTAGAGTTGTAACAAGACTCCGAAGTTGAAGCTTAGAGCTCAGGAATTTATTATCAAAACACCACGAATACTTGCCTTTAAATACCTCTAGCAGAGAGCATAAAGCTACGATGAAGTAATTCTTCCATTAGGAGAAAAATCTGGAAGTTGCCGTAAAACACAAGTATGTCAATTACAGTAGTATCATTTACAGATACTCTATCAAGAACCTGGTTAACTGCGAAGTATTTTATCATAAACAGCGGCAAAAATGCAGGCTAATGGATTTAATAAACCCCAAATTAGTATTTTTGTTTTCCCGGTCACCATGTACATTAAACAGAAACATAGCCGCGTATAAATTCTGGAAAAAAAAACGTATTCAACCTTTCGCTAAGATTTATATTCTGCCTGGCTCGTCTACCAGAGAAGCAGTGTCGTCATGTTCCACCTCCTTCGCGGTCGCGCACGAAAATCGCAATTCGTGGTTTTCCTTAACATCGTCAAGTGATCTTTGCGTGCCACTATCCCCCTACAAAACCTAGAACAAGAGTGATGATCGATTTGTTTAACGTAAGAGTGTGAATTAAGAGACTACAGATGTGTCACCGATTCGCTCAGTTACACTCGTGCTGATGATAAGAACCTCATATACCCTCGTTACGGATTCGCGCAGTATGTTAGCTTTAAATATGCTATGATTTTAACAGTCCATTCCTTTGTCGTCTACGAGACTGTGCCGCATTTAAACAGCCTAGACTGAGAGTTTGTGAGTTTGTTAAAATATTATGTCTTGAACACAATAACAAAATGGAAAGGTATATCTTCAACAGAGTGATGATTTTGACACAGCCTGTCCAAACTTTTGACGAATTTCCTCCTGCCTTTCGTTCAGTATTCTGACGCAGTGGGTGAGGCTACAAAGCTCGCACCACAATATAATCCCCTCCTCTATCAATGTGGGATAAAGCAGAAGTTGCATGGAAAGACCCGACTTCGGACAAGTTTCGCAATAGCCCAGTAGGAGAGTTAAAAGCTGGGATTTTATTTCGATTCAATTTTCGTCATTACTTCTGCTCTGATCTACACGCGTGATCCTGATGTTAGATCATGTTACCACAGATTTTCTCTGATTACGGGCGATTAGCGCCGTCGGATTAGATTCTGCGGAACAATAAATAAAGCTATCAGGGTTCTAGTAACGCTCAATGAAAGAGTGATGACAAATTTCGTCTCAAGTAATTGAAAACAGGAACATCGGGAACACCACTTAAGGTTAGACTATTAACAGCATGCGTTTCACGTTAATGCTTCTTGACACCAACCTGACAAAAGTTTCCTGGTGTTTTTTGAGAATTATCGGTGGTTTAATGTTTCTTAATATGACCTTTCCTAAAAAAAAAAGGCTTTTAATAAGCTCTTAATACAAAACAAACGTGACCTTGACCTATGCCAAGGCGCGGTGTTGTGTTGCGAAGATGCTTGCATACAACCTCAAAGGGTTTTTTTTTTTCTAAAATACTTCAAAATGCAATACCTTGGGAATGAAATTAGACTACCTTCCGTCCTTTTTCACTCTTTTTATTCCCTCCCATCTAAAGGATCTATCAGTGAACTTTCTGGTTTAGTTCTCGAGCAAACCCCTGTTAGTGACACCTTTGTAACTCAAACCCTTCCCATATCATGTGAAGCTTGGGTAAGCTGTGGCTCTGAGTCACGCAATGGCACTGGAGGGATGGGTGGACAACGAGGCGGGGCCTATCGTGTGATAACCATAAACCTATCGATGCGCTTTCGAGCAAATAAAAAATTGTTGTCTCAATTAGAATACGAATCGGAAAAAAATCGGAAATTAAGCCCCCAATTTTTTTTTCCGGAAAAAACACAGACACTTGTTTTTTTCACCGGGAGTCGCTGTTTTAAAATACCCGTTTGTTGCTGAGCAACGACCAGCACCCACTTTTGTTCGTTGAATAGAGGGAGATAAACATTTATCCGTTTGTTACAGTGGTGGCAAAATTTTTGCCCTGTTGTTGGGGTACATGTGCTGTGTTTAAATTCATCTAGCCTAGTTTGGATAGGACTAGATTGTAATTGTTCCTTTTCTAATCAAAGCGTGTTTTGTTTCTCTGAATAGTCTTCGAACACAACAACTACTTTTACAAGTTTGTATTTCCTGAGGATGACACTCGAACTTGGTACGAAGCGGAAACGCTTTGTAAGACGCGTGAAAACGGCCATTTGACAAGCCTTGTATCTAACAGAGAGATCGAATGGGTAAATGGTGTGATAAAAAACGCCGTACGAGATTCGCAGACCAAAGTCAGGCTTTGGATCGGAGGGAACGACCAGAGAATTAATGATGTATGGGATTTCCTCGACGGGGAACCTCTACGGTATAATGTTGTTCCCTGGGCGCCCGGACAGCCATGGAGACCCCTGGATGTACATTACGCCTACTGTGTCTCTCTTGAGTTTGAAGGTGAAAGCTCAAGATGGTACGTTGAGGACTGCTTTAAGGCGCACGGTTATATCTGCAAGTCAAAGCGTAAGTTACAGTGGTGATAGCCCTTTGACATACGATGTGGGATGGGTTAGGTGACAGTAGTTGCGAAGCGAAAAAACCAAAGGGCCTTGGGTGGGGTCGTGTAACGCAATTTTCAGTGGTCAGAGGGTTTCGTATCAGGCCACGTAAGGTCTCGGTTCCACGCTGTTAAAGAAATTCTACAACGCTGGCATTCAGTGCCATAACCTAGATTCATAAAGATGTCATCGCAATGTGGTGAGTGGTTAGGGCGCTGGACTTGTAATCCGGTGTCTCGGGTTCAAGCCCCTCACCCCACCCGGCTACCAGCCCCACGGGGGGAGTGGTCAGTTTATCATTATCATCGCAAAAATAAGCTACCCATGGAATACCAAATGTTGTCAAAATATTAATCGAGGCCAATTAATACCTTTTAAGTAGCAAACGGCGATTTAAAAAAGAAACTCGACATGCCTGGAGAATCGGATCCTTCAAAATCTTCCAATTTTAGTACATGACTTTTTTTTGCTTTCTGTTAATGGGAAATTCCCTCTCTTTTTGCAGAGCCGTCTTCAAGAATCACGGAGAAAAAGAGATTCGGATACAGTAAGGGCCTTGAAATTCAAATACAACAAAATTAACAGGAAATGACATATGATGTTTTAAAAACATTTTGTTGAATTTGATTTGCGTTTAATTTAAGGTTTCGATCATATCTAATTGTCTTCCTGCTGTCCTCGAGACCTAGCCGGCCACACTGGTATCCTGTTTTCTAAGGGAAGAGGATGAGTGGCGGGGATGATATTTCCACTATTTTGCAAGATCACTCTTTGTCCTTTGTTTAGACATAAATAGTTCTAGATATCTTATCTTTACGCCGACCAATTCTCATTAACGAGAGCCTTGTGAATTTCAGGTTGGGAATGGGGAAATCACATTTACAAATTCTTCCCTCTACCGTGGACCGGTCTGAGTTGGACAGAGGCGGAGGAGTACTGCTCGGTAATGGAGAAAGGCCATCTGCTAAGTATCCGATCTCGGAAAGAAAGCCGATGGGTCACCGACAGAATCCGACAAATTCGTCAGGTAATCGGCTTCCGAAAGTTATGGATTGGAGCATCGGATTTTGGACATGAAGGAGAGTACGAATGGTCCGCTAAAAAACTACCTGTTACTTTCCAACGGTAAGAAAAGGGACAGATGTATTAAAATCGAAGAAGGAAAAAAAATGGGAATTCATGATTGTAATGATTCAATCAAAAGTCACTCAACAAAGGACAAAAAAAATGGAAAAGATAGGAGGGATGGAGAAAGATTGGGGGTACGAAAGTTGAAGGTTGAAAAGGATGGAAGAAGACAAAGGAAAGGACATAAAGGACAGATTAAAATGCGGGAAGGGAAGAGAAGTTGTAGCACGAGCAGAAGAGAAATAACTGAAACCTGAATGGGGAAGGAAATCGAACAGGGGAGAGGGTAGGGTGCTAACAAAAAGGGGGAAGGGATGAGGAAAATAAATTGTTCTTTTTTGTCCTTTCGATTTGAAATATTTTTGTGATAGAGCGGCAATTAGCCGGTATCCTGGCTATTGTGTTTACTGATGTACTCCTCGACTTTAGGCCGTTCCCATGAAGGACATTTCGAAGCTAGCCGTCACCCTATTCAGTCATCTTTTTAGCATCAATTCTTACTTTGTTTTTGCTTCTTGTGTAGATGGGCTCATGGCGAGCCTTCTCATTTCTCTAAACATCACAGAGAGGACTGTATAGCTATTCGTTCTCATCCTGATTGGGGAAAATGGAGTGACGAGAGCTGTGTGATGGAACATCCCTTCATATGCAAAACAAGACGTGAGTGGTGGTGAATGGTCCTCATTTGAGCCTCGGTTTGATTTCCTGGTCCCAGAGAAGGGGACTAGTACATCAAGTCGAGGCTTACTCGTGAACTTATCGCTTACAATAAAAGAACAAACAAAGTTTTCTTTCAAGTTTTGGCTAAACCGCCAAAGTTTCTCCTTTCTTTTAAAAAAGCCGTTCTTATTTTAAGAAATTTGCTGTCGCTCGATGAGGCTCCGTACGAACGTGAGTTTCAAAAGACGAGACGTTTGTTTCACGACTTTTCTTCAGGGAACTTTATCGGTAAACTTAAACACAGCATTAGTCTTTTAAGTTTTTATCTTAGTTCATATAAAAGACGCTATAGTGTTGACAGTCGTCTTATAGTTTTGGAAAAATTTTGTCTGCAGTTTGACCATAAGGAGATGTAGGGACTTCGAGGTTGCTTGAGCGCGTTAAAAACCAGGACCGGGAGGTCTGGGTTCGAGAGCTGACTGGGTCATTGTTTGTGTCCCTGGGTAAGAAACTTGCATCTTACATTACCCTCCCCAACCCAGGGACATAACTGTTGACCAGCGGAAAGAAACTTGTGAAAGAAAACAAAAGAAACAAAACAAGAGGCGGGAGTGGAGGATAGGGGAAGGGGTTGGTTTCGCCGATAGAGCCTAACCACTTTCTTTTCCTATTTCACAGTGTGTCTTGGTAAAACAGACTTGGCATTTATGGTCGATTCCTCGACATCCGTCGGCGAAAGTAACTTCCAGGAAGCTAAAGACTTTGTGTGGTCCGTAGTCAGAAACTTTCCAATCTCAAACAACGACACACGTGTTGCTGTCATCCGCTACTCCTCACAAGCGGATGTGATTTTTGATTTTCAATTCAGTGCCAAAAACAATGTACCCTTTCTCAAAGAAACGCTTGACAATATGGAATACGTTGGCGGAGAAACGAAAACTGAGTTAGCATTGGATCTCGCGCGCACGGGCCTATTCACAGAAAAGAGAGGATCGAGAACAAAAGTACCGAAAATTCTCGTGGTGATGAGTAATGGAAAATCGGACGACGCCTTAGCTGTTGCGCGTACATCCATGGCCTTGAAAAGACAGGAAGTGACCGTGGTGGTGGTGGCAATTGGTGACGAGGTGGACTTGGAGGAGCTGCTGTTAATGGCATCGACCCCTGAAGACGTCATAAGTGTTAGCACATTTAGTACGCTGAAGAAACGGGTGGGAAAAATCAGGGATAAAGTCTGTGACGGTGGGTGGATTGATTACGTTAAAACACAGGCATGCATCACTAGAAACAGTCTTTTTTATGGTTTTTTTCCTTTTTTCTTTTCATAATTGAACAGTACAAACAAACCACAACGATAACGATCGTTGATTACTACAAGCAGTCCTTTTCGGTTGGTGAAGTCGTTCGGAAATAATTAATGTCAGCGCGCATCTCGGAACTGTCTTTTCATGCACCCCACCCCCAGAGTTCTGTGTAGCGTGCTCACATACACAGGACGAAATCACATTTTTCCGTATTTCTGAAACGTGGCGGAAACATGCAACTCCATGTTTCCGTTATGTTTAACATGCACAAAAAGTGGTCCGGTTCCGTTGTATACGCAGCAACGGAAACGCGAGAAAACGTCACGAAACCGGTAACGGAAACACAGGTTATCTGTCGTGTTTCCAGAACGGTTTAACATGTTTCTGCCACGTTTCCGTTTACGGATTCTTGCAATTTCGTCCTGTGATGCTTTATTTTTTCTGGCTTTTTTTGACTCTCGCCGACTGCTCGTTGTCCAAATTGATTGTTTCTACAGTTATTTTAGGACCTTACGAGTCAACCTTCTGCCTTTTAAGTTTAATTGTCTCTTTGATCTTGCAGGCTTAGTCTGGTAGGAGTTTTCTTTTTTTATATATAATTTAACAGTTGCTATTTCATTGTTATTTTCAGAAATGGTTGAGAGTCAAAATAGGAGAGAGCTTGAGGAGGAAGAGGAAAACAGCGTTAAATAACCTGTGCGTTGTCGAAATGACTTTTCAATATCAATATGGCGGCTGTAGTAGCAGTAAATTGTAAATTCAATAGACTTTTTATTTGAAAATTAGACGCACAGTTTCATATTATCATCGTAGATTTTTGTTTTTTAATTTATTTATTGACGCTGCATTGAAGAACTTTTGCAAATTACTAGAGCTGGCACAACGGACGTGAATATAAGATGGAGACTGGGCCTGCACGCTCCAAGCAGCACAGGCATATTTTTTTAATGTCCGCATCACCAAAAAAAAAAAAGAAAAGAAAAAAAGCTGATCAAAAGAAAAAATAACTCCATTCGGAATGTGTCGAGAAAGTGATAGTTCATTATCGTATGTCCATTGAAAAAAAAAGAGAAGCTTGTGATTGATATTGTAATAGAGGTTGCGATATTTTTTCGTTTTAAAAGTTCGCACGTTTCGAATGCATCAGTTGTTATTTTGGCTAGATTTTGTGCGCAGTTAGTCCGTAAAATCTAAGTTGGAAATAAAAGTTACTATGTTCCCAAAACAATAGCTTTGTGTTGCCTCAGTTGAGATGATATTATTTTACTAAAAATAACTGTAATTTTCAAACCTCAGATATTTGCACAAGCAAACAAACGCACTATAAATAACTCAGGAGTCCAATAAATGTACCATAAAAACCGACATTTACATTTTTGCAGAGATGGTAAGAAAACCATCTCTTTCCATTCCAAAATGCTTCACAGTTACGGCTGCCCTTAAAATCATATTGTAGATGAAATAAACAAGTTAATCTTAGGGCATTCTCTCATGCAAATTTTATCGAATACATTAAAAAATTCCTTATCATACCCATCATCGTGTCTAGAATTCTTCTCCTTCCTGATGAGAGAGAGAGAGAGAGAGGAACCCTGGGGTTGAGGTCGAATGATGCACAAGCAAGTGCATGCCCAGTTACCCCTTTACCAAGGGGTAGCGAATCGATCACGATTTACTAAATACACACATTAAATTCTAACTCCACTTCTTTCTTCACGACACACACATTTCTTTAGCGGCCATCAGTACACTGTACTCCTGAACCACCTAGATTAATTTTCCAGTGTTCTAGATGAGAAAAGGTAATGTAAAATTCTGTTCAGCAGTTCAAATTATTTAGGCTAACAATCGTTATTAAGTTCACTCCAACGACTTGCCGCAGTCACTGCAAAACTTGTCTCCAATTTTGCTCGGGTGCCCACAATGCCTACAGAATCTTGTTCCCGGCTGAGATGCCCCATTCCTCTGCTGTGCGGGGTTAAGCGAGAGAAGAGCCGACGTGCCAGGCCTGTTAAAAAAATACCCCGCAACGACGGGAAACTGGAACCTATCTGCCATTGACGGGCTACGTTCAGGTGGGCTGCACGTGGAATGAACGGGCTGAAATGCGCTAGGTGTATTGGGGCTTTTGTCGTTCGGACTCTTCAACGACTGCGCTTGCGCAGCAAGAGCTCCTGGAAACATATACGACGGAGACTTGGCGATGGGAGAGAACGCTGACTTAGCCTGATTGCCGTCGCAGGGGATAAAGGAAGCAGAACCGTAGCTTCTAAGAGGAAGAGGCAGGCTAAATGGTCTTTGATTGTTCTCCGGTAGAAGAGACTCTATAGCTTTGACCAGGTCTTCTTCACAAGCCCCAAGGATGAGCTCTAGAATGGCTCTACTTTGATCAGGAAAAATCCGCTGGAGAAGTTCTAAAGAAAATTTAAATGCTTCCGTTTCTTTCCTGTGGGGGGAGAGGCGGGGTACTTTTCGTCGCTCGAAATCAGGTTCTTTATCGTCATCAATGGAAGATCTCTTGTGGTTCTCTTCAGCATCTGAGCCGTGATCTTTCTCAAAATCTTCCGGACTCACTGGTTCTTCCTTGATTTTAACCTCATAGGACTCAACAGATTTTGATTGAGAGGTTATCGGGGTTTTTTTAATCTCTTCCTTTTCCAGCTCTAGACAAAGGAACGAAGACACACACGCTTAAATTGGTAGTTTAACAAGTACGGGCTTCGTAAATTTAATAACGTAACCATAAAGCGCTGAGGGTCTGAAACTCCACGTGGAGAACAAAAAAGGGCAAAAAATATATAACCCGCGGCAAAATAGGAAAAAAACACTCGCCTCTAGCTGGTGATATATTTACAAAGTTTTCAAAAAAGGGCAAAAAATATATAACCCGCGGCAAAATAGGAAAAAAACACTCGCCTCTAGCTGGTGATCTATTTACAAAGTTTTCTCGTGTTCTCTACTTCTCTAGGTTACTACCGATCTTTGGAAAAACTGCAGACCATTAAGAGCTTTTTAAAATTATTTCTGTAAATCGTATGAGACATTAATTTTCTTTTTTCGATTTGAAAATGAATACCATTTCGAGTGTTCCATTAGAATTTCTCATCGGTTGCTCCTTGAGTTTCTGTGATAAGTTAAAGCTGTTCCGGAGATAGATCTATTTTACTTAAAATCAAATCCATCCCAAAATGTAAAAGCAAGGAATTTTTTTTGTATATTCTTAATAAATTTTCGTCTGGAAGCCTCTTAAATAGATGAGATGATGGTTCGTTGTGGATTAAAAAATAACCATGTCAGAGCATAAAATGATTATTCCCTCGTTCACTTGAGGGTTACTTATCAAATCAAATACATTTTTGATTCAATATTATTCAAGCATTCTTGTTCTTTGTCTTGTTAGCCAAATAAAGCAAACAAAAAATCGAGAGTAAAAGAATCTATATGCTAAGGCTTTACGTTTGCCGGGAATCGAGAAAATCATTAGATCGCTGGCGAACAGTGATGTAAAATATAGCCGAGTTTGAACGAACTTCTTTGTCTAACTTACTTCAATGGACACTTTCCTAAAGATGGCTTAAGAGTAAAACCACCTGATTCTAAGGTAAAGAAGTCATTTATATCAGCACCCATACAGCCATCATCTATGTGGTGATCTTGTAAAGTTTCAAAGTGCGCCAGTGGTGATTCAGCCGAAAATTGATGATGAATTCTAAAGGTGCAAATATGTATCATTCATCTAAAAGGTTGTGGCCATTTCAGATTATCTTCTCTCCCAGAACATGACTTTTATTAAATTAGTGTTTCCAGTACGAAATGTTTTGACGATGTACTTTCTATTCGAATCTTAGCACAAATTTAAGAGATCTTGGCATTGTTAGATCAGCGAGGGAAACCGACCGAGGGAAGCGGCCTCGTTGCCTCTTGTGCGGTTACGTGCCTTGTTATTGACTTAACAAGGGTTAGTTTTAGCGAAGCAACTTAAATATCAAAGTCGATAAACTGAGAATATCTAACAGGAAGATGTGTAATTTATAATATTTTAATGGCATCAGTGAACAAGGATTGCAATCCCGTAAAAGCACGAAAGAAAGAGAGACAACATTATTTACACTTGTCACATAAAAAGGAAAATTTCAACCAATTGACGCAATTTTTTTGTAATGAATATTCTGTTGACTAGGGGGTATTAAGTAAGGAAATCGTATTCCAGGCTTCGCTTTTTCTCCTGAATGCAAATACGGTCATTTTTTATGATATGTCTACCCATTTTCTGAAGAGTTAGACAATTATAAACCGACTGTCTCTAACGAAGAAAACAATATCTATCCCACGTAATGTATTGAAGCGCCTGAACGCATGTTCACAAGAACTTCGAAAAAGCACAAATTGTCCAGTGGCTTGGTAGCTAGGCGACGGAAACATTTCTTTGTAGAATCTGGCTTTGACGAGAGAAAAAACAACTTTCTAATATCGATCTCACTGTTCATTTGTTTCTAGATAAGAGCTTAGCAATTACGAAGTGTTTCTGCGCGAAAATGTCGCGAATTATTAATGTAAGTTATGTAGTACTTATGCAAGTCAGTATCCGGTATGACAGGCGTACACGATTTCTTTTCTATCATTTCGGCTACGCTTTTATCTGGCTATACATTTATATAGTTATTTAATTTTATAGCAAAAGCTTTTAAAGGGTACAATTTCCAGCTCGTCAATTTGAAAGGAACGCTTAACTAATAGCACTTATCAAGTGAACAAACAATTTTCGTAGACGTAAAAGAAAATAGAGACAGTCTAATAAAAAAGATTTTTCGCCAGCGATCAAGGAAGACTAAAAACTTCACGCGCGAAGGTTTTGCGCAAGAAACCTATGCTTGAAAATGCTAAAAAATTTTATTGATGCGAACCCTTTGTAATCGGCTTTTATCGCCACAAGAAAACTGTTTTGTTCCAGTTTGGGACAGACACAATAGCAGGTATAAAACCTGACAGACTTTAAATTCTGGTGGTTTCGGTTTTTTCTTTAGACAGTTCGCAAAAGAAGCGCCGATCGACAGATGAAACTTCATTTCGATCCTCAGACATGTTCCGGATAGAACTTTTGCTGTGTTTCATCAGTTGTGAGACACAATAGCGAACAAAGTGCACTGATTTACAAAAGAGAGGAACAAGAGCTAATTAGATGCTCTGTTGACCATATCTCGCATATTTAAGCTCCGCCATCAACATTAAAATGCAAGGGCAGTCCAAGGAAATTGAGCGTAGCTTTTCGCGTCAGTTCCACTTGGCGCGATATCAAAAAAGAGAACCTTGTCACAATTTGATAAAAGGCGCGATAAACCTTATCTAAACTGAACGCTTAAGTTTCCCGAGATGAAACGCTTTACTGTTTGCGATGGAGGCGTGTAATTGACAAGTTAAGGAACTACAAACATACATCAATTTGCTACATGTTATAAATTGTACCCGTCGACGAAGGATTTTTACAAACGACCGGAAAGTCGCTTGTAAATTACAGATATTTAAAGGCGCGCGAATCGAAATTGCATTTTCTTGAGGAAAAAATAATGAACAATGATGAAGTAAGACGTTTGAAATACGGTGTTATGGTTCACTTACCTTGACTGTCAGCGCGGTGGTACGAGTACACGGGCTGTGCCTCTTCTGAGTGAGTTCTTGCGACACCGTGGTTAAACTGCGGTTCAGGGCTGACAAGGGGAGGTACGTACGCCTGTGCTTTCTTAGCTATCTGTACCCGCATGGTCTCCTCCTGTGTCTGCTGTCTTCTAAGCGCCACTTGCGCCGCCATGACACGCTGCCTCTCTGCGATCAGTGTGCATTGAGCACAGTTGCAATCTCTCCACCTACAATATCGCTTGTGCCCTTTTAACCATGACACCATACCGTGGATGCGACAACGGGCGCACTTAGGCATGCGAGGGGGCTTCCTCTCAGACATGGACTGTTGGATCGCGAAGGAGGTGTCTGCCATATCTTTTCCAGACACACTTGAAAATCTCTTGAAATCGATAAGCGGTTGTCGCGATGTGCACTCGACTCTGAGTGTGGTACCTCTTGACGCGACAAAGTTGACTGACGGCAAGCTTTTGTTCAAGTTATTTTTTTACATTCGAGAATTTCAAGAGCCTTTGTATACGAGCGTCATGATTGGTCCGGTGTCAAAATAGTTTCTGTGTGTCCTGTCAGATCTTACTAAGTCGTGTAAACAACAGCGGCCGTCCACTTACACAAGACAGTCGAATTAGTTGAAAACTCTCAGAGGAATTTGTTATGAGTTAATATGGCAACCCAGTTTCACATATCTACGCAATAAATGGAGCGTTTGAGTGTTTCAGACCTTTAGTCAATAAGAGCTTTGTAAAAAATCCCTCCCCCTAAACACGCACTGCAGCGTATCCTGGCAACTCAGCGCCACGAACCTTTCAAGGTGAAACGAGCGAATGTATATATAATTCTGAAAGGTCGTCGAGTGATGTAATTTGGCTACAGTGTTACATTTGTGTTATTGCCCAACCCGAAATGAACACACAATAAGACCACATAGTTTGTGCATTGTTTTCCCTTCTAATTGCCAAACAATGAATTATTCAGTGGTTTCATGAATGCCCCAGAAACTGGATACCGAGTATCTAATTGTCTGCGGATACAATGGCGGAATTGAATTTGTCATTTCTCTATGGAATTCAAGGCTCAGAGCATTGTGAATAGAATGAAAGCACTGTCATTCGTGCACGAAACGCAAATACGTTTTAGCATTGCTAAATGTCGGAAAGTAATCCACGGATGACGAGGAGTGATTACACGAGACAACTTTCGTCGGAAAATTTTAAAGATAGAAGTTAAGAAACAACTGTCGATGGGTCGTTGATCTGTCGCATAATGCGTAACTGCCTCCCATTATTCTTCAATCCTAGCTACCGACATATTACGTTACTCGATAATAGAACGAGACTGCTGAATATACATGAGTGTCTGGTGGAAACTTAACTCCAAGAAAGCCGTCTACTGAGAAAAAAAATTTCATTTTGGTTAAAACTTGATGAGAGTCACTTTCCGTGTTCACTTGACTTAACCTTCGGGAAAAATTTCGTCCAGTCGCATTGGTGATGAAACTTTCTCTTCTTCGTTTAAACAAATAATTGTACCTTTGTTTAATTTCCTTGTAATTAAGCTCCGAGCAAAATTAGGTAGGCAACATTTGAATTTGTCTGCGAAGGACGGTTTCGACAAAAGTCGACGGAATTTTCACCTTTAGGTAAAGAATGGCACTAATGGTTGAGAAAGAAGAGAAACTTATCATCGGTCACGATTGTTAGAAATTCCTTAAAATTTGTCGCGACATCTATTCATCATTGGATCAATAACCATAAAAAAAGGAGAAGAAAGCATAACATGTGTATGTTGCATGAAAACTTTCATTACTGTAATCAAATTTTGACGCAAATTACTTCCGAGAAAGCTTCAGAACGAAAACCTAAGAAAAACGCGAGGCACTCAAATATGAAAATTGCCTTAAGAATTATTTGAGATGAAATGAATCGAAATGGAGGCATTCATTACGTCTTTTATCTTGTGTCTATTACTAATCTTAATTTGAGAGCCTTTGAGAGAAAGGCTTAATCCTTGGGATAGAAATTTAATCTTCGGCAATAATAAAAGATGCCTTAAATGTCCTGCGAGAAAAATGGACTCCTATGATATTGCAAAGAGATGCGCTAACCCGTCATTATATTGCGTAACTGGTGCTCAATCCATTCAGGGAGAGTTATATATTCAGTTCTTCATCATTCTTTATGTAACCCTGTTTGAAAGATATCTTTTCAAACCACGTTACCGGGCGCAATTGAATTCCGTTTCAACTAATCTTAAAAGAAAGGCCTTTTGCTGGTAAAATGAAACAACATCTTGACGAGTTAAAAAAAAGGTCTTCAAAAGAATGACCCTGCACTTAATATCACCAGCTTGGTGATTCAAGCCCGTGAATGAATGTTATTGATGACCGTGAAAGTGTTTCCGCAACAAAAGCCAGTTTTACACGATTGGACGAAAATAAGCTTTTGACGTGAGTTTTTAATTAACGGCGTTGTGTGAAGCCTTTTTTAAGTTTCCATTATCGCAGCAGAAATTCAACTTTTCAGACTCTTTTATGTCTAGCTGTCAGTAGACGACAATTAACCATTTTTCCACGTGTATTTTATACAGGCGACTATCACCTGTTACTAACAGCAAATTGGTAACTTGCTGTAAATGTATTAAACATCCCCACGCAAAAAGTATAATTTGTATGCTACGAGTAACAAATAGTACGCTGATATCCAACTTTTTATAATATCTTGCGAATAGTGATACCAAATTTATTGCTCAGTCTGTACAAACCGGACATATTGTATTAATAGCCGAGATAACCAAACCCCTGAGTTACCCTGGAAGAGCTTATTCTTCACTTATTTCTTTGAAAAATTCAATCAACCGTTTACATGATAATGGCAAACTCATCTCGCGGGGGAGGAGGAGGAGAGAACTTCTAGTAAAAACGAAATAGTTTTTTATTGATATATATATTTTTTAACGTTGCTGATCCTAAAAACCTCTACTCGGTCGTATTTTCAAAAGAAAATCCTGTTTTTTTAAGTCTTGATTCCCTTACTCTAGCAGAAATGTGCACAAGGTCATTATTGTTTAGCTTCTGTTACTACGTTCCCTTTTAGCCAGTTAAAAACCAAAATCTTCTTAGTTTAATTTTCTTTGGAACTCAGCTTGTGTTCAGTTTCTACGATCATAGAGAAAAAGCGAGCCACATATTGAAGGATTCTGCGCCTCAAACCCCCCACCACCCTCCGAAAACGCTTTTTTCATTAGTTCATCCTGACGGATATCCAAGGGCAACGGGATCATGATGTGGTTGACCCTACGAAACAATCATCTTTCGCCGACTAAGCACACATTTGACGCAGCATTCTACTTACGTCGGTCAATTATTATTTGAGTTTTTTATTTTTCTAATTGCCTTAAGATAGATAAATAAATGACTGAATAAATAAATAAACGTCTAAACAAACAGAAGGAAAGAATAGTTTCCTTAACACACAATGAAAGTTGGTTTCAGCGCACGTAAGATGAAACATAAGCGCAAGTGCTAACCCAATTTTTTTTTTCTTTTCCCTCTAAATATTCCAATGTAGTGTCACACAATTCCTTTCGGAAAGCCTTATCTACAAAAACGTTTCACTAATTGTTTGTTCTCATCGAAATTACTCATGCTAACTTTTAACATACTTTCTTCGAACTGTCTAAGCTTATAACGCTAAGTGATGAAATAGCTTATGAACGAGTGTGAATAAAAATGTAGCTTCTATTTAGCAATCAAAATTGTTCAGGAGTAGCGCACGTCCCTTTGTCGACGTAATGCTGTCGGATTTAAAAGAGAAAGAGGACCTAAATTAATATTTGTCCCTGTTCAAAGGGCTTAGATGATAGTTACAGCAAGGTTGAAGCGTTTTTGTTCAAGATTTCAGCTGCCTAACTGCATACAAAGTTATTTTAACTAGTCATGGCTGCTACGTGACGTTTAAGAGACCTTAGAGTTAAACATTACAACTTCAACTTTGAAACTCGACCATTAATCGAGACTCTACAGCATTCCTATGTAAATTTCGTTTCCTTCCATATTGCTGATGGGACACTCTCGGGTTCAGCCGGTGACGAGCTGATGTTTAGAGGGCTGTGTCGAACTGAAAGGGGAGAAGTTTAAAATTATAGAATATAAGGAATGACGTCTAAGAAAATAAAAATAAATCACGTAGCAGCTACTGTACCGCGGTGAAATGAATCCCCGATAATAAATGAATGTATAAATAAATGAACTGACGGAAGAATGGAGGGACGGACCGTCCTGCGTCACAAATGTTAACCAATTTATTTATTTTTTTATTTTTTGCTGAAGACTCACAAACAAAAGGATCCAGGATCTTAGTATGAGTAAAATAACCTTTGTCAAAATGCACTCAGTAGTGTAAAATGAGCTAGAAAAAGGACAATATATATTTTACTGAAATATCATGCGCGATTGATAAATATAGGAGGCCAACATCGCTGTTATTAGAATTGTATGCTTGGCTCTGCATTTGCAAAGATAGAGTGCGTCCTTTGTCCTTTTTAGGGTGTCTCAACATAAACAAAATATGGAATGTTGACGTCAGACCAAACATTTCCCGCAAGCATTTCGTGGGGCACACATGGTGAGTGTGACTTCGCTAGTTTCGCCTTTCTTGTTCCCCTTTTTGAGTAACTCTTCGTAAAAATTTTGTTTTCTAATCGGTATTAAAATGTATTTTGTCACAGCGTAAATAAAAACGAAGTTCCTAATGAATGCCACACATGTCAACCTACTATGTACAATTGATTACAACATATAAATAAAGGGAGTAAGTTTCTAAAGAAACTGTGGTGCTGCGTCGGTGGGAGCGTATAGCAGGTACCGTGTTAACAACTGAGTAGAAAACGTAAATTGGTCACCGTAAAGAGTTAAAAGGCTGACGTTTCGAGTGTTAGCCCCTCGTCAGAGCGATTGCGAAGGGCTAACGCTCGAAAGGTCAGCTTTTTAACTCTTTACGGTGGCCAATTTACGTTTTCTACTCAGTTGTTAACACTAAATTACCTGATTACAACATAGACCATTTTGGTAAAGAAACAATATTCAGTACTCACAGAGATATATGCTGGTTCCAATAACCCGCGAGAAGTAAGAATCGGTGGCGAAGTGGCCTCTGTTTGTGTCCCATGGTCATTCTTCATTATTCGGCGGTACTTGCGATGTTTCTTTACCATCAAGTTTTGCTCAAGTGAATTTGTTGTATTCTCGTCATTACCTCTACGTTCTTCTCGAGACAGAGTGAAACTCAGAGCTCCACGGTCTTTTGCAATGGAAGGTTTTCTAATCATACTTGTCTGAAGCTGTGCTTTAAGCATGTTCTTTCCAACCATACCGCGAATTTCGCCATGCAAATCATTAAGAGGAAGGAGCACGGCCAAGCAGCACGAGATGGACCATTGCGGGTTCTTACGCCACTCTTTGAAGTACTGATATACGTACACCAGGTATTGAACTGCAGATAAAATAAATAGAATTCAAATGATTGTGTCTTTTCAGATTCGTTCTCCATATCACATGGCTGTTCAGTTAGATAAGTTAAATATTGGACTGTCCTTTGACTAATATTCCAAACGCGCACGGATTATTTCAACCAACAGCAAAGGTAAAATTAATATAAGGGTTATATAAGGGTTATTTCTGATCAAAAAACAAAAACTTTAATACTGCTTTATCCACTTAGTCATGTGCAAATTGGCGAGCAAAAAGAGATATTACGATTCAAATATTTAGTGCATAAAATAAGAGTACTTATTACTACTTCTTACCAACGAGAAGCCCAATCACGAGAGTATTTGCTCCAAGAATCAGTATCTTCATTGAAATGGCATCCATGTGTTTATCCTCGGCGTTCGATATATTTTCTGCTGGAATTTTGCTGACAGCACCGATACCTAAGTTGACAACTGTAACGGCGAGGGAAGTGGTCATTAATCTGTTTTCGAATGGGTCCTGTATGGGTCTCATCCAAGAGAAATGAATTCCATACACACCAGCCACGACCCATGCCAGACCAATGTAGGACCTGCTTTCATGACCCACGAGAATAAGGCCAGAGGTAAGAATTACTCTCCGAGACATTTCAACCAGCTCCCAATACCATGAGCACGGTTTGTAGTTTTCGAAAAGAAACCGCAGACCTCCAACGATTTCCTTGTCAACGTGTGACCCATCACAGTTTACTGTGGTTGATATTGCTCGCCGATGCCTCCAAAGGGCGACAAAAGACGCAGCAGGTAGGGCAAAGATGTACGCAATGGAAATGTAGGCTACAATCAGCAATTGGTCATATGTTTGGCCTTGGCATTTCACGCTGTAGTCTGCTTTGAGGTACTCGTTGCACAGCTGTTCATTTTTGTCCTTGCACAGTTTACGGCAAGCAAGTGGCAGAACACTGGCTGTCTTTGAAAACGAAGTCAAATAAGTCACATAAAGGATGAAAAACAGATTTTTGAACACGATTTCTTTCAGTTGTGAAGTTTTGGCTAACTTTTCTTCGTCAAGTAAGCTTTTATTGCCAAAGATAATCATCTTGCGAATGTCAAAGATCAAACCCGAAGCGATGATGACAATTGCATTCAATGACAAGATTAGAAACAAGTCTCCAAACGCGTTCATGTGTAATCCTGGAAAAAGGCAGTGAATGGGTGCCACCTGAAGCAAATTCATCTGCAGTATTCCTGAATACCTTGCAACAACTTCTAACGAGTCTGGCCAGCTGATATAGGAGAAAACGTCTAGTAAGCCATGAGTGACTTGGTAAAATCCTATCAAGATTTTAAATTTGGATAAGGATTTGTCCATAAGATCGAGAGCACGCTCTGTTTTAAGCTTCGTTTTCCTCTTCCATGCCAACAGAGAAAATGTTATTAAGAAAATGACAGCAACAAGAGATAATTGTCCCACGATCCATGATTTTGATGGGCATTTTTTGCATCTGTGGAATTGCTTGTAGTATCCTGAGCTGCATACGGAGCAAATAGGTCCCTCATATCCATCTGCACATGGTGAGTCCAATCCACCCTTACAGGACTCTGGTACTTGGCACCTATACGGCGTTGGGAGTGCATAAGGATACTGCACAGAATGCTCATCTAATGCTGGTTTAGATTCCACGAGATTTTTTATAAAATCTTGATAACGACGTTTGTAAGAATCGTTACGCCATTGCCACCAATAACCAGGTCTTAAGGAGGCATATTCTTTCTGGCAAATAAGTCCATCTTTACCACATTCGCGACATCCCTCAAATAGGTGAGTTCGATAATGACCTTCTAAGCATGGACAAGCTCGATGTCCAGCGAAAAAGTCAGTTTCGGTTCCTAATAGAGGAATGGATCGTTTAATAGTTTTAAAGTTTTTATTCAAACCGGTTATGATATCTTAAAACCTCGGCATAGAACTAAATTAAGAGATTAACCTAGACTGCATAACCATGTCACTTGCTACGTTATGCACAGCTTAAGCTCAACGTTTGAAACTGATTCTTATATCGTGAAACAAACGATGAAAAGTTTATTTACCAATTGAGTACAATGAACAACAACATTTTCTATAATAACTACGCCAACGGTTCTAACGGACGTGTCTAAGCTTTCGAAGGAAAGGCTAATGCCTCTAACGTTTGAGAGGAAAATCTCTAACGAACGGCTAACGGATGCTCAGCAAAATTGGCCTTTTGAACGGAAAAGAGTTCTTTTCCCATCTTTTCCCATGCACGGCTATTTCAGTTTAGAAACTGTCTCTCTTTCGACTGGAGAGCTAGTGGAATGTTGTTTGCAACCTTATATGTTGGGTCAAGAGATTTTAAATCTCTTGGTTGGGTATATGCCTTGAATAAATTCTACCATTAGGCATCTCTTCTATGTAAAGGTACGTAATAGTGAGTGCTTGCTTACCTAGAGGACAAGTCTTGCAATCTAACACTGATTTTCCAGGTTTCTTGTCATATGCAACGTAAGACCCGTTCGGACATTTCTTACAGCCTTTCGCCACGAAGGCAAGATTATCCGAGTAAAATCCACCTGAAAAAAGAAAATCAATGACTACCACTCCTAGCTGACAAGTTGACTTTGTTTTTTGGTTTGTTTTTCATTTTTCTTTCGCGGTCGTTTTTGTTTCGTTACTGCGCTAGGTCCGCACGTCATGATCTCGAGTCAAGTAATTTCACGTCCGGCCCAGCCACTCAGTCTGACATGTACATATTCTTTCACAACAAAAGCAAATTTCTTTGAGACTAATTTCGTGTTAGCCTGAAGAGATATGTCATAGCTGGACCAACGCATACAAGATTTAACCGTTTGAAATGCTCTTAAAGGATGACTTTCTTTGATTCTTTGTAAAAGGGTTACTCTGCAATGTCAGTTAATCATGTTGCTTCATATTCTAAACTTTAATAAGAATCTCAACTGTTGACCAGCTGACTAAATTCTAAGCCAAGAATTTCACACTGCTGCATTGCGAGGCATTTGGTCCTCTTTGAAGAAAGTTTCAACGTCAGAGACATGAAATTGAAGGAAAACATCGTGGCTGGTGTAGCTTTTAGAAACTGCACCCATGCAGACACCATGTTGTTCAAAGATATACGCATATGTATGAAATGTGTCAGGGCATATATGCATAAAGGCATTCATGCAACCTACTGTATTTTCTTTTGTCGTGGTGTTAACTATAGTGAAGTAGAAACAACTCTAGTTGAATTTACACATTTTCTATGAGTGCTCTCTGTAATCAAACATAGCATACCTGGTGGACAATCTGTGCAGATATCCGAATCTAGCTCCGAGGTAAACAAGGTGTGATGTGAAAATGTACCCAACGGACAGGGTAGAAATATGAAGTAGTTACTTTCAGACGCCGTCTTTCTGAATCCCACTTTATGTAGAAAAGAAATAACAGACGGGGACACTGTTGAAGGAACTGTGATGGCTTCGTCGTGTGTTTCTAGAGGATTGCTAGGGATAAATTATAAATAGTTTTTAAAAACTCCAAAATGCTCAGGCTATTTTCCAAAATGGTAATTTCAATGTCGACAACTCTGTTACAAGAACAGAATGAAATGTCTTCGTGGGCATGCTAAATTGTATGGAACTTTAAAAGTCGGTCGTATTGTAAGCCACGCAGTCATTTCATAATCTTCAATATGGGGGTCAAGCCTTCAAGCAAAGCTTCAAGCGGTATTCAGTTAGGATTTTCAATGAGAAAACTGTATATTCAATTCAATTTACCTTAGGATATGGCAGTTCCTTTGAGGAGGAGCCGCCTTGATTCTCACGTCACCCAATTACGTAAATTACCTATGTCAATGTGTGATTCGTAATTGAGCAAAAATAAGGTTATAGAGTAATATTCAAAGGCCAATAGTAGATCGATCCCGTCATTAAACGCAATTTCCACGAGATAAACGAAATTTACTTTTATATTGTCTGATTTCTGCATCCTGGCCCATAAAGTGTCCTACAACTAATCATACTGACAGATACAAGGAGTGCTTCCCGGTGCCAGATGGGTAATCATAGTCTATCACCCTGGTGATTCTGTCTGTCAAAGTTCTGCAACGACAAGAAAGAATTTTTAAAATTATCAAATTGTGTCATACTCGCTGACTGGCCTGTTCCTCATTTCTAAAGATCATTACTTAATCAATAAAAATGCCTTACATTCGAAAATCTTGAGGGTGATTGCTTGAAAAGATGTCAGAGGCAATCGATTTCAATGAAGTCCGTAGAAGAAATCTGTTGTAAAAAGAAAGTGACTGAATGAATAAATACATACTATTCAGCAAACAGACCCTCACTTTGTGATATTATCGGTGGCGTGAAGAATGATGGATAATTATTGGACCAGGTTGGGCGTGAAAACATCTTTATTTGCCAGATGTGAGATTAGATTATTTAAAGAAACTGGAGGCTTAGGCAAATGACTGATATGCGAGATTAACTTATTAATTATTAACTATTAATTAATTAAATAATTATAATTATTATTGTTATGATATTTCGCGAAAATGTACGAGGTCTAGCTACCTTTCAACTTTCATAATATAAAAGAATCACGTGATAACTTACATTTTTATTTCATGATAAGACAGACCAAATGCCTTTGGCTCAATTTTTTCTATCGGATTGTCAGACAGTGTTCTGGAATGAGAGTTAAATTCTTAAAGGAGTTGAGATTTTAAGAATTTTCCTAACAAAAGTTCAGATATGTGCTCAGTCGATAAAATATCTTGTTTTCTTATTGGTTCATTGCAATGGATAAATAAATGGTAAGGGATTTCCGTTTTCCATTTTATCTCGACTTTCAAGCTTTTGAATATTTCTACTACAAATGATTAAATATTTTAAAGAGTCTCCAACCCCAAAAAGTGTTTTTCGACAAAGAACTTTTCTCGTTTTACCTATGATCACAGTGAAAGAATGATTTCAGTCGAAGAAAACCTCGCAATTCTACAAGCAGTTAATACTCAATTTTTTATGTTCACGACCGCGCATCTTAAGGCCTGGGTGGTGGAAGGTTGTTACGTCATCACGGGAACCACACTACAAGGCTGCAGTAAAACCCTTTCAGACGTGTTGCCGAAACAGAAAATGCTTTTGGAAATTTCCCTCACTTTAAACATCGAGGGCATTACATATAGTACCTAAAGAAAGCCATATAAGAGAGATTCAGACTCGGACAGTGACTGTATGACTCCGAAGCATACAAAGCTTCTAATCTATGACGCAGAGATGGAGGAAATCGATTGTGCGCCGAAAGCGAAACTTCGTTGACATGGAGTTAAGAAATTCCTGACACTTCTGAGAAAGAACTCCATCGGACTCTTACGGGCTCGTCTCGAACATGCCCAAAAAGCCTGAGATACATCGTTAGAGCGAACAACGCCATCGATGAAGATTTTAAATTAGATGTCTCAGCTTGATTAATAAGAAATCAGGACCAAGTTGTTCAAAGCTAGGTCAAGATTACCCAGGGTTAGCGTGAAATCTGACCTCAGATCTGAAAACTTTAGAGGCATATTCAGTATATTTATTTTTGCCTACAATTTGATGCCTGGATGTTCTAAAAAGAATTGAAGAAATTATTTGAAATAGGCCTTTGAAGAAGGGTTTAAAGAAACCCAGATTAAAATTTAACCCCGGGTTAGCGCTAATCGGCCTTCGAACAACTGGGCGCAGAGCTTGACCTCGCGGGAGCCATAGAGGCGTTTAGAGACTTACAACGCACAAGTAGCACATCAGGAACGTTTCAAATGAACAACTGACAGATGAAAAATTCACGACTGATCATTACAAAGAGACGGAGACCTTCCAAGACACGAAATTTTATTCGCGTCATCCTCCGAGCGTAAAGATAGGATTCGTAAGAGTAGGAGTGATAAGCTTCCCAAGACCAATTTTCTCACGCCCCACGTTTAATAAAATCGTACAGATATTCAAAATGCGCTTTAAGAATAGGGGATACCCACATGAAATTTTGGACAAATGTATCTCTGAAGTTAATTTTACTGGGAGAGGAAGGTCACTCAAGAGCAAAGAAAATAGCGCTCTGAAGAAAACATTGCCATTTGTTTAACAAATAGAGAAGCCTTGACTGTGCTCTGTTCTGTTGTAAAGCACGCAGGTAGCGGCTAGAGCACGAAAGAAATGTGGGGGGAAACACGAGACGTAGTCGAGTGTTCACTTCTTGAGTCTTTAAGTGAAATGTTTTCAAAAATCTTAAAGTGAAATATTAAAGTGAAATGTTCGGTGAACTTTAACCGAATTATGGCTCATAAAAGCACGCGAGTTTTTTCACATGACAAGGTAGAAAACAAACTGTTCAAGGCGAGTGTTTTTTTAATGAACGACAGCCGAATTTACCGGAACATGAAGATCACTCGGGATGACAGCGCCGCAATACTCGGCTGCAGTGACTGATGTGACTTTCCACCCAATGCATCGGAAAGGATATCAGAGCAAGCTCTTATTTTTTCACTCGAAGGGCGGCCGATGTAGTTTCTGAGGCTTGCTTTACTGCGATGACCGGAGATCGCCACGAGTATGAATTTTAACAGTTATGCCAGTTTGGTTATATTTTGGTTATATTTTGGTCATCATTTCTGTTTTGTTCTGTTTTGTTTTGAACACTGAACTTTGTATACTATACGAGTGTTAGCTGTGTTTGATTTTTATTACCGTACGTAAGCTTGCAATCTAACTGAGCGTGAAAATCTCTAAATTCGGAATGTCTGTTTTGTTTTTCCTTTGAGGATTTTCATATCTGCTCACGTTTTAATAGCGTAAATTACGGCGCCTAGTATGTTTACAAACCTTTGTTTGATTTTTCCGTTGCTACTTGCCGGCTCGCTTGTTCCGAAATTTCACTTTCAATTATCGGAAAAAAGCTAAAAAGAAGTCTCGGAAAAGGTCGACCATAGTACAATTTGGCAGATGGCGTGACAGCTTTAGCTCAGCTCTATGCTCTATACTCTCATAGAGCACGCTCTTTCAACCAGCGACAGCGCACGTTATATCCGAACTTTATTATAAAACACAATATCTTATGGCACAATATCTTTTTCCCTATAACAGTGATAGAGAAAAAACTTTTTGTGGCTATTGGCACTTTAAGGCAACAGGTACATGACATTTTGCCGGTTATCTGCTGTGTTTTGAGAACGCAATAATTTACTTTTGTATATAGAAGTACCATCAGAAAGCATGAACTTGTTCTTTTAAAAGACAAACGGCAAATTTTTAGCCTATCTACCATCTCATCGTTTACTTACAACAACTTCAAATGGGTCATGTGATGGAAGGTTCGATAAGGAACATGCAGTAAACGATTATCATTTAGCAACCTGTAAAAAAAATAGTTTTGTCAAAACTAGCTATAGAGAATAGATGAACTTAAATGGTTCGGTAACTACACCAAAAACAGATATAATTAATTAATAAAAAGTTAATCAATTGTTTCTGTTTTCTTGGAAATATTTTTGGCTTCAAGATTTTTAAAATCTTCTCTTCCGAAAAGAAGATGATCCATTTTCAGCAAATTTGGGGACTGTTGGGTACACTCAAATATACAAGAGCAAGAAGCGCAATTTTTATTGAAACATATGCTGATCTGACATAGTTTGATGCTACTCTGGTTTGCAGATTTAATGAATGTAACCGGAGAAGTTACAATTCATAGACCCAACGTTTCGACACTCCTGTCTAGTGCCTTCATCAGGGGTGATCTAAACGCTGCAACAACATCTGATCTGTAGATGAAATTTTAGGTGATCTGTAAACCCATACCGAAATATTGATAATAATAAAAACCTTTCACCCTAAATATCCATCATGAGAGTCACATCTTGGGCCTTACTCAATACATTCTTTTTTTCTTAGTAAGCATGCGCATGGGGTGAAGTATATCCTTAAATCTATTATTGTGGAGAAGAAGAAAAATCGACTAATGTCTTAAATATCTACGTATGGCAATTCATTTTTTTTTGGTGCGTTGGTTTCCATAGTTGGTTCCAGTCACTTACAGGTACCAAAGGTATTTCACGTTGGCAAACACTTTATCAGGGAATGACGTAATCATATTTGAAGATAAATCCCTGAATAAATCGAAGACAAATAAATGAATGAATACATAAATGAATTAACCGTTTGTATTAAAAAAATTAATGAATTTATAGAAAGGTTGTAGTATAGATAAAATTTTCAACCAACTGTCTGCTTTTATTACACGCGTGATGCTTCTTGTCAAAAAGAAAATAGTTTAGTGAGCCACTTTTATTCCTCCACGAAACCTTTTATGATTGTCACGACACAGAATTATACTTCATTTGTTAGTTATCATCACGATAACCCTGTATTATTGTTAACTGTTGCCGATTATCCCGGATTGTATTTTAATCTTATTGTTTGGACTGTCATTAAGGCGTCACCTATCGAGATATTTTCACTATAAAAAACTGACTTTGAAAATATAAACCTTCAGCCTGTATGATTTTCCTGATCAATTTTTTATGCTAAGTCGTTTAAGAGACTAAAATCTCTTTCACTAAGATAGGTTCAAATCCTCGCACATTTTGACATTATTCATTTCATTCAATAAGATCGGAGCAAAAAAGTTAGATTTCGAGAGACAGGTTCGTGCTTATGTGCGTATTTGGCTTTTACGTCCTTGATTTGTATATATCTACATATTTTAACTTCATGAAGAGAGAATGAAATTGCTTAAGAGACAGGGAATTTTAATATTTTATCATTAATCACGATAGGCATGCCAATTTCTTTTAGACGGTTCATTCAGTTATTCATCGGGTATGTCTACTGTCACTTACAGGCGCCGAAGGCCTCTTAGGTTGGTAAAAACATTATCAGAGATGGATGCAATCATGTTTGAAGATAAATCCCTAAAAATGAATAAACAAGCAAATAATTACCTAAATTCAAAATGAAAAATAGCATTTCCCCCCCTACAATCTTTGCAACTTCGCCCGCTCTTTACCAGGTCGCGTTCTCACAAGGCTGGTAGGCGGCGAACTTGCAATGGAGCGAGCGGAACCTCCACAAACTATTATATCTGGCAACTGATCGAACTATTTTTAAATGAAATGCAATAGTACAGACTGCAACAGTCACTTTTAATCTTAAACATTCGCATTCAAGATAGCATGCTTCAACAACAGGAATAATGATATTTTACCAATATCTCGAAATATCGGGTCACTTACAGCGAAGTAAGTCTTGCTAAGTTGGCAAATACGTTATTGCGAAGAGAGGCAATCTTGTTGAAGGATAAATACCTGGATGAATAGACAACGAGACGCACAAAAAAAGGAAACTGAAAAAATACATACATGCAAAGATAAGTTCGTATTCTGATAAATAGATAATCACATAAGTAATTTAATAAATAAATAAAAATGCGATAGCATAATAAACGTTTTAAAGGACATTAAGCCATTATTGCGCGCGTACTGCTCGTTAACCCAAAGAAAAAGTGAGGTAACATGAAAGAATGAAGCGAAAACTGTGGCTATTTTAATGTAGCCAGCCACTTTTATGGATCGACAACATTCAATTATTATTGCATGCGAAATGTCTTCAGTGATAATATCTGAAATGCGTGCATCCCGCAGTGAAGATGTCAATTCATGTTAATACTGGAAATGATCATGTGGCATCAAGAGCTGTATACAGCTCTTCCATTTCTTATCGTTCTTTAGCATGTCTGGTGTCACTTACAGAAACTCGAGACTTCTTAGGTTGGCAAACACAGTATCGGGGAGAGTGGCAATTTTGTTTGAAGATATATCCCTAAATAGATGGACACATGTACCATTTGATCAATTAAAAGAGAAATGAACAGATGCATTCATAAATAAACCAAGTTAAGATAACGAAGAAATAAATGATGGATGACATGGCTTAATCATATCAAAAATTAGATAATGATAAACGAGTGTAGAATTTCAACTGACTTCCGTTTGAGCTTGTTTTTGTTCAAATAAGTGATGTTTTTTTTCCGTAACCTTAGAAGGTCACTACAAGCTACAAAAAACACGTTTACGAAATGCTGAGACGTTTTTTAAGGAACTGAGCACTAACATTTTATATGTATTTTGAAATTCTCAAGTTATTGAATATCAGGACTGAAGGTAACTGCAATAAAATGTTGCTGATACACCCTGGTTTATATCGTCCTTAATTACTTTCATTATTATAAGGTCAGGTCGACATGATTACGACGAAGCTGCAGTAAAAATCAGTCAAAAACTGACAATTCAATGAATTAAAAATAATGTAATTTTGTTCCATTTAAGCTTCTTCTCTCGCTAATGTCAAAAGTGTAGATGTAGCCAAGGGCGCCGTCAGAGGAAGAGGGTTCCTGAATTGCCCCATTAAACCTCCCTTTACGAGGCTATTTTTATGCAAACAGCCAAAATCATTCAGGTGGCAAAATCTGGTTGGTACTCTCTTGATACAGTGTGACCCCTCTCCCCTGTGAAAAATCCTGGCTACACCCCTATGCAGCTGGTTACCACCGTAGACAACAACAACAGATCACCACCTGCTCACCGTCTCTTGACAACATTCAGTTCTGTTCACATGCATAATGTCTAAAATGAAGTAAATATCATCACTGCAAGTGGTAAAAATTTCACGCTTCAAAAACAGCAAATAATTAAGAAAGTTTCACCAGTATCAATACACAGCTCTTCCGTTTATCATAGGGCTTTGATTAATATCGGTGTTTCTAGTGCAACTTACAGGTCAGTAAGATTATGCAAGTTGGCAAACACTCTATCAGGTAGAAAGGCAATCATGTTTGAAGATAAATCACTGGTTAAAAATAAAGAAATAGATTAGCAAAGAGATAGAGAAACAGATATAAAGAGAAAATAGATAAACGCCCTAGAACATGGAAAAAAATAGATACACCTGATAGCAGTAACAATATTATAGAAAAAAGTTCTTCGGGATTCGGGCATATAGCAGTTTTATATGCCAAACGATTCCCACTGGGATTTTTACTTTCTTTTTTTTTTTAACGCTATTGCAAATAAATTTAGATAAAAATTTATCCTTCAGATTCCCAGTGCGACGCTCGTGCATGTATGCGTATGCATGGTCACTACGCACGATAATATTTGTAAGGTTCAAATAAATTATTAGTGCACCTGACTCACGCGCTGTGCTTCTACATAATCATGAAAGGCTCTCAAAAATCTTCTTCATATTCATTACTAAAAGGTAATCATTTGATTTTCTCATGTAATTTGGAAAGAATAAGCATTCGTCAACTTTTACAAAGACAACAAGTTCAACCCGCCTCACAGCCTCGTGCAGTTCTATTGGTCTTTGAAAATATTACTCATGCTTTTTTAATTCAAAATTGTACCCGAATTCATGTTAATACCGATGAAATTTGAAGAGTGCTGGATGTAGCAATAGACCCCTTTTTTGTGAGTAGCTCTTCTCATGCCACAGAAATGTTCACAAATTATGCAGTGTTGGCAAAGTACAATATCGCTCCCTAAGAGAGCGGCAAAAACCATGATCATGTTGAGAAGCAAGTTACCAACATGAAGCATATGTATGAAAAACCCATCTTTATATCTTAATAAAAAAGGCGTTTACTCCAACGCTGCGGAGGCTGTATTAAAAGCAAATTGTGCCGTTAAGTAGGGCAAAACCCGTGCTTATTTAAAAAATTTAATTCGTTTGAACCTTGCGCAAGTTATCCAGGATTAGAGCAGAAAGATCTTCAACATAAACAGCAAATCTATTTGGGGTTATCGTGTCAATCTGGATAAATAATCGGGTCGGGTATGCATGTCTTGTGCTACTTACAGTTCTAAAGTGATTTTTAAGTTGGAAAACACTTTCTCTGGCAAAGAATAAATCTTGTTTGAAGATAAATCCCTGATAAAAGACAAATAGATAAATTTATTAATAAATAGATTAATGATAATTAAATACATAGATAAATAAACAAAAAAAAATGGAAATAAGAAAACCTAAGAAATATTGTTAACTTAAAAAATCCTTCATAAAAATGACGCACCAAACGTAACCATGCTGATACCGCCATTTACTGAGAACAACAACATTGAGGGGAGATTTAAACTGCTCACGGTCTCTTACACATGAGAAATGTGCAGAGTGATGATTGCGTGCAGTTGAAAACCTCTTTCCTCCGAAACAGGAAATTATGCCATTTTATCATTGTCAGTACTCTGCAAGTCCTTTTATGACTGTACGTTTGCTTTAAGTGGGTAAGTCTAGTGTTACTCACAGCCACAGAAGCTCAGTTATGTTCTGAAACAGTTTATCAGGTAGAGAGGTAATCATGTTTGAAGATAAATTCCTGAACGAGGAAAAGCAAATTCATTAAACAAAGTACTTGAAATTTCTGCCAAGAGATAGCTTATAAGGGCGTTGCTCGAATCAACTATCACGCATAGAAATAAAAATTTGTTCCTGCTGCTGTGCGTCTGTTCAGTAATGGTTCACAGGCGAATGGTGAACAGACGAATGGCAAGATGATATTTGTAAATAGATGGCGAGTAGGGCACCCACTCAGATTTCCATTTCTGATAGAACGGGAGTAGGTTTATGCTTTTATACTAAACTCTTGAGATAAATAAGTAAATAGAGGAAAACAAAAAAAGATAGATATATGCACAACTAAATACAGAGATCAAAGAATAATTAATATAGGCGAATTATGTGCATTTTAAGATATTTGTGGAGCTAAATTCCAACGTGTAAGCGTCGAAGGTTGCTAGGCCCCGGATTTTGAAACAAACTTGATAAGAGCTGAAGAACATTATTACCTGTAGGACAATTCGCCCTTCGGAAACACCTGATGAATGCGACTTCTCTTCATAAGATCTTGTGTTTTGGTGCACAGAAATATTCACAACTCAAGGAACGTTGTAAAATTTATACAATACGTTTATCTTCACTGCATGAAGTGGAAAATTTTTCTCTAGAAACAGTTACTTACATGGCATTTCATCAGAATCGATGCATGGCAATATTCTGTCTATTAGTCCACTTTATTACATTTTATACTACGCCATTACTTTTTTATCGGGTATATTTTGCGCAACTTACAAGTCGTGAATATTTCTCAAGTCAGAAAACACCTCATCAGGTAGGGCAACAATCATGTTAGAAGATAAATCCCTAGTGAAAGAAAAAATTTATTAATAAAGAAGTAAATCAATATGGAAATACATAATAAATAAGTAAATTGGTTAAGGCAAGACTGATGTAGGGAACAATCAATTGATAAAATATTTAGATAAAACGATGTCTTTTAGATTTCTGAAACTTATCCCGAGCAAGTACGGGCACATCATCTCTGCTCTCTGAAAGTTGAATAAAGTATTTTAGAGCACCGGATGTGGTGCTCTCCTCTCCACTTTATACGCTTTATAAAACCAAGTTCTAGCAAGATTTTCCATTTTCTTGTCAGAAAAATGTGCAAAACCTAAGTAACATTAGTCGAGCACAAAATCCCTCCATACAAGGACCATGTTTGATGCAGCCAGTTTACACTTTTGATAACATCTGGAAAACGCCCGCTGCTCATAATCTCAAGATTCAGTTCTCTTTACATGCAAAATATGTACAACGAAAATATATTCCTTGAGTGCAATCACAGACATCATGCTTGGGAAGCTGGAAATTATTTATTTCCATCCTGTTTTCTTTCACCGAATTTGTTGAGTGTCACTCACAGCCAATGAAGATTTGTTGTGTTGGTGAACAGATTATCAGGTAGAGAGGTAATCATATTTGAAGATAAAAACCTAAAAATTATACAAATATTTAAGTACATATATCAATTTAAAAGGAATATACACAAATAAATCAATCAATTATTGAGATAGATAGAAACGAAAATTCTGATTCTCAGAGCTACACCTGTGCGTGTGTCGCTGCGCCCTTGATTGTCCATTTACTATTGAACTTAGCCTTTCTAATCACTTACAGCACAAAAAGATTTTCTAAGTGAGAGAACACTTTGCCAGGTAGAGAAACAATCTTGTTTGAGCATAAATCTCTAAATAAATCGGAAAATAGATCATGAGATAAATATTCAAATAAATAAAGAGATAAATGTACAACTAAACAAACAAACACATAAGTAAATTACTAAAACGAATGAATAAAAATATGCATTTTCTATTTCCAGGGCCAGAATGAGGTGTGACTTTGTATATGGTTCCCGTGCCCCAGATTTCAAAACATTTTTGAAGTGCACTTGTTGCGGTGATCACTTCCCTAATAACTTCACGCTTGGAAACACTTTATCAAAACAATTTCCCCCTGTAGCATTCTTTTCGTCTGTCATAGAAACGTTCAAAACGTCAGGAATGTTGAAAAATAAAAAGATTCCCTTCCGGTATTTCTTGTGTTTGTCACTCACAGCCACCCTAGCATTGTTAAGTCGGCAAACACTATATCAGGTAGGAAGGTAATCATGTTTGAAGACAAATCCCTGAATAAAATAAACATTAGATAAATAGGTTACTAAAGGGACAAATAATTGCACAGATAAATGAAAATTCATGTTAAGATGAAATTTAATAAAATAGACAAAACTAAATATCTTATAAAATTTTATGATGGTAAGTCCTCACTGAATATTCAATGAATATTACTTCAACTGAAGTAATATTGAGGAAATATAAAAAAAAACCTTCCAAAGATATTTCATCGATATCAAAGTATGGCGATTACATTTATTAGTGCATGTAAGTTTTTATCGGGTATATATTAAGTCACTTACAAAAAATAAAGATCTGTTAAATTGGTGAACGTCTCACGAGGTAAAGAGTGAATCATGTTCGAAGATAAATCCCTAAATAAATAGGGAAAAAATTAAATAGGTTAATGAAGAAAAATAAACAAATGAATTTGTAAATAATTAGCTAGACAGATTCATACACAAATAATTAAAAAATTGATAAATGAAAATATATTTTCAAGATTTCCGAAGCTAAGCTCTTGCGAATACTTGGTAAAATACTTGGTACGCCCTTAATTTTGAAACAAATTTGAAGAACACTAAATGTGGTAATCACCTGCGCAAAAAAAAAAATAGGCTCTCGGATACACTTATTTAAAAGCAAGCTCTGTTTGTAAGATTTCAGTAATTAGTGCCTTTCTAAAAGTGAAGCATGATCCCCATCTATGTTCATGCAGCTGGTTAACAAATGAGCAAAAATAAAATAACATCAATGTACATGTATACAACGATAACATCCTCACAGTACGCGTAGCAAAAATATAATAAATATCATTACAGCTCAAAAAGCTCTCTTAAGTTGGCAAACACTTCATTGGGTAGCGAGGTAATCATGTTTGAGGATAAGTCCCTGAATAAATTGTAAATTAGATTAATTAACCAATTTATGAATTAAAAAATACATCATAAGTAGATAAACACGTAAATAAGAAGGTAAAATAGATGAATATCTAGAAAGATAAAAGAGACATATAAACATGTATTTTCAACTGCATAAAAACACGGCTCCCGGAGGAATTTCATATAATCAATTTCTTCTCGTAAGATTTCATTCTTCTTGTGTTTATGTTTCTGAAGCAAGATATGCCTATTTTGATTAAAGTTCAAAATGTTGCCATGTTGATGCAGCCAAGTACCACTATGGAAAATGTGAGGAGGACGTCATCCAGGCTCAGACACAGGAAATTGTGGTATTTTATTAATATAAATGCATGGTACCTCCATTTATTTTTTTTGTACCTTAATTTTAAACGGCTTTGCTTTATTAGTGTCACTTACAGCTCAAAAAGGCTGTTTAAATTGGCAAACACTTCATTGGGTAGAGAAGCAATCATGTTTAAGGATAAATCCCTGAATTAATAGACAAATAGAAAATTATACTATTAAAGAAAGTCAATAAAAATAATTGCATGAATAAATACATAGCTAACGCATAAGTAGATCAATGCATAAATCAATACTGTTTGCAATGCAAGAAATGCACAAACTGGGGCTTTGTTGATGCAGCAGATTACCACCTTGAACAACATCAAGTGAACATGAACTTCTTTAATAACAACGCACAGCGCCCCCATTTATTTGTGTACTTTGGTTTTAAACGGTTTGTCTAGTGTCACTTACAGGATAGAGAGACTATTTAAGCTGGCAAACACTTCATTGGGTAGAGAGGTGATCATGTTGGAAGATAAATCACTGAATGAATAGACAAATAGTAAAGAGATCAATGAAAAGAAATGATGAATAAAAGAGATAAATGCATAACTAAATAGAGAAAAAAATAACAAATGAAGAAATAGATAAATAAAAGAGATAAGTATATGTTTTCTGATTCTGAAGTTACGCTCGTGCGTGCGTGTACGCAAGGTACCTACGCGCTTGATCGTAAAACAAATTTGAGAAGCACTGAATTTGGTAATCATTTGCACAAAAAACACCGGCTCTCGAAAAAATTTAATTATAGCTAGCACTCTTTGTACGGTTTTATTTTGCCTATTTCAAAAACGTTCACTAATTTAATAATGTTTGTAGACTAAAAAAACCGTGGTCAGTTTGAGACAGCCGGTTTACGTTTGGTTCATGAAAATTCGACTGCTCATGTTCTCCGGACAAATTCAGTTATCTTCACATGAGAAATGTATGAAATGGTACGTGCGCTTGTAACGAAAACGTCACGTTCTTGACACAGGGAAAGTGAATATGATAGTTTGCTGGCACGCATGAAATTTCCATTTACTATTGTACTTTAGTCCTCATCTAGTATGTATTATTGTCACTTACAGCGAAGTAAGTCTCGTTAAGTTGGCAAATACTTTATCAGGTAAAGAGGAAATCAAGGTTGAAGATATATACCTGAATAAATAAAAAAATAGATGGGTATATTAAAATGGAAACAAATAATTAAAGAGATAACGATTCATTTATAACTGATACCATATAGACAAAAATATTTTGCGTAACAATTTGCCCTCTGCGAGCAAAAATAAATTTCGAAGAACTACTGGAACTAACAAACAAATAAAGTAAGCGATGCGGTGCCAAAATGCCACTGCATAGACACGCACGCTACCACGTATCAAAAAGGAGGGCTTGGCGCATAGAGTCATTTTGAATACAATATAATATAGTTTCACTCACAAACGCTTCAGATTTATCAATGCAGCAAATACTCTCTCAGGTAAAGATGCTATCCTATTGGATGACAATTTCCTGTCACAAAAAAAAAACAATCGTTGAAGTGGGTAGAGAGATAAATCGATCAGACAAGTCCTTCGTCTGCTTTCTGTAGGCACCAGAAAATTCCATCATTTGATTCAATAAAGGAATCAGCTCAGTCAATGAACTTATGTAACTGCTTACGTCGATTTGAAAAACGATGTAAGAAGAGATATGTTTTTCAAAGCCCACATTTGAAGCATTGACACATTTCAAAATGAAATGTATAAACTTTCAAGAGGTCAGAGAAATGAGAACACATGATTGAGAACAGGCAGACAGGGGAGGTATGGGCTTGACAGAGAGGGATGATAACGTGTCTCTACCTCTCAGTTCTCAGTCAGACACTTTCGTCGGTGGCCATTTTAACGGTTACGCCAATGATCTTACAGTATTTCAGTTGCTTCTACAAGACAATATTCAAGTTGCTTCAGAGTCAAATTTACGCAGGAGAGAAAATTCCTTTCCAGATAAATTCGATGGAAAGAACAGTTAGGCCTGCAATCTGAAAAAGAAAGGAAACGAAACAGGTGTTTGCCGAGACAGTTACCCAGTAAATAGCGTCTACAATGTTTCCTTAACTTACCTTTCTATAATTGTGTATCCACAATCAGCTATGCCCAAATGTGTATAACAATAGCGATAACAGTAAGTCCGCGATAATGGCAATGGTAATAATGATAGAAAGTTACAATTACATTCTTTTTGTATTCGAAATTGTTAGTCACTGGTCTTCTTCAAAGGTACAATTCTCTACTTTTTGCAGGTCTGGTATACATTTCGCATCAAGTTTATTTCAAATTATATGACTACAGCTTACCTCACTCATTCGTAAGATCTTATCAACACTCGAGAGGGTATCTCCTCCCACTACCTACTGATGATTTAGTATGTGGTTGACATTAGTTTGTATTTATTAAAAATGCACGGCAAGCTTATGTGTGACGTTACGAAAGTAAATATTTGACCCGAAGGATTTGCTTAAGTAGACTGAAGCTTTTTATAAGCTGTAACGTACTGCTCGTAAGTCATAAAGCAATGAGGAAACGTATCAATGGTTCTTGAGCAGTCTTCAATATTTCCGCCATCAATGGGAATATACACGTAGCCTATGTGTTTCTCCTGTCGTACTACTTCCTTCACTAATATCTATTTATTATGAATGAATATTTATTATAAAAATGAATAATATAAGCCATATAGGCAGACTTAAGTCCCACCTCTGAATAGCACAGAGAATTCTTTAAAGTAAGATCCATAATGATTGCTCGCCACATAAGTGTAATTTCCTTCTTTATGGAACTGGACGACTGCAGCACTTGCTACTGTGGTAGATAACACTGTAGAGTTCTTCCTTATTGTTGTGTGAATAGGAGGAATCCCAGTCGGGGTGAATGTCAGTTTAAAGCCTGGTAAGGTTCCCACCACAGCTGGAATGTACAGACTTGGTGGAGCTAGAACAAAAATCTTTAATGATCCCTAGGGTATAAGCAATCCATAAATTGTATTCTCTCACTTCAGGTGAGATATAAAAGTTTTCAAACGATTTTTGTAAACTTCCCTTTAACTTTCCATCATCGTGCTTCTACAAGAGCAAAAGACCATCATACCTGTTTACCTCGTCTCTTGATTGAAAAAAAAGTTCCCATGTTCTTCAAATAACTTTAAAATATCTTTTGATTCACAGGTTTTATTTTTCATATTTTAGAGGCAGTATTACACTATCGCCATTTCATCAAACATTTTCAGAGTTCAACATTACCATATTCATATCTATAAGGAAAGTACATACCAACAGGAATCGTACTGAAACGTAAGATGAATCCTCTCCCATGACCGATGGAGCGGAAGGTTATTAAAGCGTAGTCACCACCAACTAAAACCGTCTGCCCGGTTCTCTGACCACAGTATTCGCCAAAAAAGTAGTTCTGCTCACTAGAAATGCTTACATACTCATATCTGAAATTGATCATTTATGGGTGTGAGAAACGTTTGTTCATAAAATAACTATCCACAATTCTTTGTAGAAAAATGATCACTTAAGAGATTACTTTAACTCTCGGCTGTTTACTATCATATCTACTAGCCTAAAACCTGAGGGAAAGATCCTCAGAAAATAAAAACAAAAAGTAGTAAGTTAGCTTAGAGAGGCAGGCTGATTCTTAACGCCGATATACTAATTGATCACCACTTACCCACACCAATGGCCCCAACTGTTCCCGACATCAAAATCTTCGAAATAAATTTCCATTGCCTCATAATACGGGATAGGAATTTCATAAACACAATTTAGCTCTTCTGTACCAGGGTTTGGATATCCGGGACTTATCAATGAGTTATTTACTAATGATCCACATTCTGAAATACATAAAAAATATATAAATGTGAGATAAATCGATAGACCTGATGAATAAAAAATATGGAAAAGGGTTTAGCCAGGTCTGACGGCAGTGCTCTTCCTAATTTCTCATATTGCACGTACCATCTATTGTGCAAGGTACGTAATTGGATGCAACTCCTCGTGTTATGGAAGCTTAATCGAACTCCACTGTTAAATTGTGGAATTAAGTATTTGAGTTCCATATTGTGCTCGCCGAAAAAAGGGTCGTATTGATCCTTCAAAGAATCGGTTCCCCAACAGTATTGTACCCATACTAAGTCCCACTTATCATCTATGAATATCAGATTAATATAAATAGAGCCAAATGCTTTCGGTAACTCAAGAAAGACCAAAAACTCGACAAAACATTAAACCCTGTCTTTTCTGGGGCTGCAATTTTCAAATTCAGAAAACCAAAGGAATGTTATAGTTATTTTGACATCATTCATTATGGTCCATGAAAGTAATTGACGAAGTAAGAGCTTCGTCATACCTTTGAATATCACAGAAAACTCTCTTGAGTCTGAGCCATACTTGCTGGTGGCCACACAAGTGTAGTTTCCTTCTTCAAAAGGGTGAAAATTAATGCTAACTGAATTTGATGTTAAAACTAGTTCAGATGTGTTTCTGATGATTGACGTGTTCATAGGAACCGTTCCAGTAACTGAAATATCCACTTTGGATCTTGGATAGATTTCCACGACGGCTGCTACTGATATGTTAGGTGGAACTAGATTGGAAAAATACATATTGAATAAATTACTTGTAGTTTAGTATCATCTAGTTTATCATTATATAAAATCCTACTAGTTTGTACTTGGGTTAACTGAAAAAATCATCATCATCGTATCTATTCAACGCTATTTCCACATACCAGTTGGAACCGCTTTGAAATGGAAGACGAATCCTCTCCCATAGCCATTGAAACGGACTGTTATTATGGCGTAATCACCAGTCACTACAACGGTCTTCCCAGTTTGATAACCACAGTATTCACCAAAAGTGAAGTTCTCCTCATTAGAAATGGTTACCAAGCCATAACTAAATGGAAGCATAAATGGAAACGAGAAAAATCAAATTCAGATAAACTACCATTATTCCACTGTAGAAAAACACCAAGAGAGGATTCTCTCTTGAAAGCAAATTATTTAATAAATAAGGTTATTTACATGGAATTGATTTCGTGAGAGCGCATTTACTGGACTCGTGCAATCAGTCAGCTTCAGGAATTTACAAACAGATGAATGTATACACTTAGGATATGTACTGGGACTATTTTATGAAAAACATAAGAAAAAATACATTGTGCAAATTTTTATACGAAGTATTACGACAGCGTTCTAAGCTAGATTAGGTTTTAAGAACTTACCACCCCACACTGAGCCACCAATACCAGTACCCAACATAAAAATCCTTGAAATAAATTTCCATTGCCTTTCCGTAAGGAATGGGCACTGAATAAACACATTTCATCCGTCTTGGTGCGGAGTGTGGATATCCTGGACTTGTCAATGAGTTATTTACTAACGAACCGCATCCTGTGGTGAATAAATAAAAACATATATCAAAGAATACATGAATAAATAAATTGATGAATTAAGTGTTTCGTAAAGTAATTGGTGAAGTAAGAGCTTCATCATACCTTTGAATATAACAGAAAACTCTCTTGAGTCCGAGCCATACTTGCTGGTGGCTACACAGGTGTAGTTTCCTTCCTCATCAGGATAGAAATGAATGAGGGCTGAATTTGATGTTAAAACCAAGTCAGAAGTGTTTCTTATGATTGACGTGTTCATAGGAACCGTTCCAGTCACTAAAATGTCTACTACAGATCCTGAGAAGATTTCCACGACAGCTGCTATTGATATGTTGGGTGGAACTAGATTGAAAAAATACATGTTGAATAAATTACTTATAGTTAAATGTTATGTAGTTTATCATCATATAAAACATATATTGAATAATTTTCTTTTGAGAGGTGTTCAATGTCATCTAACAGAATGTTATGGTTGTTTTGACATCATTCTTTACGGTCCATGATATTATATGGTGAAGTAAGAGCTTTCTGAGAACGTAGAGAATATCATGCCAACGAGTTCAGCCCTCTTTTGTCTAATTATTTTTTTTGTCTTTTTTTAAATTCTGAAAATGCGAAAGAAGGAAAAAACTTTGCAACCGTATTTTACACAAAATCGACCTCGAGCCCAGGGTTTTTCCAGCTCCGTGAAAATCTAAAGCACGCTTTGTGCTGATTCGTTGGCTGAACAAGAGGAATGAGGTGCAATGTAATTGGATGCGCTTGCTTAAGGTACCATCAATCAATTCAACCTCGGGTCCAAAATTTCTTCCGTTCCTTTTAAATCAAGCGCTCTCGTTGTTCTTATTTGTCTTCTGAATAGAATCAACACGGCGTTGATGTGCCCACAATGCAGCTGACCGTGCCTGCTTAAAGTAACTTTAAGGCACGGTCATACAGTTGTGCGTAAGGAAATTTTCTCAGCTTGATGAATATTTACCAATTTTTTAAAGTATGGTGCTATGCTGTGTGTGCGGTGCGAACTCCATTATTTAAAAAAATCAAAACCTCAATCTAATCTTTTCGGTCCTAGAGAGGGCTGCGAATTTTCAGTGCATACATGTAGGGTAAAAGACTTTCAGGGAAAGGCTATTTTGTAATGATTTGTAGGCAGTATCAAAATTTCTCTATTCCAATAAACACTTAATTTCACAGGGTTTCATCGTTTCCAATCTATATCCATCCCAATTCTACATACCAGTAGGAATTGCGCTAAAACGTAGGATGAATCCTCTCCCATGGCCACTGAAATGGAATGTCGTTATGGCGTATTCACCACTCACTACAACTGTCTGGCCAGTTCCCTGACCACAGTATTCACCAAAAATGAAGTTCTGCTCATTAGAAATGGTTACCAAGCCATAAAAGTATCTAAATGTAAACGTGAAAATACTGCTCATACCAAAAAAATGAACCTTATTACGTTGTAGAGAAAGAGGGAGAGAGAGAGAGAGAGGGAGAGAGAGAGAGAGAATTATTTAAAAGATCCTCAGAGGGATTTCCTCGACGTTCATCTCGTGAATGCGTTGTTTGTTTCTTTAAACTTCTTCAAATACAGGATTCAGGCGATCAGTCAGCTTCGGAGACTTACCAACATAAGAAATAATCTTGTGTTTACAAGGTACTTCAATTACTCAAGGCAAATTTCTTATGCAACAGAGATCTTATAATGTATTTTAATATGTAAAGCTCTCTGTTATGACAAAAAAAAAACCTTGAGGGAACGTTCCCTAACAAACGAGTAAAAAGCAAAACAAATCAAATAATGACATACTTGCACTGAATGGTTACATAGCTTGACGGGGCAGTTTCGCTACTTACTTACAACTGTACCATCTATGGTACCCGACATCAAAGTCCTCGAAATATATTTTCATTGCCTTTCCGTATGGAATGGGCACTGAATAAACACATTCCATCTGTACTGAGTCTGGGTATGGATATCCGGGACTTATCAATGAGTTGTTTACCAATGATCCACATCCTGTGGTGAATAAATCAATAAATAAGGGGAAATGTAAACGAATAAAAAATAAAACAATAAATAGATAAATGAATGAAGAAATAAAGAAGAAAGAATGGATGTTATTAAAAGCGGGAATGGGGAATGGTGTAATATAATGGGAAATAAATTTTTCATTTTCTTTTTGGATTTCTTGGTTATAATGCGGAACACATGTTTTTCATCGGTGATTATCGATTTGGCAAAGTTTAAGAGCGGAATAAATTCATGATGAGGAAAGAAGGCAAACCAAAACTGGCAAAATTTTTGCACTTTCCAAATTTTGGCGCATCAAACTAATATGCTATGACCAAAATTTTACGAATTGAGGTATACTTCTATCACAAACCCATCCACCTTTTCTTCCTGCTGATCTTTTGCGTTTTGGCTGACACTTGCGCTGTTTGCGCCGGCCTCAATACTTGCTACGGAAGGGGAATTTCTCGTTGAACCGGACCCAGAGTACGCGTCACAGACTCTTGAATTAAAGCGACGTTCAAATTGGTTTCAATCGAAAGAAGAAGGGCCAGACGGACGAGGAAAATCCTGCCATCCCTCGCCAAAATAAATTAGCGGACTAAAATGCTTTGTCCCGATGAAATTTTATCTAGGCGTATCTTGCATATCATGACAGCTAATGGTTAAAATAAACATGATTGTTTGTTTAGCCAAAGTTTGGAAGCCTCCAAGGCAGGACATCGAATCCTTCGAAGATTTGGCGACTTGCAATTTTTAGATTTTAATGTTGTTAAAAATCAAAGTGTGGATATCGATTATCCACGCTGAGTAAGAGATTGAAAAAAAAATGCATATCAAACAATAAATTTAAAAAGAAAACAATTCTCTAATTTTCAATCTCCCATTTACTCTCCCATTCCCTATTCCTCATTCTCATTCTCTCGCAAATCCAAGAAAGAATGGTAAGAAAGCTGGAGAGAAAAATATTTTTTCTAAATCTTCCCCCGTGAGTATTCAAAATTTTGTTTCACTAGTCGCTCGTCTCACTAAAGGCTTTCGTCGTACCTTTGATTATAACAGAAAACTCCTTTGAGTCTGAGCCATACTTGCTGGTGGCCACACAGGTGTAGTTTCCTTCTTCTTTAGGATAGAAATTTATGAGGGCTGAATTTGATGTTAAAACTAAGTCAGAAGTGTTCCTTATTATTGACGTGTTCACAGGAACTGTTCCAGTTACTGAAATATCTACTTTAGATCCTGGATAGATTTCCACAACAACTGGTACTGAAATGCTGGGTGGAGCTAAACGAAAGAACGAAGGAAAAAAGGGAACTGTTGAATTATTACTGATGGTGAAAATCCTCATCCAATGAGTTATTATTATTATTCTGAGCTACACAGTACAAATCAGAAGCAATTTTGTATTTCTCAACTGTGATTACGGGTGCTGTTCTGACACGTAGGTGTATAATAAAAGGTTTCCTCGTAGAATCTCTGTTTAAGTTGTCCACCGCACGCCCTTCCTCTATACGTATGCAATTGCGTCTTATTTAACAACAAATGTGATTTCATAACTTTTAAGAATAAGTGGTCAAATGATAAAATGCTTCTTGACTGAGTTTGCTCGGGCCGGAAGGGAATACATTTGACTTTCGAACCCAAGCCAGCTAAATTCCCGTTCTTTCCGCCCAAACTCGGGCCATAACTATATGAATTCATCATTAACATTATTGCTATTACTATGATTTCCATCATCGTCATTACAACTATCACCAATGTTAATATAATTATAAACAATTGTTGATCACAGTTATTTACCATCCAGATTATTAAACCAATTGTACATACCAGCGGGAACTGAATTGAAACGGAAAAAGAATCCTCTCCCATAGCCAATTGAATTGAATTTTATTACGACGTAATCACCACCAACTATAATAGTCTGTCCAGTTCTCCTACCGCAGTATTTGCCGAAAAAGTTCCGCTCAACAAAAATTTCTACGACACCATGTCTAAAATGGGGAATTTAAAGACATATTAAAACAGTTTCGTTTTTTTTCACAAATATATATATATATATATAAACATAAGTTAAAGAATTAAAGAGGACGCATCGATTCTATGTGACTCTGAGTTTCGCGCCTAAGCGCTCGTCAGACAGAATTTTTTTCTGTCTGACGAGCGCTTTGGCGAGCGAGCGCTTAGGCGCGAAACTCAGAGTCAGAGTCACAGAGAATCGATGCGTCCTCTTCAATTCTTTAACTTACGTATACTTAGCTCTGCTACCCAGGCATTGAGCACTTTATGCCAAGGTAGACTCTACCGCCGCATTCATATATATATATATATATATATATATATATATATATATATAAAATAACTGAGATGCTACAAGCGCTCTGATTGGTCGAAACTTATCGTTTATTGTACCGATAGACCGATAGAAAGAGCGGTCCAGTGCCTTGATAGACAAGTTTTCCCTTTTAGATCGTATAAAACAAATTAGATTTAAGGAATAAGACAATCTATAATTTAATATTCCATAGTTACCTGAAACTCTCCACAACTTCCTGAATATTTTCAGCCCCCCCCCCCTCCCCCCTCGAGAAAAAACGATGGGAGGTCCCCGCGACGCATAAATAACTAAAAAAAAGTTTTCATTAAACATTTATTTAGCTTCAAGAGAAAGAATGTTTGTTTAGTTAGCTTTAATTTTCGCCACTCACTCATTGCAGCCATGCCACCAACTGTATCCCACATCAAAATCTTCGAAATAGATTTCCATTGCTTTTCCTTCGGGGATGGGAACTGAATAAACACATTTCAGCTGTCTTGGAGCAGGATAGGGATATCTGGGGCTTTTCAGTGAGTTATTTGCTGAAGATCCACATCCTAAAATGAATGAATAAATGATATATTTATGAAAGAACGAATGAATAAATAAGTAAATAAACATTTGAAAAGACTTAATCAAGCCTCAATGCGAATTCTTCATTTTCTCACATTTCCGTTCTACTGGAGAGAGGCGTATTCTTGGATGCGACTTCCTCCGATCTGTTTTTTTTTTCTTTTTTTCCCTTCTTATTATTTTAGAAGTATTCTACAAAGTAACCTTACTTTCTATCATTTTTTAAGGCATATGAATAGTAACATTATTAATCAACGAGCCGTTACCTCGAAAATTTGAAAGCTTCTCTTCCGTTCGCTCTTCTAATAAAAAAATTAATTGTCAAAATTGTCCCTTTCCCTTACAACCCCAAGAAAACCGGCGTGGAGTCTGATTTATTATCGCAGTAATGAGTGACCTTGAGTTTATTCACTTTTCTTGCAATTTCGGCGGTTCAAGGCTCGCAAATGATTGATGTGTGACTGGATGACCCACCTAGGCCGTAATCTAGTTTTTCTTCTTACGTAGGAAAGCTTGATCGGGCTTAACCATGAAATTTGAAAATATATTTGAGTGAACTTAATGCTCTTCTTAAACGTCGGCCGTGGACATTTATTATAAACTCACTTACCCCTATCAGAACTGAATTGAAGTTTGTTCCTTTTTCTGCTTATTTTTGTCGTTCGTCTTGTACATGTTTGGTTTTTTTCATAGTTATTACTTTCTCTACTTTTTAACATGGTAATTTTTTCGTGCTTTTGTCTTCGCTTTTAATCTGTGTCTTTGGTTTGTTTTTTACCAAACATCCAACAATTTTTTTTAAGTTGAATACCGTTTTTGCAATAGATAAAAAATAGTATTCATCCGTAAAAGCATTGCCATTTACCATGATGAAAGTCTGATGTTTTGGAAAAATCGATGAAAACTTAAACATTCAATAACCTTGTTTGAATTTATAACCATGAACTTCCTTTGATATCATTGTTGATGCTCAATCGAAGTAAAATGATAACTTACGGGTTCGTCTTACCTCTGAATACAATGGAAAACTCCCTTGAGTCAGAACCATAATCATTGGTGGCCACGCAGGTGTAGTTCCCTTCGTCATTAGGATTGAAACGAATGTGGACAGATTCCGATGTTAAAACTAGGTCAGAAGTGTTTCTTACTATTGATGTGTTCATAGGTACCGTTCCAGTCACTGAAATATCTAATTTAGATCCTGGATACATTTCCACAACAGCTGGCACAGAGATACCGGGTGGGACTGTGTTTGAAAAATAGGAATGTTGATAATGTCTTTTATTTATTAAAATTTGTTCATTCATGAAGTTAACTACAATTTTTACAAAAAGAACAAATAAGAAAATGCGTGAAGAAAGAAATACCCACAAGTGGCAAAGGATGGATTTCTTTGCTCCACGCTCGCGACACGGCGTATAAGATCTCTATTTATCCTGGAACATTTTTGCGCCAAAAAAGGCTCGTTCCACAATCTATGTTTTTTGCCACCTTCACAACTGGTATTTTCCTGGAATTATTGACTCAGCACTGAGAAAGAGGCGAGTAAACAAAAGTTACCAGAAATTTTGTTTTCTTTCCTTCAAAAATGCAACACATCTTGGACTGAGTATACAGTTGCAGTTTAGTCTAAGAAGATAAACCTCTCTCATCTGTAACAGACTCTCCTCTAATTTCGAGAACATTGATGTTAAGACAAAACAAACTGTTTCTGGTAGTTATTTAGTATTATTAACTGAGCATATAAGTAAACGTAAATTGGCCACTGTTAAGAGTTTCAAAGCTGACGTTTTGAGCGTTAACTCTGACGAAGGGCTAATCAGTTCATTCGATAATACTTAATTACCCTGTTATACTCTTCCACCGACGCAGCATTATAGTTTCTTTAGAAACTTACAACCTTAATTCATTTGTTTCTGAAAGTATTTAGTTTGCTTGGAAAGAAAATGAGGGTTTTCAAACTACTCAATTAGGCCTATAGAAGTCTTCGAAAGTTTCAAAATTATCGCGATCAGGTGAAAAAAACAAACCCAGGGGACAAAAACTGTTTAAAATTCTCTAGGATATTTCTATTTGAACATAATTTTCAACGTTTCTCGAAGTACAAGCACATTCTTATGGACTTAGACTTGATGAAGCGATAAAAATCAAATTCAAAATGAATTTTTTCACTTCCACACGCAAAATGCAGTATGTGGTTTGGCATTAAAAAACTATATACACTAAAAATATACTCACTGTACCCACCATATGGAGCTGTATTGAAACGTAGAAGGAAACCTTTTTTTTGAACACTGAAGTCTGAATGGAAGGTTATCGAAGCAGATTCTCCGAAGAGTACAACTGTCTGTCCAATCCGTTGACCACAGTATGGACCAAACGTAGTACCGTGTCCATTAGAAATTTTTAAAAAGTCATATCTGTAACGAGGGAAATATTAAAATTTGATTCGGTTTAAGGAAATTGTGCCCGTCTACAAATACCCTATAACACAGACAGACTTAAATGAAGAGGGACAATTTCTATACCTTAGAAACTATGTTAAAAATAGTAAAAACTGCCATCGTGAAACTATGGGATACAGCCGAGGAAAGGTGATCATCTTTAATTACCGAATCTGATAAAAAGAAAAGCAGGATAAAGGAAATCAAGGAATATTTTTTCCTGTATTTGTGCACATAAATTAACGTTCCTTATATTCTAAAGGAGAGCTGTAAATTCTCGTTCAGCTGTGTCATCTACCCTGATCTGGATTTTTATTGCAAAACGTCAGAAAAAAACGAAAAGTCCTCAAGCCTGCAACTTAGAAAAAAGCAAAGAGGAAAGATTCATTACTGGTAGAGAGGCCTTTCTCACCTGCATGAAGATTCGAATTCCAGATCAAAGTCGTCGAAATGTATTCCCATTGGCCCTCCGTGTGAAATCGGAACAGAATATTCACAATCCATAAAATTTGGGTAATTGCTAGGGTATCCCGGACTTTTCAGTGCGTTTTTTACCAAAATGCCACATGCTACAACAAATACGATGATGTTAAAATCATATCTTGCTCATTACATAACTTTTTTAACCGTTCATTGCAATAGTTGTGCAAGAAGATCCGAATGAATACAAAGCTGCGATAAAATTGATCGATTGCTATAACAATTTTTTCCTCGCACACACCGGTTAGGCGTTACAAGTTACGAAGCCAAGTGTTTCAACAAGGTAAATTTGTAGCGGATTTTTCGTTGCGTAGAGAAATAACTGATCATATTGGAACAATTGATCGTCTTATTTGAACCAGAAATATCTTGGTGCAAATAACGTTATAACGCATACAATACTCACCTCGTGTCGCCAAGGCACCGGGATTTCTCTTCAATGTTGATACACAAATCATCGAAAGTAGGGTCATGATAGAGGCAGATTCAGCAAACCCCATTGCAACCATTCTTTCTGAAAACAAAAGGGATGGGGGAAAATATAAGAAAAATTAAGATATTTTTTCATCGACTTCATCAAGTACTGTTAACGAGAAGGTCAGGATTGGTTTCGATATAACAATATCACTACTACTTCGTGCATTTTTTCTCCTGTTTTGTTAGTGCGGTTCTTTATGCGGCTATGAGCTGTAAAATTACTATATTTTGAGACCTTGTCAATGTTGCTGAAACTTAGTGATATTCTTTTTGAAGTTTTTGTTTTTGGGCGTCACATTGCTATCCAATTCATAATTCATGAAGACTAGCTAATACACAGCACCAGAAAATAGCTGTTTTCTTCCCGCTCGTTCTCCACATACTTATCTATCTATTTACTCATATTTTTCTCAACCAACGGAGCTTTTTTTGGAATCTTTTTGCTTAGCGTTTGTGAAAATAGAAAAATATTATTATTGAAAAATCATTTTTAACCCAAGAAGCTTTTCTTTTGCTGTCTTCAGCTCAGCTAAATTATGGAAATTAAAAACATATGTTATTGAAAATCTAATTTTTTTGTTCTGTGCTACATCTGTCTAATAAGAAGTTATAAATAAATTCTGGTTTGCAACTTCATGACGTTTTAGTTTGAAATCAGAGGTATCAACTTTAATATTTGCAAAATGTACCGGATTGAATCTTTTACTTTTTATCGATTTGAACGAAGTTTGCACCGTTTTGCCTCTATACAATACTTCATTCCTTTCTTGCCGATTTCTTTCATCCTTGAGCGTTCATCTAGGATTCAAGTCTCTTGCCTTACATGTTCTTTCATTCCGGAAGAGTTTCAGTAAGGTTTGGAGAATTTAAATCGCAAGTCAATTTTTTTCTTGTTTTATTTTCTCTGTAACCGCACTTTCTTTGGCTGCAATTTGGAGTCTACTTGTGTGATTACTTTCCTACGGAGTTTCGACTTCAAATTTTTGCTCTGATTTTCAATTTGAGGAATCCGCCCTAAAGATAATTCAGTTAACCCTTATTCCCCTTTCCGGTTGTAGAACTGAAACTTTACCAACTAACGCGTCTTTTTTTTAAATTTTTTTCATTCCCGAAGTATCTCATACTAGTTGGCAGTTTTCTTTCTCCAAGAAACCTTGCAGGAATATCTCGTTCAGAGAAAAATAAAATTGTCGCCATATGTTGTTTCACGAGCTATTTTTTTTTTTTTTCTGAGCAACAAAAACTGCAACAGTTTCAATTTTCAATTTTCGACATGCATTCTTTTTGCCAAAAAAAGGTTGAGCATATTTTCATTCCCAAGAAGTTAACGAATAGAGAATGCTAGACAGCTACAGTACAAGAGCTACTGCCCGACAAAATAAAAAGGTTAAACACGCAGCAAAGCTACTGCACAGGAATCTAAGCCTTTGATATTAAATCCTATATTCTCACCTTATAAATCTGTTACATGATGTAACGTCGGTTTTGATCGTAGAAATATGAAATTTGGCGCAACAAATCCCTCTTCGATTCAACAAGCAACCAAGTAAATATATCCCCTTTTTACGCTAAAAGCAACAAAAGATTTAATCCCAGCACCATTTTATTACGTTGGGATGGCTAATTTTGCCTATTTTCAAGCATCTGGCAAACAAACGGCTAATACGATGTTTTTGTATACTTCTTTACTCAAAGTATTCAATTTGCGAAAAAAATTAAAACTACCACTATGCGTTAAAAATTATAGTACTTTCTTACCAAAAATATGTTCGATTTTTTAAATTTTTCGCAAGATATTTCTGCAAAAAAATGCTCCTACTTACTGCCGAAAGGCAGAGTTCCGTTCAAGATCCCTCGTGTCTGCTATCAATTGAATTAGGCTACTAAAGAAGAGAGAAGCACAAAAATCACCCAGTATTAATAATTTACCACAGCATCATAACCCTTTGACGCTTATCTTCAATGTTAGTATATCTATCGGTAAATAGATTTAAAAGGAAAACATAATTACAAGTAATTTCAAACTTGAACTTGGCGTCTATGAGCTATTTAGTTGCACAGTCGATTAATTGCACTTCCGATTCAGAAGCATCTGTTGGAAGCTCAACAAAGCTGAGACCTGAAATCGGTTACTTCAAAAAGAAGATGGCCGAAAATGAATAGCTAATAAGCTCAGAATTAACCCCATAAATTTTAAACCGAAATAACATTTTGCAAGAAGATTACTGTTCCCCGTGGCCAAATATTCCATTATGCGACAGAGGCCCACAAAATTAGCGTAAAACAAATATTTCGCCTAAAACTCCAGTTAATTAATTCTACTGCCATCAATACTCTACAAAGGCTTTTGAACAGTTTATTAGCTTATTAAAATCTGCAGTCAGTTAAGGGTCTGTTTGAGTACAGAGAGGACCAGCTTTCTCTTTTGATCAACAAATATGGGGATTGTGATTATCAAACTTTTCAGACACTGAGAGAAAAAGTAAAAATTTAGAGCTTGAGTCTGAGCATTTAATGTGATCCAAATAGTACTTCTACTTTTTACCTAAAGGCAACTAAAGCAAAAGAACTCAATTCCGAACAAAGTCAATTGGCTACACACTTTTCTAATAGGATTGAACACACCTTCCCCCCCCCCCCCCCCCAAAGAAAGGAAAAATTTGGATAGATTTTTTAGATGTATTTTAGCAACGTATTCCCCATTCGAATTCAATTCCTAAACCTATGAAGGTCTAGGGTACAATGAATTACGAAAAAAAAAATAGGGTCAATCAATCCAGCTGCTTCTTCCATACAATCATGCTGATTTGATTTTTTTGTTATTTGCCGCTGCTGTTTATATTAAAGTTCGGCTGAAAAGAGATACACTGTTTTATAGTTGTCTTGTAGTATGAGTCACCGTCCTAGCCCCAGTTGTTCGAAGGTTGGATAACACCATCCACTGGATAAATCGCTATACCGTGGAAAACGCTGTACGTTTTGCAATCACTTATCCGCCGGATAGAGATTTGTCCGTTGGATAGCATTATCTGCCCTTTATACAACTGAACCCAGGAGAAGGACAGCTTCAGTTACCTCAGTATAACCTGTCTCGGCATCACATTCAAGTCAAGATGCATTTTACCACTCAGGTTTCTCAAGTCACCTTGTTTACTTTCAGAACATTCCTTTCCAGGATTACCATCATGTACACAATTAATAATGTTACTCCCATCTTAAAGTAATTTGTGATGCACAAGTTATGTTTTTCTATTTTGTGCTTTAGCGGTTTCTACTATAGCATATAAACAACGTCTTAAACAATGAAATGTTCAGTAAATATCCATGCAAATTAAATTACCGCGTTCTGAACTCACTCTACGACGCTGACTACTTCTAAATTCTTTTTTGAATTCGTGACAGTGAGTTAAGAGCAAGAAAGGCCTAATTTTGGGAACGAACATTTATTTTAAGAAGAAACCATTCAGTTTCATGACTGACCTTGACAGAAAAATTTTGCCTACCTCTCTTGCAGTCCGTGCGCCGCTGTTTGGTGTACACAATTTATCATTTAGCGTATGAAAATCCCACAGTTGTTGTCTCGATAAGTGCAACCTCGAGGCTTGATATGTTAAGAAAGTTCAGTTCTTAAGGAGAAGAGCGAATTATTGAAGCGAATAATTAAACAACCCTTGCAATAATTGATTTTAAAGCAGATACTGAAACGATATAAGCTTAAAGTCAAAATTTGAACGTGAGTTCAATCACTTAAAATTTAAATCCTACTGGTAGTGACCCTTGGCCAGTCTTGGTAGTGAAGAAAACGCAGATAAGACTCAGCTCACCTTCTCCTTTTCCCATTCTTTGTGATCTTATAGATGAGAACTTTATTGTTTCTTCTGTTTTTTGCTCCTCGTATGTAATTTGTCGATGTTATACTCCGCACTTTCTTTGCTCCTTGCCTGTTTCTTCTTTATCATTCTCACTCTGTTTCGTCTCTGTTCGATTTCACTTAAACCCTTTCTCTTCAAAATGAAACCTAATTTTATGCCTTAACTTCTGCCGACATGAGAAGTGCTACTGGTTTCTCAGTAAACTTTGCAAAAATGTTGCAAAAGGAGAATTGCCTGTTTGCCGTCAATATCTGATTCAAACTTCGAACCAAAGCAGTGTTCAAACGTCGGCACGCGCAAGTGGATCAATTTTGGCCGGCCACGCATCAGTTTCCCGCGCAAAATTTCAAAGCCGAATCACGATAAACAAACACAGCAGTCAAACACAGCTCAAGCGCTTGAGTCTCATAAATAAATTACGAGACGAAAGTCTCTGATCAGGGGAAGTGCAAAGGTTAAAGTAGTTATTTATCTCTACAACACCAGAACCGTTGGGTCAGTTCCTCTCATTTACGGCTTCATTTACACAGAGGCAAGAAAGCAAACTGTGCCAGCAGCTCCACAAAATTTGCTGAAGCGGTGTAGCCGTTTAAACACGGCCACCACAGTGGTTGGAGTGGTGCTAGCAACAACGGTGTCAGGTTAGTTGCCGGCTATTCTGTTGCCGTCTGTTCTGGCACATATAAATACCGACGGGAATAATTTGCGAGCCATTTTGTGGTCTTCCAGTTACACTGTAGCCTCAGCTCCATGAAATACCCGGATTTATGTCAAAAGAAAAAATATCATAAATTCTAGGAAATAGCTAACATGTACCTCGATTCAATCATGCGGGTTTTTTGGCCTCCTGTGATTTTTTGAGGGGATGATTTGTAGAGAGTGCAGTGGTTTGTAGTTCCTTTGCTTTTTCAAAGAAAATATTTAGAGGGGAAAACAGAAGAAAAACCAGTAATTCACTAAAAAAAGACGACCCACACCACTACGCTGCAGACAAGGGACTGAAAGGAGCATACCTCATACTTCTAACCCTAACCCTAAGCTTATAAATGTAGGAGGTGCCTTTTTTTGGTTCCTTAAGACAACCGTTTTCTCGATTATTGTAAGTACATCGAGCTTGGCTTCCTTTAGAATCAGCACTAGTAGGTGATTTTAAAAGACATCTGCAATGTCTTCACGCTAACAGAATTTAACATTATCTTTTTGAAGAATAAAATTTTCCTTAGAGATCGAGTAAGAGACAACGTGTAAGCAGTAAAATTTAGGTTATAAAAAACGATGATAAAATAATTGATCGATAGTAACTCAGTTCTCTCTCTTTCAGTAACTAAACAAACAGTTAAAACAAGTTAATAGACAGTTGAAGAGCTCAAGAAAAACTATCAAACATCTATATCATTTAAACATTGATTACAAACTGTAGCTGTTTATTGATGCTGGCTGATCCTTTCCAGTTCCATCACCTGAGGTGGTGCCTCTGCCAACTACATTTATTCCTCAGTCATTTCATTTTATATGTTTGATGCGAAGCCAAGTATTTCGTTCGTTGTAAAATTGATAAAGCTTCTTTGCACAGAAGGTTTTTTCAATGGATCCATCAACGATCTGGTAATTATTCGAAAGTCTCTTAAACAGAATCTACCCAAAAACTGACTAAAAATATATCCATGCATCGCCACAAAATGAATTTAAATAAACTTGATTAATTTCAATAAAATGCTCCAATATCCATGCGTTAAATATATTTATCATATATTTATGGTGTTATTCAAGGATTTCCAGCCCTGAGAAAAACAACACAGCTGAAAAAATACGATATTTTTTCACATGTGTTTGATATCGCCAATCAGCTGCTGACACGTCACTCACGCCACTCGGTCAAAATGATGAATGAAGCCTTCACCATTCTCAATCCAGGGTCGTTTGTCGGAGTTTTTTCAGATTATGGCTGCTGAAACACTAAAAAATCCGCTTACAGACAGTTAGGCTCAAAGTTTCCTAGAAGGAGAACAAAACCAAATACAAAAAGAAAAACCGAAAGTTACGTATTCAGCGGCTTTGGTAGTGGCATTTCTTGCGGCTGAGAACGAAAATCATCGACAACTCGAAGATTTGCCACAAGCCAATATTGGCCGTTTATCTGAAAGACTTCTTCTGTCGGTAAGGACAAAGTCAATAAATGAGAATTTTGTTGACTGGAAATTACGCCCATTGTTTTGTTTATAATCATGATTCAACCCATTTTTCCATCATGAGCCTTAGCGCCAACGTACGGTACGATTGTCGATTCTTTTATTTTCATTCATTAATGAGGTCGACTTTTCTTGTCACCAAAGGCTATTGTGTTAACATGGTAAACAAAATAATACATGGTTACTTGTAGATGTTGAATTTCTCTTCTCGTGTCCGACTCGATATCTCAGCCGTTCGCTGCGCTCACTCGGAGCTATCGAGTTGAACACTCGAAGAGAAATTCCATATCTACGCGGGCCGTTATTTATTCTCTATTTAATATATTTAATGCATTGTGGCAAGAAAGCGACTAGAAAATTATAACACCTGCCAATTAATTGAAACTTGCTCACTTTTTAAATCGTTTGTTTGGTCAATGTTACTGGTCCTGTTTTGATCAAAAATAACGAAAACAAATTCACCCCCAAGCTTCTTCCCTTAATAAACTAAAATCAGTTTGAAGTCCCATTAATACGACAAACAGAGTTGTTATCAATAATATCTTTTGATTTAGGCCACCTTTGCGTATTGCTTATTTATATCGCTATAAAACTTGTCAGAGTAACACAGAATATTTACAGCTTACGTCCCATCAAGAATATCACCTGTCCTTGAAAGCAAAATTTTGAAAACGTCTTTGAGTGGGCTAACCGTGCTAAAAGAGTAAAGATATTCAGCTCATTAGAGTCTGATCAAATGATATCTTTTTTTCGTTTATCGGAGTAAATTATTGACACCCTGTTGTATTAAAATATTAGACCAAAGCTTGGCGTCTTATTGATCCGTTTTTTCCTACCACGAATGTGCGAGCTTAGTCGAAAATCATAGACAAGTTTCACGTCATCAATTTCGCAGTTCTGATGTATTCGCGGCCCGGTTTGGAGAATTTAATTTGAGCAATACAATTGATAGTCCATTGCTGAAAGACAAGTCGTATTATAGAAAGGGGGTTTTTCGAATTTCACCCATCGCTTTTTTTTTTCTAATCGATTCCACCGCCTGCTGAGAAATAGGGCCAGAGAGTTCAGACTCTTCCAAAGCTTGTTATGTCGGAATGACTCTATTTTGGCCAATGAGGGTCGGAATGACTCTATTTTGGCCGATGAGGGTCGGAGGTAACCTTCTGGAAGCACCCTCGAGAATCCTTTGAATCAACTTCCTTACACTGCGGCGAAATTTCGAAAACTTGTAAACGTAGATGAATGGATTGATGCAGGAATTGGCACAGATCGCCGTGAGACAGCTAAACACGACCTTCCGTATCTCTTCATGGTTTTTTAAAGATGCAACGATCGCTGGAGATACAATCCCCGGAAGCCAACACGTCAGAGTAGTTATCAGCACCAGCCCAACCCCTCTAGTGGCCCTGTCAACCATAATGTTTCGATATGGAAATTGATTTGCAGTCTGGCTAACGATGCGTCGCGCCTGCTTTCTTGCTTCCCTGTATATGACACTATACATGAGGGGAACCAGCACGATTATGAGGCTGATGTACAAGTGGAAGATATGTGCGGCGATCGAAAAGTTGCTTACAATTAGCAAGCCAGCGGAGAGAGATATCATCCATGAAATTGTCACCAGCGAAATAGTGTTTTTTTCAGTCATCCATGTTATATATTTGTAAGGAAAATATATGGCCGAGAAGCGATCGAAATTCACAGCCAATAAACCAGTCATGGAGGCGGTTATTACGCTATGGCCGATGAATGACATGTACACTTGACTTACGCCATAATTTTTGAACTTGAGCACCAAAAGAGGTTGGTAGCCTGCACAGACCAGGAAATCAGCCAGAGACAGATTGATAAGAAGGATCTCTGTGGGTTGTCTTGACGAGTTAAACACAAAGAATGAAATTATGATCAGAAGGTTGGCACAACTGCCAAGAATCGCTGTACCGCTGTTGAAGAAAACAATTAAAACTGAGTCCCAGTCGGCCATGCATGGAAGAGGCTAAAGCAGCACGCGCAAGACAATATGTAGATCACAAAATATGGACATCACGTTGCAACTAACGATTTTGATAAACTTTAAAAGGGGGACGATGGCTAAAATACATCGGAAACAACAACAATGCCGTTAATAGCCTCATTGAAAAGGGACACATTGGTTACAACCTCTAAGAAAAATCGATCAATAAGGCGGTGAAGCGGTAATCATAAAGTAGCTTTAATGTAACTTTCCATGAGAAGAATACTTCAAAGTAAGTAGAAATACTTCAAGACGTCAGTTGATGCCATCAAAATGTATCTATTCCGGTAGTGCCTAATGGAGTCGCGCCACTTTGATAAAAAGTTATACACTGATGGATCAATTTTCGATTTCCAAAGTAGCATTGCCTAATCATTATTTCAGCGCTTTGAAACAGCCTTGACGTAATTCGGTCTTTCTTTTTGACTAACAGTCACTCAAAATAGGTGAATTAAGAAGTCCAACCGAAAAAACTTTAAGAGACGCATTTAGTTTTAGATGTTACCGCATGCCGCAGTGTTGCGAAAGTGGTTCAATGTTGATCGAAAGAAAATAATTTTTGGAACCATATATCAAAGAAGGAACCCGTAGAAATCACACATTTCTGAGGGTTATAACAATTTTTTTCGGTAAAAGCTTCTATTCTAGTTTTTCTTTAGAACATTTACAAAGATCGCTTGTCATCATTGGAAATGTTGAGCATTTATTTCTCTTCCAGAGGCACTTTCGCCATCTCTTTGTGAGCTTTGTAAGCTCTTTGTAAGCTTTGTAAGCTTTGTAAGCTCTCTGTAACCTTTTGTAAGCTTTGGAGATATGCTTTGATTCAATATCGTTAGGTTAATATATGGATAACTTGATTAGGGCATTTTCAACAGCTAAAAAGATTCACAGGAAATTGTCTAGCTACTAAAAGCACTCTTCACTTTCCTTTAAATGACAGATGTCTTTCTGATTAAGACTGAAATATCACCAGGAGATCTACCCACCTCACATGTCCTCTATAGTCAAGCACTTACGTCAAATAAGAATTGAAATATACTACTTGATGTCCCAGCTTTTAATTAATTTCCCTCTTAAAATTGTCTAGCAGTAACTGTACATGTTAATAACGCTTTTTCCATGTTGATACCCAATCAAATTCTAGAAAGTACGAAGCGCCTTAAAACCTAGGATTTTCAAGGAGTACGTATTTTAATTGCTTTTATTTAACAAATCGATAGTGGTTTAGCGTGGTCTGAACTCTTTCGACAACGATATTTGTCATCAAAGTGATCAAGATGTTGTGGACTCATGAGTGAACAAACTGCAACAAACCGCAACAAACCGCTGTCGCTTTGTTCTTAACCCCGATAATGAAGTCAAATAAAGCGATTCCTTCAATGCTTAACCATTACGTGACAACTTGGCGCGAGAAGCGTTTTCTGTATTCTTATCGGTGGCGGCAAATTGGCTAATCATATAGCGACATTACTGCCAATTGTGGTAAAAATTATTTTTGAGCTTCTTTCTTTATTCGCAGTCTTTCGTCCAGTGCCCAAATCAGCGTTTTATTTCTCTTTTGTATCATATCCCCACCTCAACAGAAAAAAGAAAATATTTTTTCTGTACTATGATCATATCTCAGATCTTCTCCTTTAGTTGCCCTGCACCGAGAAGACATTCCGAGCAATTAGATAACAGGTGATTTTCTAACAAAAAAAAAACATTCTCGACATGCGGATATAGAAAGAGTTCCATAAACTCATTGGTCAACTTTGTATGGTTTTTTGTCTTACACAGAAAACGCTAATCGAATTTAAGAGAGAGACTCACGATTTCTGCGCCACTCCGTGTAAACTTGCGCGGCCATCCATGCCCATGACAAGCGTACCGCTGTCAGGTACTGGCGCTGGTAACATTTCCAATAAAACGTTTCGTACGTACTTTAAATTTAGTCTTCAAAAATTTTGTGGACAGGAACGGCTTTAATGAACTATGAATAAGTTTTAGTTGTACAAAGATACTGGGCATAAATGCCAAGAGGTATTTTTACTCTTCTTCGATCTCTTTCCACTTATCATGATAATTCTGAGTCTAAACTCAGCTGGTTTTGACGAATGGACTCTGTCCTTTGAGGAGGGTTACTTTGTTTTCATCATCCTGGCAAGAGTCACGGTCTGGCCAGGACTGATAAATGAAAGCGCCTTTAGTTTCAAACTTCTTGCAAAGGCTGACAAGCATTACGGGTTCGAACAAGTCCCAAATAATTTAACCTCGGGTTAATTCTCCTTTGGCAGATTGAAATCGGTAGTAACCTGCCTAAGCTACAATCGCGAATCATTTTGATGAACTTCATCAAGTTCATCAAAGTTAAGTTAAGTTGATGTAAACGTAGATATATGGATTGAAGCAGGAATTGACACAAGCCACAGTTAGGCACTACCAAAAGGCCTTCTCTAATTCTTCCTCAGTCTGGAAGGTTGATCAGAGCGCTAGAACCAAAATTACTGGCGTCCGGCACATTAGGGTTCTCATCGAAACCAGCTCAACCGTCTTGGTGGCCTTGTTGATCGTCTTACGTCGATTTGGAAGGTTACGCTTTGAAGAAGGCAGAGACTCGATAAAGATGCGTAGAGCTTGCTCTCTTACTCTACATGTAGGGACCAACACGATCATAGGGCTAATGTACTAGTTGAAAAGTTGCTGACATGCAGTTAACAAACCTGAAGAGAGGGATATTACCCTAAATACTTTCCTAACCCAGACAGTTTTTTTCTTAGTCATCCAGGTCAAATATTTGTAAGGAAAATAAATAGCTAAAATTCTTGGAACGCTTAATGGGTCGCGTTTATTCTAAAAAGGCGGTATTTAGCAATAGAACTGACCTTATGTTTATATATTTTGCTTTCTTTTGAGCAATAATGTACTTGAAAAAACGGTGCATTAGCTAAGACTGGAAATAAGACACAACATCTTTCAAAAGGTGGCATAAGATATTATCCAGGAAATTTTATTAGGGTTAGGAGAAAGGCTAAGAATTTTTGGTCGGATATGAGCGCACGATCGGTTTTGAGAGACAAATTGTTGATATTTAATCAAATTTGCAAATTGTCATATATAGCACATTGAAGACAAGTTTTTGAAAGAATGTGAAGATACCATTTGAAATCTCTAAACATTGTCATTTTCATAATTAAAAAACGCATTTTTTTAATGCAGAGAAAAGATCACATAGTTGCTGTAGCACGTTTTGAATTTGCTTCAGGTGGTAGTTATAAAGTTTATTTCGCGACTCTCGTTTTTATAACAGTGAAAACTGAAACAAGCCATGTTAACCAATTTATTTTGCAAACGATAATCCATGGATCGAAGCAAGATCAAGAGCCGTCGAGCTCAAGTAATTATCCCTGACGTACTGTTCAAGCTGTAAATTTAAATGCAGAAAATCAGTACAAATTTGCGGCTGTGAGATTAGTCTGCATTTATCATGGTTTCTAATTAAAAAAAAAATACGAACGAGAAACTTCAAGTGTCAATCAAATTTTCGTTGTGTGTAAAAAGCTAAATATTATGTTGCTCTTTTAAACTAAAACCTTCATACCATCGAAACAATAAATTCACCGACAGGCATTTACTGCTAAGTTAGAAAAATCCCTTAAACGAATACCTGATCGTAGCTTCTATCAAACTGTAGTAATACTTTAAAGGAGGAAAAAAAATCCTTTCAAGAAGCAAATATCCTCTGGAAGGCTGTTGAAGTAGGAATAGACAGGTAATTTAACAGATCCTAAAGTTAGAATGATCGAATTCTTTAAAGAAACAGCCATACTAACGTTGCATCCCTCCTGATGGGTAGGGGGGTCTGTCTCCTTGACCAAAACATTTTATGCCATCTGGCCCAGCTACAGCCGATCAAGCACAAGAATAAAAAAAAAATTGGAATGAGAGAATTTTATTATGATTATAAAAAACAATAATGATAATAATAATAGTTATAGTAATATCAAACCCCAATAAGCTCTTTCCATTCATTCATTTTAAATTAGAAGTAAATGAATGAACAAATGGATGGATTGATTGATAAATGAAATAAATAAATAAATGAGGTAAAGCAAAATTAACAGCTTGGTCCCTGAGCGTGCCATGATAAGCAAAACTGGTCCGCGGTTAGTTACTTAATCCCATAGCAAGTTCTGCATGTGGTCTTTTGGATGACTTTTAGTTTTCCTTTTCACACACCAAGATCTTATTTATTATTTATTTATTATTAACTTGGCATCTAAAACCTAGCCTTTGGGGGTGCAAGAAAGTATGTGGTGTAACCATTTAACTTTCGTAGGCAACCACTCGCAAATCGATGGGCCGAGATCATTTAACCCTCAATATCGAATTTGGCCCAAACGATACCCAGTTTTGTACTTTTGAAAATTAAATTATCTCAGTTTGATTAGCAATTTTTTGCCAGAAATCTACTCACGTCCGCGTTTGATTCCCTTCAACTGCACCTTGCTCGGAAAGTCGAAGTCATTCTTAATCTCAGGAATTCTCGTTGTCACTTGATAACCATTAATGGCGGTCAAACGTACGCTCAGAGGAGTTTCCATTTTCCCAAGTCCTGAAGCGATGAAAAAGTTGTCGGAGACACGTTTCATACAGTGGTACCTCCCGTTTACCAGGAGTTCCATTCCAGCCGTTGGTATTCTTAAAGAGAAGAAAAAACCGATCGACAGGATGAGAAAAATTGAAAACTTGACTCTATTTGTTTTTTATTTTCTCGTAAGGGGATCCAAGTGAGGATATTTTGACTCATTTATATTTTCTTTGCATCATTTCGTTTCGTTTCGTCTTGTTTCTTTCGTTCTCTTCCGTTCCGTTTCGCGTCTTGTCTTGCCGTGTCGGGTCGTTTCGTTTCTTGCGTTTCGTTCCATTCCGTCTCGTGTCGTTTCCCTTCGTTTCTTATCATATCGTATCATTTTTTTATATTATTTTTGTTTTTATATCATCCAGTGCAGCCATCTTCAACTTAAAACAGAGCAGTTTTAGTTTTTGGTCCTTATGAGTCTTATCACGCTAATTTGAAGCAACATTTAGCATAAATCTCACTTGGTATTCCTTGCTTGTAGCTTGATGTAATAAGGGTTGCTTCCTTGGAAACGAAACTGAATTTTACCATCGATCCCTCGAAGGGTCGGGCAGTCAATAGCCTGATAGTGAATTTTCCACCTTCCGTCGCCAGAAACGGCGAAATCTAACCCATCTGTAAATTTAAAAGAATATATAAATTGTTCTTCTTACCTTTTCAATCAAATTTCCTGTTATAATTCGATACAAGACATCTTAATGAACAGTTTGAGGATGAATTTTTTTGCTCGCATCGAAAAGTTCTAGAAAAGAAACACGTAGCTAAACATTCCGTGAATTTACAGAATCCTAAAATGAGGACCATTCAACACACAATCAAATACAAAGACACTGATACGTACTGTTTCCACATCCACCGGGGCATATATCAACAATCATTGCTCTTCGGTTTCCTGTAATGGGGTTAGCCCCACTCCCTTCTCCCGTGCCAGTGATTTTAACACACATACCACACCCAACAGACTCCTGGTAGGTTCCAGGCGCAGCTGCAACAACAATCCAATTTTTCTTCCTGATGGCATTCAAAATGTTCGGAGACAACGGGTTAAGGGTGCATTTTCCTTTGCCACCTTGTTCTCCATAGTACGTGGCCTAAAATAATACAAATTTAGAATAGTAAACAACACTCTTAATCCTTACACTCCCAAGATCTCGTTAGTAATTCTCCTCGCTGGTTGTCACACAATTCTTATGGTTTGAGTTGGAAAATTTAGTATTGGATCAACTGATTAACCCTTAATCGATATTTTTCTTTATTCTCATCACTTGCCTGCTTGATATTGTAGTTTTTATACTGTCAGGAGAAATTATCTCTTGTTGGTCAGTCATGGGAGTGGAAGAGTTAAAATCCAAAACTATTATGGCTTGTCAATTTAGATGTCATGGATTTATAAGATGACTCTTGAATTGCTTACGATAAAAAACTGGAAAGAATTCACGTTGTATAAGTCGATCCTTTTTTTGTTAGATACGTGTAAAAGAAAGCAGACCTTGAACTGAACTCATCAGAGACGCTCCGTTCCCCCTTGATGTTCCGTTGTTAGTGGACATGACTGAACACTGACTTTTGTATTTTATTTATTTTATTTCCATTTTTTGCTGCCTCCTAATTTTTTTGGTTTGATTTTCCGCACTACCTTGCTCCATTTTAAGTAATTATAAAATGTTTCAATAAAACCACACAAAGATCTTCACATAAAACAGAAATTAACCACTGAAAATGGCAAAATGCGAAGATAATGGTAAGATGCGAAGATAAGAGTGATAAAATATCCTTAGATTCATTTATATATTGATATTCAAATATACAAAGTCAATCATTGACAAAAGAACATACGACAGCAAAATTACGAAACAGGTATGGATTTACTTACGTCGACATTAGAGATTCTATTGTTGAAGCGATTGTAAGTGGCCTTTACGTGAGAGAGTGTTGTTTCTGCCTGAATAATAGAAAAAAGAAAACAGAAATAAGCACACCAGCAAAGGATTGCGATATCATTGTCGAAGAGAGGGGGCTCCACAGTCGAACAATAAAATTGACATGCACGATATACATATTTTGTTCGACGCTAAGTTACTTCTTTCTCCTGATCTTTATTTTCACGTTGACTACATATAAAAAAATCTTCGAACTACTTTGGAATCGTCAACAACCATCTTTAACAGAATGCAAACATGGAAGTATCAGATTAAAATCAAACTTTTTTCGAGTCGAGCCAGATACCGAAAAGATTTCCTTTGTAATTTGTAAGATTTACCCGAATAATTAGAAATACGCACTTTTGCCTTAGTCGGTATTTTCAGCGTACCTTTTGTGACTCCCGCGATGTGTTGTTCTAACGGAATAGTCCATTTACACATTTAGTAAATCTCCTCGATGTTCTATTTTCCATGAAGCAATTGAAAGCATGTCGACTGCTACTGTAAATAACATTTGATTGCCCACCAAAATAACGATGCGATTCGTTCCTCATGTGCACAGCATTTTGAAGGAGAATGAGTGAGTTATCTATCTTAACAACGTATGAATTAAGTATCCTTTTAACTTAATTTAAGCGATCGACTCGGATAATCTCATGATTTTATCTTGAAAAAATTGAAGACTTCACTGTCGTCGGTAGATAAAAAATTCTTACCTTGATGGTGGTTGTAAAGAAAGCCAGAAGAGCAACGAGAATGGACATCTTTGGCTTTGGGCTCATTTCAGTAAAAGTAACTGTGGTTATACTGGAGATACCCTTCCTTTCTTTTCCTTTTTTGAGATGTTTAAATGAATAATAGAAGGTAGTTTTCAAGCATTCAGGATTTAACAATTACAGACTCAAAGTTTATTTGCCATCAAAGAAGGTGAACGAGTTATATTGGTACGGAAAAGCGCATGAGTTTGATCAGTTGCTAAGAGTAAAGAAAGGCCTTAACGAGGAATTCTATACTCAGAAAGATGTGATTTAAACGACGCGAAAGTTAAACAGAAACGTCGCTCAAATAAAATAATACTATGAACACTTCAGACCAAAACCTTATAAAGGAATCAATGGGATATGAAGTTTTCGTTTCGTCTATTGTTCATTGGCAAACAAAGCTGAGGCGATAGCATTTACGATCTCTTCTCAACGATACGGTTGTCGCTTGCACAATGCAGTTGATCTATATTTACTAATGTTTCGCGAAAAGTGGTGCGTTGTTTGTGAGGAAACATTACCAGCTATCTTGAAAAATATGTTTCATGAGAAGTTACTAGTACGTTTTTCTCGTTTTTGCGGGCATCATGCGAGCCGACTTCAATTTTTCCCAATGCATCCTCGAGCAGACTTCAAAGAAGTCTTCTTAGTACCCAGGCCTCCCACAACCCACCCACCACGATAGTAAGATCTGTAAAGGCTGATGAAGCATTTAATACATTTAAACTCTTACAATCGCACGAATCTCAAAGGACTCCACTAAAAGCAGACGAATACATTATTTAATTACTTTTTTAATTTATGAAACTGACAACATGGATCATGTTTTAGTTACAGTAGAACATGCAATAGATCGCAGCTAATATCCAGCTCTCCACGAAAAAACTTTTGATCCAGGTCCAGAATATGTCAAACTGGTCTACAATCTGAAACAGTGAAGTTAAAATAAAAAACAATTTTCTTTGGATTATGAAAACAAATATGGGATAGACACATCGTGCATAATGACTGGATGTTTCTCAACCTTTGAGCTTTGAAGAGTTCACGTAAAAAATGGGTAAGAAGCTTAGATTAGCTCGCTTTTGATGGAAAACCCTTTGGCGTTTAGAAGTAGAAGGTATAGCTAAAAATTATCCACAATTTTCCATCTTAAAAGTATAAGATTATTGGCCCTATGTGACTTAAATTCCTACATTGGAGAAGTTATGAGTTTTTTTTTATATTATGGCCAATTTTGGATGCAGCAACACGTTCAGAATTTTGACTGTCAGCTTTATGGGGAGAGAAAACCCGCGAACGAGTGTGCGCAACCCGCTAACGAAACCAGGTCAAAGAATCAAATCCAGGACAAAATAATGAATTAAGGGTAGTGGGGTGAGGTGGTGGGGGGGGGGGACCTAACGTTGGTGAGGGTGTCGAGTCGAAACTTGATAGGTAGTTAAAATTAAGGTGTAAGATCCTGAACGAAAAAATGTTTTCTGGCCTTGCATGGTCTAACATTGAGAATGCTTTACGAAAAGAGCAAGAGTTGTGACAGAGGAATTCTCAGTAAAACAAATATTGAGTTAAAATAAGAAAGAATTAACAACAAGAAAGTGCAAGCAGTCGAACTGTATACTCGTTATACACAGAAACACTTTTCCAACGTCTAATAGGAGTTTTCGTAAATGGCAGACCGAAGTTAATTTGTTGGTATAATCGAGTCAAGTAACTTACGTTAAAGGCTGCTCCCTGGATACTGATGTTTATCGCCAGGTTAGAAACATTTTTATATGCTGGAAAACCTTGCTAAAAAAAAAATTGTCAGAATATCAGTTCGATGGTGATTTTTCTAATTGATGCTCGAGTGTTAACGCTGTAATTTCCTCGCAACACTTAAAGCCAAAGCAGACTGGCCGGGTGCTTCTGTTCACAGATTTTTGTCTAGAATCGCGCCGTATGTACGTAAGGTCATTGCAAGGGTCCAGCAGCTTTAATTTTAGCGTCTTGCGTCGGGACAGTTTTTTTCGCATGCAGTTCTATAAGTTTATTGAATTGAATTGCCATTTCGTGTGTTTCGCCGTTTTTAATAAACTATTCAAATCACAAAAATGTCTACGTGATTCACAGCGCGTTTTTCCTGCTAAGACTATAAGCACCACTTTAAATATTGATCTATTTAAAGTGCCCGTAGGTGTAAAGCCGGCTTTTCCAATTACAGCGTCCGCACTTAAAAAATAAATGAACCAAAAATGTGGAAAGCTCTGTAGCTGACTAGGAACAACGATTAATTTCTGTCAAGATATTGCACATAGATTATCTTGTATTTTTCTTCAAAATAAACTGTTTTTAAGGATATGATACAAAACAAGTTCCAACCATTTTTCTTTGTTCGAATTGAAAAAGGGACTCACCTCCAACGCATCGAATATGAACAACACGCACGTATGACAACATACGCGTATGACAAAACACAGACAAAGAACTCTGCTTACGTCATCGAAGACTCGTTCCCTGTAGCGTTTGTCAGAGGTTTCCACGTTGGAAATAGCTTTAACATATGTCGCCTAAAATGATCAGAGGTGAGGTGAAAGTTTTGGTCGAACAGAAGAACAGGCGAGCGGAAGGAAGTCGGTACTATCGATAAAGAGAAGGGTTTTTTACATAATGGGCATAATGAGGAACAGTCCAATATTAACATAAATATAAATCAGCTGAACCTGTTGAGCTAAAGCTCTTTACTTCCTTCTTTCTTTCTCCTTCTCACAGCTTTACAATGATTACTGAGAGATTTAGCTTCGATAGATGTATTTACACTTTTATTAGGGTTAAATTTCTGTTTCGTCTAGCACAATAAATTCCTCGACGATGTTTTCGTATCTTTAGTGGTTTTTGTTTGTTTTTTTTTTTTTTTAAGTTTTGTCTTAAAAATCTCAGTAAGCCTAATGTTCTCACCTTGATCACGATTGGATAAAAGAGCAGTGCGCCAACGACAATGAGCATCAGAGACTTACAGCTCATGTCAATGAACTGCGTAACCGTTGTTCGCCTTTCGCTCCTTTTAAAAGTGTTTCAAATGTATAGAGGAAGGTCTCGATATTTAAATGTCCATATTTAAAAGGAGACATAGGGTTCATTTACCGTGAAAGAAGATGAACGTGGGAGTGTAAGAACTTCAGTAAGATAGCTTATGAAGCAGCTGCACAGGTTGAGCAAAGACTTCAACGAGACTGGGACCCTTTTTTTAATTTGAACCATTCCTAAGAAATCTAAAATTTCTGTAAAGGCCCTAACTTTATTTTAATAAAATTCCTGGGGAAAAATAAATAAAACTGTGACTTTTTTTGCAAAAAGAAAGGTCTTTTATTCGTGGGGTGACTTGGTTGGTATGACTTTTTGTCTAAGTCCACGGGAAAAATGTTTTTTAATAAGAAATAATATTGATGACGTATTGGATAAACCTCAATGAAATCTTGTCGATAATATTGTCTGCCTTAGCCTGTCACGTTTCGAATGAGCTGATCTGTTTCAAGTTGATATTGCCAACTATAGGACTTACCCTAAATCGAGGGGAGATAACACCTCTACTCACTTTAACAAGCATTTTTTTGTCAAATACCAACTTTACCATACCAATTTTGTAAAACATCTTTTTTTTTTTAATTTTTTTGTTTTTTTTTTTAAGTTTGGGAGCGGTTTTGCCAGCAGCCACATTATCTTTTGGAATTTGCTTTCCATCCTGGAAGGTTGTCTCAGAATTTCAATCAAGAAACTCTCTTGGATATTCTAAAATACTTTTCCACCAGATCTCACAGGACAATTCCTTGTGCCTTCATAACGATAATGAATAAATAAATTTTTTTCCTTAAATCGTTATCAAAATTATAATTCGTATGAATAAAACACAGAGGAGAGGGATATTAAGTTCCGCATTAGAAACCGCAAAACCGTTGAAGAAATCATGCAATTCCGCGAAACCGCAAAAAAAAATTATCAAAACCGAAAACCGCTTGCAAAACCGTCAAAACTGTTTAATTAATCTTCACATTCCAGTTATCAAAACCCTAATCGATCTCGTGCAGTCAGTAACAAGTGAAGCGTACAGAGGTTTCGCAATTATTCGAGATCAGTGGAGGCGCATAATTTCCGCCCAGACCGAGGAGAAACCGGAACCCAAAAAGGAAAATACTCAAACCACATCGCATATCAAATCCGCAAACCCATTAGTATTTTTTGACGAAAACGGGAAACCAAATGCTAAAAAAAATCAGCAAACCACGAAGTACACCTAAACCGAAAGACCAAAGGTTTCCGACGCAAAAAACGAAAAACCGATCTAAAATATAGCCAAAACCGAAAATCCCAATGCTCCCATCATAAAACATGATAACCGTTCATATCTCACGCTCTTTGAAAATAAATTTCAAAGGATGGTCTAGATTGTCGAGTTTCATTTTACTTGGTAATTTTTTTTCAATTTTCTTTTCGGCGTTTATCATTTAAACAACTATAGTCTGGAATATTCTTAATTTTGTTTTCCACGCCGTTCAACATTGCGCTTTCTCGGCTGAAACTTTGCCGTGCAAGATAAAATTTGTAGCATACGAAAGAAAGGATGCCTATTTACCCGCTTTCAAATAATTCATTTGTGAGTATAGTACTCATTGATCTTCACTTTCAGCTGTCATTTGAAAGGAGAACCTGAATACGTGATCATGTGCCAAATATATGACGTCATAATTATAAAACGGAATCCCTTCGATACATTTGAGCGAAAGGGACTAAGACAGTGTTTTCTCCAACTTTTACGCTACCTAGGTAACAGAACAGCAAAACATCGTCGATTCTTTTTCAAAAGTAAGCAGTTTATACTATCTATCATCTCCGTGGTATCTGTTATACGAGTTGAAGAAAGGGAAATGCAAACGAGGTAGATTAAAACAGCGAATAGTTGCGGGCGACACCCATCTCCGACCGCGATTACTTACAGGGGGTCAAAGCGCCAACATTTTTATGATTTCGCTAACCGCTGTTAATGGACAATACCCTAGTTACAAACCCAGAGTTGTCATAACAAAATTACTAAAGTTTTATGCAAAACTTATACATTGTCACTCCAAACTCTATCGCTGACGGCGAATTAGATGACATTACACGCTTGAAATATCCCCAATTCCTGCATTTATTTGTTCGTTTCCCCAAGATTACAACGTGATTCCATTGAACAAGAAGTAGTTATCACAGGAAAAAGTTCACACCACGTTCTCTCAGGTGAAAACTTGTAATTCATCGAGTGCTCATGGCACGTGAAATGGCCAAGAAACCAAGATACATCTACGCAGAGTTTGCCACTTTTTTCTTGGTGCTGATGTGCTTGGGATCTCTAAATCTCTGCGAAGGTAACTTTACCTTGCCACTTTTTATTCTTATAACTATGCAGAGACGTAGGAGTTTCTTTATCAGGAGAAAATACGAAAATAATGTTTTTACTCTACCGAGACGCGCATAGTAGCTATGTTGTTAGACATCAAGGATCTGAAACCTAATTTTCCGCGTGCATGCACTGAAGAAGGAAAGCGCTTTCACTTTTAATGGAAAGCCGACGTAATCTCAGGTGATATTTCGCACATATATCTTTACCACCAACTGTTAGAGACCTATATTTTTCTTCTCTCTCCCCCGCCTTTCCTTGAAGTGGTCTTGGATGCAGGCCAGTAGTACAAATTAAATTCACAAAACTGCGACCAGTCTCGCGATAGTTAATTCTACGTAACAACAGAATTGCTGATCACGGAGGGGCTGGTTTGAATAACTGATTAGTTTCCCAGACAAACAACTGAAATTTGGAAGGCGGGGTAGATATATTTGGAAGCAGGATCATGTTTCCTCCTTAAGAAGTAAACGAGAATTGCAAAGCAACGTAGTATACAGTTTCATATCATCTAAAGAGTCTTTGTAGTTCTCTTGAGCTTCCCTATCGACTCCTAGCCAGAAACTGAAAGGGAGATGGTTGTTCAAGTGTGATTTCATTATAGAGAAATACAAGAAACATAATTTGCGATGGCATGTACGACAAATTCAAGAAAGAATTAGTTTGCGATTTTGAACGGCGATTCTCGGCAACCTTATATGGACACCTCTAAGAGGAAAATACACATCTATATTTAAAAAAAAAAACGGTTTGCATTGTCTATCCCGCAAAAACTTTTCAAAGACTATGCAAATCTGGAAAGATGTCGATTCCGCTTTTGAATAATTGAAATAAGCTCAGTTGTATAACATTGAAATTCGAGAAACGACTACTGGGAGTGGTACCAAACACCCATCAAAAATCGGCGGTTTGATGATCGTAGAATTTCTTATATTTGCTTAAAAATACGTCTGTGAAAGGAAAAATTTCTAGATTTTCAGGTCAATAACGATTTCAAGCTATTTTAAATGAGCATGCTATTCAAACTTTTTCTCAAAGCAACACAACATGATACCGAGGTTGCTCAGCGACACTTTGGTGCAACACGCAAATAAATCCACGGGAGACAACATCTGCCATTCTGAAAATCTTAAAACTAAACAACCCAAATATAATCCTCTGAGAAAATAATTTTTGCCAAAGGCAATCTACACTTGAGTGACTTCAAGCAATTTTTTTTATTCCAATTGCTTTAGGTGGTCAAATTCTTTGTTACGCGCAACCACGAGATGGAGTTTTCCTCGAGGCAACTTTCACTTGTTATGATCAATATTGAAAATTTTGCTTGGTGGGATAGTAATCATTTACAGTCAGTTTTCAAGCAGACGGAAAAGACTTGACCTTATCGAGTTTTTCTAGTACTACTTTTTTAATAGTAAAACTGATACAAATTAATATTTGGTAATTTTCTTTTCGCGAAAGCGAGGACAAATTGCAACAGATGGTTTTTCTAATATTATCAATAATTTATCATAGGCGAAAATTTCTGCAACTTAGTTACACAAACTAGGCAACTTATTCGCCTAAATAGAGACGCATTTCATCATTTCATTTCTGCTCTCAACTTCCCGTCGTTCTAATAACTTCCTGCGTCCACCATTGCTCGTTCGCGTGACATTTTTTCCTAAAAGAACCGAACTTATTAGAAAAGCAGGTAACAATTAGTTTTCTTAGTTACGCTTGAAAGTTTCTTCTATTATGTTTTTTTTTTTTTTGGTCACCCTTGAGGCATCATTCATTGTCATCGAAAAATCTAAAATGCGGTCCAATTTCTGCAAAAAACAGAAGGGAACACAGCAGACTGTAAAATGTAATAGCTACTTCAGAACAGTGATGAATAAAAAAATGACAACCAGAAAGACAGAAATAATTTTTAAATATTCAAGGGAAAGTTACGCAATACTTTGACGACTTAATTAAGTCGTTATCGGAATAAAAAGGAGAAGAAAGATAAACATGTATTCAATTCATTGTATTTGAAAGGAGTTCTAGAAAATTCATTAGCTTTTTTTCGCATTGTTCAAAAAATTGTATTCGTGCTGTTTATGTTATATCTCAAAATATACCTTCCACCGCTTGCCTTGTTAAGAAATACGAACACGTTTCTTATAAAATGGTGTAAAATAATTTGCATCCACTAGCAGCACTTTAATCCTTACCAAGGAGAAGTAAAAACTAACTATTAACAAAGAAACTATTGGTGAAACATGTGAAACAAAATAATCTCAGGATAGGATTATTACATGAAATGATAAGCTGTTTCACAAATTGCGCTGTTAAGAATGCATCGCGCAGTTAATGCAGTTCGGTTTGAGTCTTACGTTATGGTTTTTCCCTTTGAAATCTGTTTTATACGATTGGCCCTCTGTCATAACACTATTGAAAGTTTCAAAAGTAAATCAGTGTATCGGACGTGCCTGTGCGCGAATATCATATGATTATTCGTACTAACAGCGTTGTAATTTGGATTCTCATTTCATTATTGCACAATCTACAGCTCGGGAAAAAAACTCTTCGACAGTTTGTAAGGAGTTCTGATAAAGTTAAGAGCTGGACTGTAAAATAAACTGACTGAAGCTCAGCTTTTAAGCTTGGCTAAATCTATTTACTGACCTCTCACACTGTGGCCTTATTAAACAGAGGTGGACTGAATATTCTACTAATCATATTTATTGCACCTTTGTCCGTGTAAAATTCTCGTAAAATTAAGCACATTTGTTTGATTGCAAACGTTCAGGTTCGTGTTCTGACACTCCCGTTGGTGTTCGTGATGAACTAAAAGTGATACCTGATGATTACATGACTGCAAGCTCGGTGCTCCCTGGTTTTCCAGCCAAAGATGGTCGCCTGGCTGGAACTGGTGCCTGGTGTCCACTAACAGGTAGTGACACTGATCCATATCTTGAAATAAGCCTGGGTAAAAGCTACGTAATATGCGGCATCGAAGTGCAAGGAAAGCCTGGTGCATCAGAGTCTACAAACTTTACGCTCCAGTCTTCAACAAACGGATCAAACTTTATTGAAGTTGACTCAGGGCAGGTAAATAATTGACCTTTAATTTTTATCAACTTGTTTCGCTGGCGGGTTTATCAAATTGGTTTTATGTAAACGATTTGAAGATATCCATGGTTTCTGTCGAGACTGGTCAGAATTTAATGTTTTAGACTGTCAATATCCACCTTAAGGTGGGCTCAAAATATTTTTCATGAATTTGCGAAAATACTATTCCCACCGACCAGGGATATTATAATTTTATCCTCAGATCATTTAATTATATACGCACAAAACCCGTTTTTTTTTCTAGCGCCGAGGTCATAGCTGGGGTTGCTGTTAAAAAGCCAGCATCACTGTTAAGGTTTTTAAACCAACTTATATCAAAAGTAGTATCACAAACAACACAGCATAGCATTGTTATCGTTGTCTTTATACGTTTTCTTTTTCATCGTAGCTTTTGTTTTCATGAATTTTTGTCTTTGAAACTTTGTACTTTCCACAAATGATATTTCGAAGTGGGAAATTGTTCGGAATTTTTCGAAGTGGTTAACGCTACTTGCAAATAGCGAACTCCTCGTGAAAAAGCAAAGTTATTTTTTTTTATAGACTTTTTCCCTTGGTGTTGTCGTCCTGATTACTAGGTCCCTTGCCGCTGTCATTATGAATTTCACTGCCTCGAAGCTGAAGTCTATACCTTCTACCTTTCACTTCCTTTGTATTAGCAGTCTAAAGACTTGAATTCTTCTGGATCCTTCTCCTGGGTTTCTATACAACAGATTGTTATCAATGAATATTCGGTACAAAAACACGACATGTAACATGGTGTCGACTTTTTTTAAGACTTATTATAGAATCAATAAATTGAATTTCCCTTAATTCTGTTTATTTTTATGGATTTTGAAGTATTAACGCTTTCGGTACCTCTCCAGACCTTTAATGCCTCTTCAGCTGGTGGTGATGTCGCTACATTCCATGCCCTGACAGCAAACGTGACTGCAACACATCTGCGGTTTAAGCCAGTTTCCAACGTTATATGTCTGAGAGTGGAGATTTACGCTGTTCCAGGTATATTCTATAGCGATATGATTTTTATCATAATGATAGGTTGTGTATCGCATGACGATTGGAGTACGAAATAGTCTTTATAATGCTCTCGCTAATGTAGATGTGGGAAACACAAGCTTAACACAAGAGTTATTACCGGAGGTAACGGTAGCGCAAAAATGAACACGAGTGCCCGATAGGGAAACTATATCCTGCGTAGACGGTTGTTAAGAAGCAGTTTTTGTTAAACCAGGTTTGAGAGAAAGGGTTTATGAAATATCTTATTTCACGCCACTCACGGAGGAAACAGCAAGATACGTCCTATCCGGGTTTACATAACCCGGTTTTGTTGTTCATTCAAGAAAACGCGGACACCATACTTATTGCTTCGATGCTTTTAGGTTTTGTGGCTTAACGCTTCGACTCAGTGTCATTAAACTAACTCCAAAGCACACACAAAAACCAATCAGAAGAGCTCAAACTGCCATTAGGAGCTCATGAGAATTTGGAAACGTAATGACTTGGAGACAGCTTGAAAGACGGAAAAATGCCAGTGATCAAGTCACAATTGATTGTATTTTTGTCTCCGATTGAGCGAAAAGATGCATGTGGTGCGCGTTTTTAAGACTGATCGCACAGCATAATGTAACAAAATCGACACAATTAGAATTAATCTCGACACTCAATTGGAAACAAATCTTTGAAACCAACTATAGCTAGGTGGCGCTAGGGAGGAGTAGGGGAAGGGGGGTTGACGCGGTCCCATCAGATGGAGTCACTAGTTTTCGAGTTTAATACTTGAGAATCATGAATTACGAGATATCGTTTATAATGACTCATGAATATCGAGATGAAATTGGGCAGAAATCACTGCTCTGCAGATCAGATGATTCTACGATGATGACGTTCATGCTGATACTTTTTTCTTTTTCATTCCTTTTATCTCAGAGTATGTTACCATCATTTGCCAGGCGTCCTATATCTCGGTAGTAATTCCAAAATCATTATTTCCTGACCCTCCTCCCACCGCGACTGACCTGGCTCTCAATGACAGGAACTGTAAAGCTATTGGTGTTTCAAATACTTTCTACTTTGACATTACCCATGGGACATGTGGAACTGCGCTCATTATCTCAAAAGATGGAGAAATAGTATTTTACCACAACGTTGTCTTCGATACTAGAGCAGATCCGGATGATCCCAAATTTGACATAATTTGCCCTTATTTAAGTAAGTATGTTATCATAAAACGGTAGCTCTTGGGCTTTTAAAAAGCCGATGAGCGAACATTTCCAAGTCTTCCTTGATAGGTCCTGTAAAGATAGTTAAGGGGTTCGTATTTTGGAAGATCGGTAGATCTAGCCATAAAAAGATGAAGGGAATCATGAAAAATAAGTGGACTCGCGGATGTAAAAAATTACGGATCGACTAACAAGTTTGGCTCAAACTTTCGTCATTTATAGAAAGTTGAAGAATCTATCCTTACCTCTAGACTTTGATGCAGTATAGCTTAGTACTTCAACTTGTTTTCTGTGATGCTTCTTCCTCAAAAAAAAGGAAATTAAATTACAAAAATGTAAAGTATATAGATATATATAGGGAGTCTGTGTATTGATTTTTCCGTTTTACAGTGCTCGATACGTAGGAGTAGAGCGCGATATATATTGCGATAGGTGATAGTCTTCTGTATACTCTCTATAGTCTCTCTCGCAATATGTATATATATATACGTGAAGGTTGAACTTATTAATAAGACATAACTTTTCTGTGACTGAGTTTCATGCTTACGCGATCATCAGACAGATTTTAATATATATATATATATGTAACAAGTAAAGACAGGAAACCTAAAGACAAGAAAATCAGGATACTGTACAACTGTAGACAGCTAAAACAAAACATACTCATATACTACTGCATTGAGTCAATTTATGTCACAGGAAGTTTGGAAGTAACATGAATCCGAGTAATGTAGGTTAGGTGAATCCACAAACGAAAAAGGGACGATTTGCATGTCTCACCCCACTACAGCCTTCTTGAGCAAAAAAAAAAAACTCCCGGTGGGGCCTGCGCTCCACTACGTAACCTTTATTTTGGCCTGTCGTGCAAAATTTAAAATCTTTGTAACATGATCTGATCCATGATCCTTGAGTTCGAATACATATTGCAAATTTTCTACCATTTATTCCTCTGTTTCAGACATCGACGACTGTGCCTCTGATCCTTGCGAAAACAATGCAACGTGTACTGACGGAGTAAATAACTATACTTGTACCTGTATGGCTGGCTACGAGGGTTACAATTGTTCCATAGGTAAGTTAGATCATTTTCCCTCCTATTCCACCTATGAGTAGAGAAGAAAGTTATATTTCCCTGAATTTGATTCCTTATCTTGCCTTTAACAAGACATCCAATGATCTACGATGATGTTAGAATGTGTTCACTTTCTTCCCGAAAACAAAACCTACCTTTTGCGTGAACAAGGGAACATTTTTAGGGAACATTTTGCCATGTTCAACAGTTATCTTTATGTTCAGATATCAATAATTTCAACTATTAGTGTACCTGAATGGCTTATTTTAAAGAAGAAATTAAGTGACTCTAAAACGAGGTTGGAAGCTCTTTTCAGTTCTTTTCGTACACGAAGCCTGTGTTTTAAATATATACACTAGAAATCGAATACAAATTGCAAAATTCTTTACCATTTATTCCTCTTTTTCAGACATCGACGACTGTGCCTCTGATCCTTGCGAAAACAATGCAACGTGTACTGACGGAGTAAATAACTATACTTGTGCCTGTATGGCTGGCTACGAGGGCTACAACTGTTCCATAGGTAAGTTAGATCATTTTCCCTCCTATTCCACCTATGAGTAGAGAAGAAAGTTATATTTCCCTGAATTTGATTCCTTATCTTGCCTTTAACTAGACATCCAATGATCTACGATGATGTTAGAATGTGTTCACTTTCTTCCTGAAAACAAAACCTACATTTTGCGTGAACAAAGGAACAGTTTGAGGGAACATTTTGCCATGTTCAACAGTTATCTTTATGTTCAGATATCAATAATTTCAACTATTAGTGTGCCTGAATGGCTTATTTTAAAGAAGAAATTAAGTGACTCTAAAACGAGGTTGGAAGCTCTTTTCAGTTCTTTTCGTACACGAAGCCTGTGTTTTAAATATATACACTAGAAATCGAATACAAATTGCAAAATTCTTTACCATTTATTCCTCTTTTTCAGACATCGACGACTGTGCCTCTGATCCTTGCGAAAACAATGCACCGTGTACTGACGGAGTAAATAACTATACTTGTGCCTGTATGGCTGGCTACGAGGGCTACAACTGTTCCATAGGTAAGTTAGATCATTTTCCCTCCTATTCCACCTATGAGTAGAGAAGAAAGTTATATTTCCCTGAATTTGATTCCTTATCTTGCCTTTAACTAGACATCCTATGATCTACGATGATGTTAGAATGTGTTCACTTTCTTCCCGAAAACAAAACCTACATTTTGCGTGAACAAAGGAACAGTTTGAGGGAACATTTTGCCATGTTCAACAGTTATCTTTATGTTCAGATATCAATAATTTCAACTATTAGTGTACCTGAATGGCTTATTTTAAAGAAGAAATTAAGTGACTCTAAAACGAGGTTGGAAGCTCTTTTCAGTTCTTTTCGTACACGAAGCCTGTGTTTTAAATATATACACTAGAGTTCGAATACATATTGCAAAATTCTTTACCATTTGTTCCTCTTTTTCAGACATCGACGACTGTGCCTCTGATCCTTGCGAAAACAATGCAACGTGTACTGACGGAGTAAATAACTATACTTGTACCTGTATGGCTGGCTACGAGGGCTACAACTGTTCCATAGGTAAGTTAGATCATTTTCCCTCCTATTCCACCTATTAGTAGAGAAGAAAGTTATATTGTCCTGAATTTAATTCCTTATCTTGCCTTTAACTAGACATCCAATGATCTACGATGATGTTAGAATGTGTTCACTTTCTTCCTGAAAACAAAACCTACATTTTGCGTGAACAAGGGAACATTTTGAGGGAACATTTTGCCATGTTCAACAGTTATCTTTATGTTCAGATATCAATAATTTCAACTATTAGTGTACCTGAATGGCTTATTTTAAAGAAGAAATTAAGTGACTCTAAAACGAGGTTGGAAGCTCTTTTCAGTTCTTTTCGTACACGAAGCCTGTATTTTGAATATATACACTAGAGTTCGAATACATATTGCAAAATTCTTTACCATTTATTCCTCTTTTTCAGATATCGACGACTGTGCCTCTGATCCTTGCGAAAACAATGCAACGTGTACTGACGGTGTAACTAACTATACTTGTAACTGTATGTCTGGCTACGAGGGCTACAACTGTTCCATAGGTAAGTTAGATCATTTTCCCTCCTATTCCACCTATGAGTAGAGAAGAAAGTTATATTTCCCTGAATTTGATTCCCTTTTGCCTTTAACTAGACATCCAATGATCTACAATGATGTTAGAATGTGTTCAGTTTCCTTCCCGAAAACGAGTCCCACATTTTATATGAATATAACCTCGATTTTTAAGAAACATTTTGCCAATTTCAACAGTTATCTTTATTTTCAGATATCAATAATTATAACTATTATTGTACCTAAATGACTTCTTTTAAACAAAAATGTTTAAGTGACTCTAAAACGAAGTTAGAAGCTCTTTTCAGTTCTTTTCGTACACGAAGCCTGTATTTTGAATATATACACAGTTCGAATACAAATTGCAAATTTTCCACCATTTATTTCTCTTTCTCAGATATCGACGACTGTGCCCCTCTTCCTTGCGAAAACGGTGCAACTTGTCACGACGGAGTAAATAACTATACTTGTACCTGTATGGCTGGCTACGAGGGCTACAACTGTTCCATAGGTAAGTTAGATCATTTTCCCTCCTATTCCACCTATGAGTAGAGAAGAAAGTTATATTTCCCTGAATTTGATTCCTTATCTTGCATTTAACTAGAAATCCAATAATCTACTATGATGTTAGAATGTGTTCACTTTCTTCCCGAAAACAAAACCTACATTTTGCGTGAGCAAGGGAACATTTTGAGGGAACATTTTGCCATGTTCAACAGTTATCTTTATGTTCAGATATCAATAATTTCAACTATTATTGTACCTGAATGGCTTCTCTTAAAGAAGAAGTTAAGGTACTCTAAAACGAAGTTGGAAGCTTTTTTCAGTTCTTTTCGTAAACGAAGCCTGTATTTTAAATATATACACTAGAGTTCGAATACAAATTGCAAATTTTCTACCATTTATCCCTCTTTTTCAGTTATCGATGACTACTGTGCCTCTGATCCTTGCGAAAACAATGCAACGTGTACTGACGGAGTAAATAATTATATTTGTATTTGTATGGATGGCTACGAGGGCATAAATTGTTCCCAAGGTATGATACATCATTTTCCTTCTAGGTCACATCACTGTAGAGAGTAAGGTTACATAGTTTTGGTTTGTGATCCTTCGGTTTCTCTCAAAGAGTAGAGAAAGAAGGAGTAGAGAAGAAAGTTATATTAGTTGTATAGAGGGAACCTTTTGCCATATTCAACAGTTATCTTTATTTTCAGATATCAATAGTTTTAACTATTATTGTATCTGAATCGCTACTCTTCAAAAAAAATTAAAGTGACTCTAAACGAAGTTGGAAGTTATTTTTTTTCGTACACGAAAAGATTATGGATATATACTCTAGAGTTCGAGTGCTTATAGTTCACATCATTGTCGTGAATAAGGTTTTATAGGTTTGGTTTAGCCATCCTTTTGTTTCTCTTAAAGAAACAGAAGGCTGTACTCGTATGGCTGGCTACGATGATAAGAACTGTTCCCAAAATAAGTTCATTTTCCCTCCTATTCCACCCATTAGCAGAGAAGAAAGTTAAACTGTCCTGAATTTACCTCCTTAGCTTACCTTTAACTAGACACACATTGATCTATAACGATGTTACAATGTGTTTTTCTTCCCAAAAACGAGATCTTAATCTTGCACGAATAACTTCGGTTTTTGAGTGAAATATTTGCCATGTTCAGCACTTATCTTTGTAAGCAGCACATTTGAGATGTTCGACTTTGATTTATATTTTTCCAGATATCGACAACTGCGACTCTTATCCTTGTGAAAACAATGCAACTTGTGTTGATGAAGTAAATGACTATACTTGTAATTGTACGGATGGCTACTTTGGCAAGAACTGTTCGCAAAGTATGATACTTCATATATTATATCCTAGTCTGTTTCTTTTAAGATATTTCGGTTGCATTCTCGCAAATGGTTTAAAAGCCTTTTCTTATCTCCTGAGTAGATGTCCTAATGATTAAACTCAAAATTGGAATTTGTCTTTCTCTTACATAATGGAAACCTTTATTTCTTATCTTTGCAGCCATATTGAGATGGCAAATTTGAGATGTTCGTCTTTGATATGCATTTCTTTCAGATGTCAACTACTGTGAACCTGAACCTTGCGAAAACGGTGCAACTTGTACGGTTGAAGTAAACGACTATAGTTGTACCTGTACGACTGGCTACGAGGGCAAGAACTGTTCCCAAGGTATGATATATCATTTCCCTTCTATATCATATCATTGTAGATAATGAGGTTACATAAGTTTGGTTTAGCCATTCTTCGGTTTCTCTTCACCGAAATTTTCCGCCGTTTACTTCTCTTTTTCAGATATCGACGACTGTGATTCTGATCCTTGCGAAAACGAGGCAAATTGTACCGATGCAGGAGTAAATAACTATACTTGTACCTGTGTGGCTGGTTACGAGGGCAAGAACTGTTCCCAAAGTATGATACATCATTTCCCTTCTAGTTCACATAATTCTAAATAATAAGGTTACATAGGTTTGGTTTTGCCATCCTTCGGTATCTCTTAAAGAAGAAAAGCATAGACCCTAAAACGAAGTTGGAAGCTATTTTCTTTTCCTACAAGAAATGTATAATTTGGATATATATATACACTAGAATTCGAGCGCAAATTGCAAATTTTCCACCATTTATTCCTCTTTTTCAGATATCGACGACTGTGCCTCTGATCCTTGCGAAAATAATGCAACGTGTACTGACGGAGTAAATAATTATACTTGTACCTGTATTGCTGGCTACGAGGGCTACAACTGTTCCATAGGTAAGTTTGATCATTTTACCTCCTATTCCACCTCTGAGTAGAGGAGAAAGTTATCTTGCCCTGAATTTGATTCCTTATCTTGCCTTTAACTAGACATCCAATGATCTACAATGATGTTAGAATGTGTTCAGTTTCCTTCCCGAAAACGATGCCCACATTTTATATGAATATAACCTCGATTTTCAAGAAACATTTTGCCATGTTCAACAGTTATCTTCATTTTCAGATATCAATAATTATAACTATTATTGTACCTGAATGGCTTCTCTTAAACAAAAATGTTTAAGTGACTCTAAAACGAAGTTAGAAGCTCTTTTCAGTTCTTTTCGTACACGAAGCCTGTATTTTGAATATATGCACTAGAGTTCGAATACAAATTGTAAAATTTTTTACCATTTATTCCTCTTTTTCAGATATCGACGACTGTGCCTCTGATCCTTGCGAAAACAATGCAACGTGTACTGACGGAGTAAATAACTATACTTGTACCTGTATTGCTGGCTACGAGGGCTACAACTGTTCCATAGGTAAGTTAAATCATTTTCCCTCCTATTCCACCTATGAGTAGAGAAGAAAGTTATCTTGCCCTGAATTTGATTCCTTATCTTGCCTTTAACCAGACATTTAATGATCTACGATGATGTTAGAATGTGTTCACTTTCTTCCCGAAAACAAAACCTACATTTTGCGTGAGCAAGGGAACATTTTGAGGGAACATTTTGCCATGTTCAACAGTTATCTTTATGTTCAGATATCAATAATTTCAACTATTATTGAACCTGAATGGCTTCTCTTAAAGAAGAAGTTAAGGTACTCTAAAACGAAGTTGGAAGCTTTTTTCAGTTCTTTTCGTAAACGAAGCCTGTATTTTAAATATATACACTAGAGTTCGAATACAAATTGCAAATTTTCTACCATTTATCCCTCTTTTTCAGTTATCGATGACTACTGTGCCTCTGATCCTTGCGAAAACAATGCAACGTGTACTGACGGAGTAAATAATTATATTTGTGTTTGTATGGATGGCTACGAGGGCATAAATTGTTCCCAAGGTATGATACATCATTTTCCTTCTAGGTCACATCACTGTAGAGAGTAAGGTTACATAGTTTTGGTTTGTGATCCTTCGGTTTCTCTCAAAGAGTAGAGAAAGAAGGAGTAGAGAAAGAAGTTATATTAGTTGTATAGAGGGAACATTTTGCCATATTCAACAGTTATCTTTATTTTCAGATATCAATAGTTTTAACTATTATTGCATCTGAATCGCTACTCTTCAAAAAAAAATTAAAGTGACTCTAAAACGAAGTTGGAAGTTTTTTTTTTTTCGTACACGAAAAGATTTTTGGATATATACTCTAGAGTTCGAGTGCTTATAGTTCACATCATTGTCGTGAATAAGGTTTTATAGGTTTGGTTTAGCCATCCTTTTGTTTCTCGTAAAGAAACAGAAGGCTGTACTCGTGTGGCTGGCTACGATGATAAGAACTGTTCCCAAAATAAGTTCATTTTCCCTCCTATTCCACCCATTAGCAGAGAAGAAAGTTAAACTGTCCTGAATTTACCTCCTTAGCTTACCTTTAACTAGACACACATTGATCTATAACGGTGTTACAATGTGTTTTTCTTCCCAAAAACGAGATCTTAATCTTGCACGAATAACTCCGGTTTTGAGTGAAATATTTGCCATGTTCAGCACTTATCTTTATAAGCAGCACATTTGAGATGTTCGACTTTGATTTATATTTTTCCAGATATCGACAACTGCGACTCTTATCCTTGTGAAAACAATGCAACTTGTGTTGATGAAGTAAATGACTATACTTGTAATTGTACGGATGGCTACTTTGGCAAGAACTGTTCGCAAAGTATGATACTTCATATATTATATCCTAGTCTGTTTCTTTTAAGATATTTCGGTTGCATTCTCGCAAATGGTTTAAAAGCCTTTTCTTATCTCCTGAGTAGATGTCCTAATGATTAAACTCAAAATTGGAATTTGTCTTTCTCTTACATAATGGAAACCTTTATTTCTTATCTTTGCAGCCATATTGAGATGGCAAATTTGAGATGTTCGTCTTTGATATGCATTTTTTTCAGATGTCAACTACTGTGAACCTGAACCTTGCGAAAACGGTGCAACTTGTACTGTTGAAGTAAACGACTATAGTTGTACCTGTACGACTGGCTACGAGGGCAAGAACTGTTCCCAAGGTATGATATATCATTTCCCTTCTATATCATATCATTGTAGATAATGAGGTTACATAAGTTTGGTTTAGCCATTCTTCGGTTTCTCTTCACCGAAATTTTCCGCCGTTTACTTCTCTTTTTCAGATATCGACGACTGTGATTCTGATCCTTGCGAAAACGAGGCAAATTGTACCGATGCAGGAGTAAATAACTATACTTGTACCTGTGTGGCTGGTTACGAGGGCAAGAACTGTTCCCAAAGTATGATACATCATTTCCCTTCTAGTTCACATAATTCTAAATAATAAGGTTACATAGGTTTGGTTTTGCCATCCTTCGGTATCTCTTAAAGAAGAAAAGCATAGACTCTAAAACGAAGTTGGAAGCTATTTTCTTTTCGTACATGAAGTCTGGAGTTTGGATATATACATTAGAGTTCGAGGGCAAATTGCAGCTGTTCCACCATTTATTTCTCTTTTTCAGATATCAACGAATGTCTTTCTGGTCCTTGCAAAAACGGTGCAAATTGTACCGACGGAGTAAATAACTATACTTGTACCTGTATGGCTGGCTACGAGGGCCCCAACTGTGCTGTAGGTGAGTTAGATCATTTTGCCTCCTATTTCACCTCTTAGTAGAGAACAAAGCTATAATGTCCTGAAAGACAAAGTCATATTGTCCTGAACTTAATTTCTTATCTTGCCTTAAACTAGACACACAATGATCTAGAACGATGTAAGAAAGTGTTCACTTTCTGTCCGAAAACAAAACCTACATTTTGCATGAATAACCTCGATTTCCTGTGAAACGTTTGCCATGTTCAACATTTTTTCTTATTTTCATATATCAATAAATGTGACGATGCTTGTACTTGTATAGTTTCTCTTAAAGAAGAAATGCACTGACTCTAAAACATCTTCACCGTTTATGTCTCTTTTACAGATATCGACGAGTGCTACACTGATCCTTGCGAAAACGGTGCAAATTGTACCGACGAAGTAAATGACTATAACTGTACCTGTATGGATGGCTACGAGGGCAAGAATTGTTCCCAAGGTATGAAACATCATTTTTCTTCTAGGTTACATCACTGTAGAGAGTAAGGTTACAAATGTTTGGTTTAGTGATCCTTCGGTTTCTCTCTAAGAAATTTTAAATTTCTTACTTGCTTTTAACTATACACACGATGATCTATAACTATGTTAGAATGTGTTTACTTTTTCCCGAAAACGAGACCTACATTTTGCATGAATAGCCTCGGTTTCCTGTGAAATGCTTGCCATGTTCAACATTTATCTTTATTTTCAGATGTCAAAAATTGTGACTATGCATGTCCCTGTATGGCTTCCCTTAAAGAAGAAACGCAATGACTCAAAAACGAAGTTGGAAGCTCATTTCTTTTCTCACACGAAAACTTGACTTCGGATATATACACAGACGTTCGAGTGCAAATTGTAAATTTTCCTCCATTTATTTCTCTCTTTCAGATATCGACGACTGTAAATCTTATCCTTGCGAAAACGGTGCGACGTGTAGGGATGCAGGAGTAAATAACTATACTTGTACCTGTAAGGATGGCTACGAGGGCATAAATTGTTCCCAAGGTATGATACATCATTTTTCTTCTAGGCCACATCACTGTGGAGAGTAAATTTACATAGGTTCGGTTTAGTGATCCTTCGGTTTCTCTTAAAGAAGAAACGCAGTGACTCTAAAACGAAGTTGGAAGCTCATTTCTTTTCGCATACGAAAACTTGATTTCGGATATATATATATATATATATATATACACAAGAAAAGAGGGATGTACTCGTATGGCTGGCTACGATGGCAAGAACTGTTCCCAAAGTAAGTTAGATCATTTTTCCTCCTATTCCACCCATTAGCAGAGAAGAAAGTCAAATTGTCCGGAATTTAACTCCTTGGCTTACCTTTAACTAGACACACAATGATCTATAACGATGTTAGAATGTGTTTTTCTTCCCAAAAACGAGATCTAAATTTTGCACGAATAACCGGTTTCGAGTGATAAAATTTGCCATGTTCAACATTTATCTTTATAAGCGGCAAATTTGAGATGTTCGACTTTGATTTATATTTTTTCAGATATCGACGACTGCGACTCTAATCCTTGTGAAAACAATGCAACTTGTGTTGATGAAGTAAATGACTATACTTGTAACTGTACGGTTGGCTACTTTGGAAAGAACTGTTCGCAAAGTATGATACTTCATATATTATATCCTAGTCTGTTTCTTTTAAGAGATTTCGGTTGCATTCTCGTAAATGGTTTAACTTTGCACCCATATTTAGGCGGCAAATTTGAGATGTTCGACTTCGATTTGCATTTTTTTCAGATGTCAACTACTGTGAACCTGAACCTTGCGAAAACGGTGCAACTTGTATTGTTGAAGTAAATGACTATAGTTGTACCTGTACGACTGGCTACGAGGGCAAGAACTGTTCTCGAGGTATGATATATCATTTCCCTTCTAGATCACATCCTTGTAGATAATGAGGTTACATAAGTTTGGTTTAGCCATTCTTCGGTTTCTCTTCACCGAAATTTTCCGCCGTTTACTTCTCTTTTTCAGATATCGACGACTGTGATTCTGATCCTTGCGAAAACGAGGCAAATTGTACCGATGCAGGAGTAAATAACTATACTTGTACCTGTGTGGCTGGCTACGAGGGCAAGAACTGTTCCCAAAGTATGATACATCATTTCCCTTCTAGTTCACATAATTCTAAATAATAAGGTTACATAGGTTTGGTTTTGCCATCCTTCGGTATCTCTTAAAGAAGAAAAGTAGAGACTCTAAAACGAAGTTGGAAGCTGTTTTCTTTTCATACAAGAAGTCTATAATTTGGACATATACACTAGAGTTCGAGTGCAAATTGCAAATTTTCCACCATTTATTTCTCTTTTTTCAGATATCGACGACTGTCACCCTAATCCTTGCGAAAACGGTGCAAATTGTACCGACAGAGTAAATAACTATACTTGTACCTGTATGGCTGGCTACAAGGGCCCCAACTGTTCCATAGGTAAGATGGATCATTTTCCTTCCTATTACACCTATCAATAAAGAAGAAAGTAAAATTGTCCTGAATTTTAATTCCTTATCTTGCTTTTAACAATATACACGATGATCTATAACGATGTTAAATGTGTTTACTTTTTTCCCGAAAACGAGACCTACATTTTGCATGAACAACCTCGATTTCCTGTGAAACGTTTTCAATGTTCAACATTTATCTTTATTTTCAGATATCAATAATTGTGACTATGCATGTCCCTGTATGGCTTCTCTTAAAGAAGAAATGCACTGACTCTAAAACGAAGTTGGAGGCTCTTTTCTTTCCGTACACGAAGCCTGGATTTTGTATATATACACTAGAGTTCGAGTGCAAATTGCAAATTCTTCACCGTTTATTTCTCTTTTACAGATATCGACGACTGCTACCTTGATCCTTGCGAAAACGGTGCAAATTGTACCGACGGAGTAAATGACTATAACTGTACCTGTATGGATGGCTACGAGGGCAAGAATTGTTCCCAAGGTATGAAACATCATTTTTCTTCTCGGTTACATCACTGTAGAGAGTAAGGTTACATATGTTTGGTTTAGTGATCCTTCGGTTTCTCTCTAAGAAATTTTAAATTCCTTATCTTGCTTTTAACTATACACACGATGATCTATAACGATGTTAGAATGTGTTTACTTTTTTCCCGAAAACGAGACCTACATTTTGCATGAATAACCTCGGTTTCCTGTGAAACGCTTGCCATGTTCAACATTTATCTTTATTTTCAGGTATCAATAATTGTGAGTAGGCATGTCCCTGTATAGCTTCTCTTAAAGAAGAAACGCAATGACTCAAAAACGAAGTTGGAAGCTCATTTCTTTTCTCACACGAAAACTTGATTTCGGATATATACACAGACGTTCGAGTGCAAATTGTAAATTTTCTACTATTTATTTCTCTTTTTCAGATATCGACGACTGTGACCCTAATCCTTGCGAAAACGGTGCAAGTTGTACCGATGGAGTAAATAACTATACTTGTACCTGTATGGCTGGTTACGAGGGCAAGAACTGCTCCCAAAGTATGATTCATCATTTCTTCCTTCTAAAATAAGTTTTGGAGCTTAAGGTTACATACTCGTTGACTAACATTCTCTGCTTTATCCTAAATGGAGGACAAAATGAATTTAAAGAAACTTGTCGTCGTTCAAAAATTGTTCTCGATGACTCAATGTGATACTAATCCTTACCAAAACGGAGGAACCCGTACAGATTAAACACATGGCTATAAATGTGCATGTGTGGCTGGTTACAATGGAACAGACTGCGAAAACAATCTGATAGTTTGTCAACAAAATTCTTGCTTATCTAGCCAAGTTAGATACTAATGATGAGAATTCCTTTTGGCTCCTGGAATGTTCAATTTACACCTCACATGTAAATTAATTAAGGGAAGGGTGGAAGATCTAATGCGTATATTGTTTGTGTTGTAACCATTATTCAGATGTGGATGAATGCGCTTCCAACCCTTGCCAAAACGGGACCTGTATGGACGGGATAAATGATTATACCTGCAACTGTACAGTCGGATTTATTGGGAAAAACTGCGACCACGGTATGATAGTTTCTTTTAATATTTTGCCATGTGTATCTTACCGCTTTCCAAACGATTTGGATGTCCAAAATGGCATATTTTTGGATAAATCGACGGTTTCTTTCTGCATTTTTTTGTAATTACTAAAAAAAAATCAAATTTTGCGGACAAAATTTAAAATGAATTTAATATTTATTTTCTGCCCGTAAGAAAGTATGTGTTAATAAACACTTTCGAAACTATTTTGAGTTTTCCAAAATAGCATTTTTCGTGAAAAATGGACCTTTATAAAATAATTCAAATAGTACGCGCGCACTGATTGGCCATAAAACCATTTTCCATGAGCATATGTAAACACGGTTTTCGTTCCTCTTTCATTAGTTATTTTATAAAAGAAATGTAAAATGATTTCCGTGTTTACATAGCCTGATGTAAACAGGCGGGAGGTTGGGGGAACACGAGATAAGCGTAGGAAACCACGACGCGAAGCGGAGTGGTTTCCAGCTTATCGAGTGTATAGGCTATGTAAACACGGAAACCATTTTACATTTCTTCATTATAACATAGCGAGCGTGCTAGCACTATATAAGTCTTATTGAACCGCTATGAACAAAATCTTTATTTACGCACGTCCGTGCGTAAATAAGATAACGTGAGCATTTTTTTTAACCTGGCATTAGAGTTTCCGTCCTGTTAAGCTGCAGCGTAGTTTTCTTTTTCTTCGAAATGTGAAAGAAACCAGCGAAGAACTGCCCAATTTTTCTATGCATTGACCTTTTAAGTCCTGATCCAACAAGCAACAAAAATAAAGCCGAAAAAACTCGCAAATTGCACCCAGTTTGTCGGAAGACCAGCTGCAGCAAATTTTGGCCGAAAGACATTCACTGGGAACGAGAAAAGTCACCAATTGGTCATTAACAACATTTAAAGGTAAAATTTCCGTTTTTGTTGTTGTTTTTAAATTTGTTCAACCTGAGGAATAAAGTACACAGTTGTTAATTGTGAATTTACCAAAACCAAAACAATCAAGGCCGCAAAAAATCTAAATGCGACAAATATTTTTGCACTCTATCACAATAAAAGGCTTCTTCGCGCAGATTCTTGTTGTCGCTCTGTTATAAAGGTTTTTAATGTAATGCAGACATTGTGCAAGGTTTGACGTCCGATGCTGCAGAAATTCTGCATGGTATGGCGTCTAATGCTGCAGAAATTCTGAAAGGTACGACTTCAAATGCTGCAGAAATTCTGCAAGATTTGACCGCCCAAGCGTGCAAAAATTCTGCACGCCTTGACGTCCAGTGCTGCAGAAATTCTGCACGCCTCAACGTCCAGTGTTGTAGGACGCGCAGCCGAAGTTTTCTCAATAAAACGAGGTTTAATTTGATCATATGATAACAAATGGTCTTAAAACCTTTATATCATCTACTTCTATTAAAAAGATATTTGTAAATAGAATGAGACAGATGGTACCGTCTTTCTTATTCTGTTTACAAAACATGATGCTATCGACATTGCTGATCCTAGCAGTATACAGGACGCGCGTCATATATGAACTTCGTGATGGGCCTTGCTCACCATCGAGTCTTCGTGCTCAGTAGTAGGGCAACGGAGCGCGGACTCAATTTTTTTTCTTTCTCCCGCGCTCATGACAAGACGAAAAAACATCTTTCGCTGAAAATTATTTTATGAACCCTACATCTCTTACCTCCAATGAAAGTGGAATGCCTCTTCTGGATAAACTTCTCGCAACAGATAAGGAATGTTATGTGCTGTAATACATAGGAAAACAACAAACAAAAAGTTAGAACTATTCTGCCTTTCACCATGTTTAGTTTCATCCATTTTCTTCTCTGTCTTATGGTACTTTGTGCAAAATGCTGAGAAGTTAGAAGGCATAGAAGTGTACGATGAGCACTACCGAGTAGATCTACTGAACGATCTCACTGAAAATTTTTGTTGTCTAACAGTTGATCCTTGCTATACCGATCCGTGTGAAAACGATGGACAGTGTTTCGTGGATGACAACTACGATTTCTTCTGTGTCTGTCCAATTCCTAAAGCCTACGAAGGAAAAAATTGTAGTAAACCAGGTAAGCAATGAGTTGTTTTCTCTTACGATCTCTCCAATCCACCGGGATTCTCGCCGTCGATATCGCGCTTTGCTTAAGGACCCCAACCGAACAAATGGGAAGCAACAGTTTTCCTAGTTGATTACGACTTGAACGGTTTACAGTAACATTTCCATGATTTAAGCATATAACAGCTTACACAACGCATTGCATTAAGCCTCATCTAATTGAGTGGTGGGAAATGAAGGATCCTCATGGCCAACGCGCCGAGCACTACGTATGTAAGGTTTGGGTTTGAGTCGCGATTGGAGGAAATGTTGCGTTGTGTTTCCAGGTGCCCATCTGCATTCAGAAGATTAAAAGGTTACGATGAAACTCGTCTTCGTGAAAAGTCGCTTAGTGGCTGAGGAGGGGTGGGAAGGAGGCTACACTGTACTGGATGAGTTAGCAATATATCCTTTCATGCTAAATGTAGGTTTTCCTCTTGCTACAGCGTTGGCCACTTGGCTCCGAGAACTTGATCCTCTGAACTAATCTCAAACATTTTTCACACAGTTGACTGTTTCTGGAATAAAATGTATCCTTACGGAGAAGAACAGAATGACACGGAGATGGACGTAGGATTGATCCGTGATGAGCTGTGTAAAGAAGTATTGTACGACTATGGTATCTGGTTCTTTGATGACAAGCACTACGTCCTGTATGTAAGTATCATGACTTATTCCAGCCTTTGCTGAAGAGGTGTAATCCTAATTGAAAATCAACAATCCAGAGGGCCTCGTCACTACAAATGAAGAGATTTTTTGGCGGTTATAAAAAGTAGCAAAAAGGAGATTTTTAAAATTGCTTTTTGTTAAATCGGAAATAAAAAAATAGAAAGCAGATAAAAAAAAGGACATGAAATGAAAATAAGAAAACTTATGTTCAATTTTGGAAGGTGTACCAAAGGATACGATGGAATCTCTACTCAGGTGACAATCTAGGGACAAGAAAATTTGTTCCTCTAATGGATCTGACTTATCAAAGGAGGCAACAAAAATAATTGCGTTTTAATAGTATAACTTTGTGCTGCACATTTTTTGACACGCCCAGCAGCTTTCGAAATCCTCTGCAATAAAAACGAGTCTACTTTTAAAACCATTTTCATCAGCCTTTTGGGGGTTTTAACACAGCCAAAAGGTTAACTTCCAACTTCCTTTTAATGAGACCAAAACTAAACAAATGTTTACAACCTTTTCCAGATTTGTGCCAATGGAATGATTCGTTTCGATATAGAATATGTGAGGTACTTCCCAGTTCCAACCTTTGACGTCGAGGAATTCCCGTTCGAAGTTCCTATGTTGTTCCCCTTCTGGTCGAAAATCGACATATACGACTCATTCTGTTCCAGTGAGCAGGACTGCCTTTCTGGTGACATAGATTATGAAAACCGTTCCGCCGTATTCTACCAAGTTTACACGGAAGATAACAATGCATCATATATTCTAGACAAAGCTAGTAAAGACGTCAGAGAGAATTCGAACGACCAAAAGTTCCAGAACTTCAAGGCTTCGTGGGTACTCGTAGTGACCTGGTTACGCCTTCGTCCAGAAGAGGAAGCCGAGGGTGATGCCGAAGAAGGAGTGGTAAGTCTTTCAGAAATACCCATAAATCACAAAGTTTTTTTAAAAATGGAACTGTTCTTCTAACTATCCTCTATTTGCAGCAGGTTGTCAATGCCAGCACTTTTTGACCGAATTCGCATTGACTGCGCACCACATACCATGCGTAACGGTTCATAGAGAATTTGATTAATTAATTGCAGACCTATCATTTAAACGAAACTGAATCAAGCTTAAACGTTAGTGCAGTCGTCGTATAGCATAGCTGAAACCAATTGTTAAACTTTGATTAATTAATTGCAGACCTATCATTTAAACGAAACTGAATCAAGCTTAAACGTTAGTGCAGTCGTCGTATAGCATAGCTGAAACCAATTGTTAAACTTAAGTGAAAGTCTGATGTCGACATAACTTTTAAAAAAATCCTCTTGCAAATATCCAAATATTATTGACACAAAATGTAACAAAAAGTCAACAAGCAATGCGTTTTTTCCTATGGATTTCAGACTAATACATTCCAAGCAGCACTCATCACTGATGGAACCTACACATTTCTGAAGTACCACTACCCTTGCAATTCTCTTCAGTGGGCATCGCCGAAATTTTAGTAAGTACAAAACGAAAAACCGTTTCTAAAACTCCTGCTAAAAGGAGATTCCATGTGTCTAGTTGAGGAAAAGGGCAAATTGGGGCCACACAACACAGGGCTGTAATCTCTAAGTTTCGATACGGAGACCAACGCGCTACCGCGGTGTCTATCGAGCGTTCAGACCTCGTATCACGAAAGGTGACATGTTTTCCTCGCTGTGAAGAGACACATGTAGTTCGCAAACACTTGTAACAAATTAACAAGAAAATTATTTTCTCTTCAGTGAATTGTATCCAGAAGATTTTGGCGGCTATCCTGTAGCAGGTATAAATGCTGGTGATGGAAATCTGGAAGATGTCGAGAGATTCTTTAGTCTCGAAGGGTAAGCTTGTTCAACAAATATGCTGCCTAAACTTTTAACTGGCATTGACCTAACTTCCACCTCGGACGGAGAATTTTTTTTAAATCCAGTTTTACATAATACACAACTAAACTTGGATTGGTTTGCCCCTGAACTTGTCCCAAGAATCTTGCACCGCTCTTTCAACAACCCTTTCAAACAAAACAATGAGTTGCAAATCTAGAAACCAATCTCAATTACCTCCAAAGAAAACTTTCAAACGCGCACCCTCATGAATGCGAGTAGTATTATGTGCAATGAGCGTGCGCTATGACTATCTACAGCATGACTTGAACAACCAGGCTTGGTTTTGGATTTATAATAACTAAATTTGTTGTTACTTCAATTGTCAAATATTGGTTGTTTCTATTTACTTCAAGCTGGTATTTGATCAATCTGTGCACGTAATCGCGGTTCTCTCTTCATAGCTTGAGGTCTGATTGTTTCTTTCTCTAGGTCGGCTTCTCCAGAGATAACGGGTCTCACCCTGAGGAAAGAAAATGCGGACAACAATGGAGAGTATTTCTTTAGAATTGAACGCAGAACAGGAGACGACCCTGAAACAAAATGCAGGAAGTGGTCCGACTGGTCCGAATATCTAAAAAATAATATATCGAACGCTGATGACTTTATCCCAGCTTGTCCCTGTTCGATCTTCCAAGCTTTTTTTTCTCCTAGCTACTTTCTAATTTTCTCCACTGAATCAGACAGCGTTTGTTTTGTTAGCATTTTCGTCTTCCCGTTCAACGAGGCAGCAGGCAACAGTTTCGTACAGGGATTTATCTTTCGAAAGTGTTGCTATTCGATTTTCTTCTTTGGTGCGCTTCTTACGGGAAGTAATGATCCCGGAAGTTTAGAAGTTTTCTATACAGACAAGCCTGAAGATTTACTGGATGATGCCGAAGCGAAACAGGCATGCTGCTTCGACTCTTTCAACTGTGATTTGTACGACAATGTACGCCCCTCAGATGATTGTGAACGTTTCTTTATTCCCCGAAGACGTAAGTCACTAGTTTCGTTGACAGGAAAAGATATATTGTGTATATTTAATCAAACAATAAGGTTATGAGAATACAGGAAACGACCACCCACCCAATAAGCTCTTGATTGTTGAACAAATTCTCCTTGTCGGTACCTTAGGAAATGTATAGGAAACAATATGGAGAATTTGCGTGCTGATTTTAGGGTGTAAAGGGCAAAGTTTCCTGATTTTTCAAGACAAGCACAAAATGTCATATTATCCGAAATGGTCACAGAAACCTCTTTCGGTCCATTTACCAGAGGTGTGACTGTATTTACAAAAGTTCATAATGCAACGATTTTTTTTCATCAAGTTAACAAACCTGCCTTCTCTTTCTAGGTTGGTTTTGGGGAGATCCACACTTTAAAACACTCGACGATAAGGACTACACGTTCAACGGTGTTGGGGAATACACCATGGTTGATGGCAAAAACGGTAAGTTTAAGCTTCAAGCAAGAACGGTACTGGCCCCTGGAAATCGTAGTATAGCTACGGTGTTCTCTGCTGGAGCTGCTCAGGAAAATGGAAGCAGTAAAGTCGAAGTTAGAGCCAAAAGTGGAGGTGAGATTTTTGCAATTCACATCGATTAATCATTTTAGTTGTCTTTGCTTAAAAAGCTGAAATGAATCCAGTAAAAGACAGGATACATATCTTAATGCAATGGAAATATCTCATGTACGCCAGATTCTCTCAGAAGCCTATTTTAACATTTTATCTTTTGTGCATGTTTTTCTCTCCACGTGAAGGTGGATTGGAGATGTATATCAACGGTACACTGTACGACGGGCTCTATAATCTGACAAACATCAGCAAGGAGATCGGAGGAAACCTGAGAGCGGCTCAAAAAAATCCTGGCTGCGTTGAGGTGACCTTCAAGAGTGGATCAGGCGTTGAATTCTGTGAGGCCAAGGGGATGATGTCATTTGTGGTGACCTTGAGTAACGAGTTCCTTGACAACACAAAAGGGCTTCTTGGAACTTACAATAACAATCCAGATGACGACTACACTTTGCCGGATGGGACTGCTTTGGGTCCAAACGTCAATTCCTCTACTATTCATTATGATTTCGGTTTGAAGTGTGAGTATTGGTTTTCCACATAAATGGAAGAATCAGACACTTGAAAAGAGATAACCGAAAAGATGGGTCTGTGGGTCTCAAATGGAAGCTATTTAACAAAAACGAGTAGGGAGACAATCGGGCACTGGGCCTGTACTCTGTTAGACCCACCCTTCTAGTCTCTGGATTCGTTCTAAGTTTCCCCGAGTTCCACTTCTTGGTTGCACTTTGTATATAGCCAGCTGGTCTGCCTCCTGCCGGCGAGGGTTTTTAAACAATGCCAAATCTTTTATTTCTCGAAGTTAAAAACCAACGAAGAAATAAGTTAGACCATCAAAGAAACAAGTCTTCTTATTGGCATAAATGTGCGGTTTTATCCCGTTGACACTTTCTAGTCCAATTTAGTCATCATTTTATTAGCACACCAAACATTCCTATCATAGAAATATTATAATCTAATTACTCTTTAATTTATTAGGGCAAATAACAGCCGAAGAGTCTTTGTTCACTTACGGTCCTAATGAAGGCGTTCACACTTTCGCCAATGCAAGCTTCAAGCCCATGTTTGTCGAGGCCATCAAGTGGGCGGACAATGCCACTGAGCAGGCAGCTAAGGAAGCTTGTGGAGGTGACGTGGTGTGTCTCTTCGATGCTGCTTCTACGAATGATGTTTCCATAGGAACCAACAGCAAAGACGTGAACGTGAAGTTAGTAAAGGAGAACGAAGAACTTGGTAAGCTAAGGAATCGTATGATATTTCATTCAGGATAACTGGCTGGGTTCGCTAAAATATACCCTTGAGATTTATCTTTACGGTGAATACCGCAGATGCGTTTTCTCTACGATATTCCGTTTTCATATCTGCAACACCATGGGTTCTTACGAAGCTTTAGGCCTTTTTAAAAGTGAGTGTCTGACGTATTGAGAACGGAGTAGCCAATAGTCTCCATTTATGTCTGGTAATCACTAGGCTACATCTCGGTTCTGATCCGTACACATATTTGTTTAGCTGGTCAATAACAGGAGTTCCACTTTTTCGTCATAGCAAAAGCATGAAAGATGATCCCAAACATACAAACCACGTGAGTAATAAATAAGGAAAACAGCTTAGGGCTCAAGTAATAGGTTCAAACGTGGTCGTACCTTAGTGGATTCTTCGAAACACTTAGATCAGGATTTTAAGAAAAAGCACGTACAGAAAAGGTTGGATAGAATTTGAAATTATAGTCTTAAATTTAACTTAAATGTTGTCACTCTACAGCGAACTTCCCGCCAAACTTTACTTACGTTCCATCAGTCATCGAAGCCACAGTTGGGGAAGTCCTGTGGGTCAACGTCACAGCTAAAGATAACAACTCCTTTACGTTTAATGTCATCAAAAAGCCACAAGGAGCAACTTTTACCACAGTGAACGAAACTCTACTCAAGTTTACTTGGAATGTAACTTCTAAAGAAAAGGTAAACCTACTCTTATTCCTATCATAACTTAACCCCTTTAACTCGCATGAGTGACCAAGACAGAATTTCTCCTTACAATATCAATACAATATCAATTAGACAGGTGATGAGAAAAAAGAAAAATATAAGTTTGAGGATTTTCTATTTGATTCAGTACCAAAGACTCAGAACTAGTATCATAAGAATTGTATAGCGAACAGTAAGGAGAAATACTAATGAGATCTTGGGCGTTAAAGGGCTAACACATTAATGTGGTGTTATCCTTCAGGTCAAATTCACGTTCACGGCAACAGACGAGTTCAACGCCTCCGTAAGCTTCACACCCACTATCAAAATGTGCGCCTGCGAAAATAATGGCCAGTGCGTCAAACCAGCGCAAGGAGACAAGTTAAATAATGACAGTAAATTCATAATCCAAGGTTGCACATGTAAACCGGGATACACCGGCAGGTTCTGTGAGAATGACATTGATGCTTGCAAAGTGAACGGAAACCCTTGCTTCAAGGGCGTCAACTGTACCGATAAACCGGCGCCGGCTGACTTAACAGGTTATACCTGTGGAGACTGTCCAACTGGGTATTCCGGTAACGGCATCAAATGTGCTGGTAAGAAAATATGTAGGCTTTATTTTTAAATTTTTGCAAAGTTCAAATCATCCTGCGGTAGAATTTGATCTTTGTTTTCTATGTTCCACGCAGTTAACAAATGTTTTACTTCTCTCTGTTCTATTTTGGATTTACAATGAATTGTTCGCTATTCCATAACATTTAATGAGTGTAACAAGATGGCGTATTTATTTTTATGATGAATTTCACTATGATTCGCCATGATTCTATGCTGATGCGATTCCAAAGAGTCTATGGCAAAATAACCCCTATCAAAGACTACGAATTCTCCAATAATTGTGTTTCAGAGCCAATTATTTCAAGCTTCTTCATAGAGTTTTTCGGTTTTTTTTTGTCGTATGTAGACATCGACGAATGCAAAAACAACTCGTTGAACCAATGTGAACAGGAATGTGTCAATAACCCTGGTTCATATAGTTGCAAATGCAAATCTGGCTACAAGTTAAACAGCAACGGCTTCGCCTGCGATGGTAAGTTGAACGGAGATTGAAAAACCCGGAGGTAAACCTTTAAGTAAAAAGTAATCGTTTCAAGCAAACAAATAGTACAAGCTCTGTGAAGCGATAACGCCTAGTCACTCAATTTTCAGCTTTCTTTATCACAGTATAATTGCTAGGAGGAAAAAAATATGGTGCGTATTTTTATTCTAAGAAGTTCGAAGAGCTGACTGAAATAACTAATCGTACGTCGCTTATTCACGATAACTTACATGATCAACAAACATGTTACAGTGTTACTCACCGATTTTGAATTCATTTCAACGCGACGTTTTCTCAGACAAGGAGCTCGATAATTTTCGCAATCTGGTTTCTTGCTGAACATATTTCTTATGACTCATTTATTTCCTCAGACATCAACGAATGTGAGCCCGTTAATGATTGCATGCACCAATGCAACAACACGGCAGGAAGCTACAAATGTTACTGCAATGAGTTCTTTGAGGTTGACCCGGGAGACCTTAAAGCCTGCAAACGTAAGTTGAATTGTAACGCGCTTCATTAGTCCTATATACATGATTGTTCTGGAATGAAATTTTTTCTTCAAAACTTCCAAGTCATTTTTACTTGTAACTAAAGCTCACCTTAAGGTTGATAATAATTAGAAACCTATGGAGATCTAAGCATTAGGGTTACACTGATAAAGTTGTTCCTTTTCCCACAAAAATGTACATGAAATAATCCTACATACTGCTCAAGACAGGAAAATAGCATTTACACAAGATTAAACAGACTGAATCCTTTCCATCTTTTGCTCCAGCGACCAATCCTTGCAATAACAGCGATTGCCAAATCTGTTTTATAAAGAAAGACAACAAAAAAGCTTGTGACTGCAAAGCAGGATTTAAATTAGCTAGTGACGGCAGAACATGTGAAGGTAAGTTAAATAATAAATAGCATCTTTAGTGCACTCACATGTCAAATTTTTACACCAACAACCAATATTTTAGTTTTGGATGCCTCGATTAGGGGCCACTGATTAAACAATTGCTTAATGGGTCTTCGTATCCGTAACGTCCATTGAAGGAAACGCCTATCAAAAGGATACTTGGCAAGGTCTTACTTATAGATGCTAAATTGCAATTATACGACGATGAAAATTGTCCTGAAGATGAAGGCCGAGAAACAACAAAAGATTAGCGTTTCAAGAAGGTAAATGCCCAAAACGGGAAGAAGGAGCGAACAAAATGGAACGGTATACTTAGGGAAGTGGAAGACTAATCGTGAACTCAAAGGAAACAACGATAAAAATCTTAGTTTTAATTTTGAGATGTACACATACCACGCCCGACGAGGCCCATTGAAGCAAAATTGCTTTTGGACAGTTACATCGTGCGTGGAATATACATAATAAAAACCACCCAACCCTTTGTTACTTTGTCGTAGATATTGACGAATGCAAGATCGACGGTATCAGGTGCACACAGAAGTGTGAGAACAAAGATGGTGGATACGATTGCAAGTGTTATCCGGGATATCAGCTCGACGCAGATGGCTTCACCTGTTCTGGTCATAAGTCTTAAACTTGTTCAGAATTACTACAGGCTAAATAGTATCAAACTAGTCCGTATCGACCTCATTCCAACGGCAATCCATTTTCCCTTTCAAGAGACACCACATGGTTCACGACTTAGAATTAGTTACTTTTAGATCCTTCTTGCAGAGCGGGAATGGCGCAGTGGCGAGAGCGCTCGTCTCCTACCGCTGTGGACCGAATTCGATTCCCCGATTGAGTTTGTTTTTGGTTTGTTGTTTGTTCTCGTTCTTGCTCCGAGCGTTACTCTCCTCCTTTTTCTTCCCTCCACAAAAACCAACTTTAAAAAAATTTCAATTTGACCTGCAAACAGTGAACAAGAAGAGCTACCTCGTAAAATTTCAACTGCTAAGCTCCCATTCCCATCATTATCACCGGAAGTAATCTGGTGTTATGATGGGTATTCCTCTGCTATCTTCTCATGCAAAATCTTGTTTAATTTTCCAAAACAGAAATTGTTGTCTGGTTTATGCAAAAACATCATAGATGCTCGTGCATGCATGAATGCAAAGCCAAATTTAAAATAAAATAATATGTTCGAATGACGACACGTTTTTAACACGTTCTGTTTGGAAGTCGATTTGTACTTTACAAACCATCATGTCTGCCGTTTCCAATTTGAGTCCTTTGACTTAAGCGCAAAAAGTAATATTTGGCTTGAGGAACTTTATCGGCTGTAAACAAAACATGAACTTGGTTTTTTTTTTTCAGATATCAATGAATGCTTAAACTCATCATTATTCAGTTGTCCTGGCAAATCGCGTATCTGCGAAAATATCCCGGGTAATTACACATGCAAGTGCCAGAGCGGACTGTTCTACATAAACAATACGTGCACAGGTGAGAAGCGACACCAGAATTATTCGTTACATGTGGTAACGAATAACCTCTTAACCGTCGTGAAGAGAAGTCAAGGTCTTAAATTGTGAGAAATCGCTTAACTGATTTTCGTGGGATACTCGCCCTGAGCAATGGATGAAAATCATTGTCAATCGATGCCTGCCATGTCGGCATGAGTTAAATTCAGCAGATTTTGTTGATCATTACTATTTTTAATTGGTGTAAGTGGTTTATTATTTTCCAGTTGCTTCGATCGATTATTATTACAACGATGAGAAATTTAACACAATAAAATCTAATCGATCACAGAGAAAAAAACCAACAGAGAAATATAAAAACCACCAGTATAGAATAAAAGGGTCAAAAATTCAAACAACCCCACAAAGGCTCTGAGACTCGCAAACTGTTATTCTCTTACAACACTTAACCTTGATCTGTTTGGTGATTTAGCCCTCAAACCAGGAGAAAAACCGCCGGAGCCGACAGTCCCAACGCCAAAGGAAGCATCTGAAAAAGAAAAAGAGAATGCGATTGAAATTACGCTACAAAATATGGAAAAGAAACAGGTAAACAACAGTGCTAGGACGTTTTCATTTTAACTTTCCTATCCGAGATACAAACGACAGACCTTTGCGGTGTTCATCTCCCAATTTTTGAGGGCTATTTAGAAGTGACAGGATAATACTAAAACCATGTTGTTGTTTCCGTTTTTTTTTCTGATAACTGAGTTGCTGTGAAGGACGCAAAGATGTGATCAGGGGACTTTTCTTGAGATTTCCCTTTGCCAATTTATGTAATCTTCAAAACTATACTCCAAACCACCTAATTTAATAGTACTTGCTGTACCAATAAGATTGTCTAGAGTTACTGTCTTTCGTAGCCGTTCTTTCTGATGGCAATATGAGAATAACTTTACCCACTTATTTGTCGCCTTTTTATATGTAGTAGGATGGTACGGAATGGTTTTACATTAAGGTGTCATATCGAACTGCCTCTGGTGTATATTACTCTGTCCACCTCATGTGCTTGTTGTGTTTCTATTCGCAATTTACAGTACAGCGCATCAGTGGATGAGAAGTTCAGAACAACATGCGCTAAATCTGCCGACACTTTCTGCCAAAATAATAAATCAGCATGTGGGATAACAAGCAAAAGGAGAAGGTACTTGTCTTAAAAATGTGTTAAAGAAATAGGAAGAAATTTTTCATGAAAACTTCCAGTGTATTAGAAGCAAAGTACCTATTAGGCTCCATATTGTGCTCATGCTTAACAAGGCAGTTAAGCGCTTTTTCCGCCGAATGATCATTGTATAATATACGAAAGACGCCTATCCATTCTCCACTGTGTTGAAGATTAGTACTTATTTTTACCAATTTCCTTAACTTTCTTGCAGGCGATCCGCAGCTTTAATTACCAAAGATAATGTTCATTTACTACCAGGCTTCCCGAAAGAGGAAGGCAACTCCTTGAGGATTGCGTTCTACATCTTACTACCGTTATACCTTACGAGTGGTGGCGTCATTCCGGTGAATGCCCTCGAAACTGTGATAAAAAACAACCAGGCAGAACTGGAGCGAGTGCTTGGAGTTCCAATATCTGAAATCAAGTCTGCTATCGCGCTCACAACCCCAAGTTCACCCACGACCACATCCAATATGACCACTGCACCTCCAAACATAACAACTCGATCAGTTACCATCGCCACCACGGAGAAGACAAATGACGACTGGAAGTGGATCGTTATCGGAGTCTGTGTCGGAGTTTTGGTCCTCGTTCTAATTGCTGTCATCGTCTTCTGTGTGTAAGTTCATTCATAAGATAACTGAGATGCTACGAGCTCCCTGATTGGTCAAAAACCAATGATTCACTGCACTGGTAAAGCCATAGTTATTTTATAACTATAGGTTAAATTTCACTAGTGTTCTCTTAACACCCCACGTGGGTTATTACGCTGTTATACCAATACAAAGTGCGGTTTATTGCTTTTAAAAATAAAAATACTGTTGATGGAAAGGCATCAGTACACGAATTTTGGGTGCATAGCCCTCTAAACGTAGGTAATTGCTAACAATTGATAATCAATGATTGCAGAAAAACGCCTTTCACGAGACTGAAAACATCTTAGTAAATTTACACAAAATCAAAAGTACGGTAGGGACGGGAGATCTCTACGAAACCACCAAGGAAGACCATCTCGGTTTTTAATAAAATTGTAAATAAGATGTAAATATGCGGCTTCCCAAGTCAGACTCATTTCATGAGAAATTTAGTCAGCTTTTTCCTTCTTTTTTAATGAAGAGAAGCTTGTCGAACCAGCGATCGATATTGAGGGGAAAATTCCAAACCGTGGTAGACTATTGTAAACTGTGTAAGATAAGTAAATTGACTGTTCATTTGTCATGACTGTAAATTTGACCAGTTCTGGTCAAATCCATATTAATGATTTTCCCGTCGGGAGCTTTGTCTTCCTTTTATGTTATCACCCTGTACTCCAGATATTTTACGCTGGTTTAATGATTCTAATGAAAGCTCCACGCATGCTTTATCCTGGTATGTAGTATTGAATCCAGCTCATGCACAAATCTTCCTTCATTTCTCTTCAGGAAAAAGAAAAAGCATACAGCAAAAATAAGCAGTAGCCACCAAGCTTTAAATGCATCAGACGAAAATTACAACCGAGGGGCTGACAATCACGGACACGAAATGACGGTCTATCACGGACAGCAGCCAGTAGTATGAACCACACGAGTCTAACCCACAAACTCTTGCAGTCACCACAAACACTGTTTGTGGTGACTGCAAATGGACTTTCAGGATCGACAGATTTACAAAAGCACTTATAAAAATGAGCACAAAACATGTGGGACGTCGATTTGGAGAAACTTAAAACTTAAAAAGTTTATCGAGCCTTTGTGACTACTTCTAATACTCTGCGGTGTCCAGAGGGTTATTAACTGTTTTAAGTTGAAGTTTTGATTAAATGGGCTGTTAAGCTAAGTATGGCGATCCTTCAGCATAGAAAAGCAACGATACACAATCGAAAAAAACTCAAAAAAGAAGACCTAATTATATATAACATGATTTCTGAACTAAGTCAAAATGCAAAATGAACTAAGTTACAACTTAACTTCATCCGGTATGAAGTACTATCAACCATTGTGAGAATGGTTACGAAGCTAATTGACCATTGAAAAATTGAAAGACAAATGAATATTCTGTAAGATTTATGTTAACGACGTTAACTTCAGCTGGTAGAAAGCTCTTCAACCCCCAGTAGACTCATCACACCGAAATATCGTAAAATTCAGTTTCAAGGTATTTTGCAGTTCCAGCAGCAACCACTCGAAAGATGCCTAAAGCACCATAAGCCACGCAGGAGGTTTTAGGCTCAAGTCCATAAATTTTGCCGGTAAATAGCTGACTGGCTCATGTTTTGCCAGTCTGATTTTTCACAAGTCACGTATATATCATGATGAAAAATTTGCCTGTGTGAGTAGTTTCATTTGTGTAACAAGTGTTTCCGTAAAGATGTTTAAGCACAAAGAACTAAAATTGTACTTACGCTTTCGACGCAAAAATAAATCAATAAACTTGATTAAAGTTCCTCCTATGACTTTTGAGAAGCTAAATATCATAGAGTATGCGCTTTTAGGGGGCTTGGTTAAAGTTCGGCACAAACTGTGAAAATAGTGTCGCAAACATACACTCATACGTTCGACACCATACTAAAAAAAAGCAATCGTTGACTAACCCCCGCCCCCCTCTCCCTTACCCTGCCTCTCTGTGGTGCATTGCCTTCAATTTAGAACAGTAATGCACACATTTGAAAGCGCTCAATCTTGCGCCAGATTGTACAAGATACTTATACATTTTTAGAAGAGCTCAAAAGTGCACTGAATGTTTTTCCTTTGTATTGCTAAAGAATCGTCTCCATTCTTAAAGGAGGGTCCCCGATAGGTTTTACGGGATCCGGGATTAGGCTTATCTGAAGCCCGGGATCCGGGAAATAATCACCTTAACGAACCGAGAGCCGGGAAGTCCGTTGACGCGAATTTTAAGTCCAGAAAAGTCTAGCCTCCCACGCAGTCGTTTTCAGGCGATCGCGTTTCACTTCTAGCCACACAGCGCGAAAGTGAAACTCAATCCCCTAAAAACGACTACATGGGAGGATAAAAAAAAGCCGCACAAAGGTTGGCATTCTTATCGAAGCACGTGCCAGGTACACAACCTTTGCCTTTTGCTGTTTTTTTCTTTGCAACCCCTTGGTGATATCTGGAAATTCTTAGCCTTGCCCTGTCCTGTAATAGTGGCCTTTGATTTCTTGGTGACCGAATAATTTAGTAATCGGTGCGAGAAAAATAGAGGCTGTCCGCTACTATCGAAAGCGATGAGTCGGACTTGGACATAGTGGACGTAATACTTTGTGTGGCAGTCTTTTACGAGAAGGGGAAGAGCGGAAGTTGCTTTCTACGGAAAGAAAAATTTCGGGCTCAGCCTTCACAAAAGGTGGTCTCTTGAAAGGCTCTCAAGGAAACAGTTAGGTAAGTTACGTTTTTTGTAGTTACCATGTTAGAAAACCTATAGAAGAAACCCAAGAAGGCTGTGTCAGATATCGTAGAAGAATTAATAAAGGGAACAAGACACCCGTCTTTGTCTTTGGTTATAACATAACCGGACAGTGTTCACGTCGGCAAAAGTCTCAAAGCTTGTTTTGCTAATTGGTGAAAGCGAGAGGGGCAATCTGGCAATTTTGAAAACTTTAAAAAACAAGGCTACTCCTAAAGTTAGGAAGTTTCTACCCCGAAATGACCCTAGACGTGGAGAATATTCACTCGGTTGTGCACCACAAAGATCCACTTTGCACAATGTTGAACTATCCGAGAAACTTTGGAAACGCAGCCAAGGAAGGCTTGAAGAGGACAACCCATTAGGCGGCGTATTATTTTACAAATCTGAAGTCTTGGTATGCTGTACCCGAACGAGCTGTGATCCTGTCAGCCATACCAGTAGTTCGACCGTTACCACCTGTACCGATGGCACCACAAGGCGTACATAGGATAAGGGACTGGGCGCAAACACTTGGTGCTGCCGTGCGTCAGCGTTCTGTCAAACAGGAGACAACAATGGCAAGAGTTGGAACTCTCCCATCGTACCTATATAAGAGAGAGATTCAGCCGGGTGAACCGGTCAGCCTCGAACGCTCTGACCTCGAGGAGCAGCAAGAAAAAGACGAAGAGGAAGATGGGATGTTAGAGTACGATTCCCCGCGTAGTGATGAAGAATCGGCCCACGACGAGACCGCATGTGACGTTGGCGGGATTCCATCTTTGGAACGAGAGGCGAATTTTCTTTTCGGAAGAGTTTCTCGCTTCGGAAGAAGTATTCACTTCAACAGCAGAATTTTGTTGAGTTAATTTTTCTTTATTTTTCTTGTTATGGAACTATGGGATTGCCGTCACCTTTTGTTTTTTTTATGCTTTTGTTGACATTGTTATTCGTCTCTTTGATATTGACCTGTCTCTACTAATACGCTTTTCCGTGATCGAAGTTAAACAGAAGGAAGTCGTGACTGTGGCTAGTGTACGTTGTTCGTGCAAAACTTCGAAAACTTCTAAAATGAACAGTAACATCTTTTTGGTGAAAAAAAAAACGGATCAATACTGATTGAGAAAATTATCACCCACGGAAAAGGCCCCTTTAATGACTGCCAATATATGAAAATCATTTATATGTGAACTGCAGTTGAAGAAATTACTATGAAAGCGATCCTCGCAGTTATGAATACAACTTAACTAGTCGTAAAAATAGGCCCTGAAAGAAAATCAGGCCCGTACGGGATTTGAGCCCATCACCTGTGCAATACCGGTGTAACGCTCTACAAACTGAGCTAACAAGCCAACTGGGAGCTGGTCGTGATGTTGTTTTAAAATAAACCCTCCAAGTGGTGAATAAATGACTGCAAATATATGAAAATCATATCAATGTGAATTGCGGTTGAAGAAACGAATATCAAAGCGATCCTCGCATTAATGAATACCTCTTAACTGGTGGGCCCTTTTTTGGTATTGGACTAAGAAAAAAATTCATGAACGGGATCGGGATTCGCCTGTGTAAATCATCGGGATTACGGGATTGAAAGAAAATTTTAGTCGGGATCGCGGGATTGAAGAACCCTATTGGAGACCCCCTTAAGGACCATGATTATGTATTGATGTTTTTCCGCTTTCCACTTCCGTTCTCGGTTGTTTCCTGTGAAAATTCTCTCTGCCTCACGGGAGCTTTCAAACCTCTCTTGTTATGCCATATTTCTTTGATTTGGAGGTAGGTGTTAGCATGATTTGTAAAGCTACCTTCAATTGAATGTCGAAAGTAATCCGAGATTGCTTTGGTTTAACCCTTTAACTCCCAAGATCTGATTGTTCAATCTCTCCTCTAGCTGCTACAAATTTCCTTATAAATTCGTTTTGAAAATTTGGTGTTAGATCAAAAGAACAACTTCAACCTGATAAGTTTAAGCAATCCCACTACCAGTTTGCTGGATAATGTGTGGATATTACAATTGATTATGTTAATCACTTCTGAGAGTTACGGGGTTAAGTCAACTTTGCTCTGTGATTGGCGCAAAAAACTCGAAACTTCCACTAAAGCTATCAGATGCAAAACTAAAAACAATTGTGACTTGCAATTAGTCAGTTGGATTTTTTTTCCCGCGCTTCAAGCAGTTTCCTTGTCTTTACTTTGATTCCTGATTGGTTAACAATAATGCTAACCTTTGTTCTGATTTGCCTCTGGGATTACTTTGTTTTTTAATTTTTCGGCACTCGATTGAAAGTGCTTTAATAATGGCCCTTATCGCCAAGATTGACCAAATTCATACATTAAACATGCGTGGCAGCAACCACGTAATATTCGCCCTCAAGGACACACCATGAGATTAATATAGTTCTCATTTGCTACTGATAAACGTTTGGTACCAGTATGCAATCAAAAATGAGAAAAAAAATCAAATTTTGATGAAACCCCTTGTAGAAGATTTGTTAGATATGAAATGCCCATTTCTATAATGCTGTTTCCCTGAAAGATGCGACTTCCTACCAACATTTTCTCAGTCATCAGACCAAAGCAATTTTGCGCGCCTTACACCATAGTACGTAATATTCCGATTTACGCCTCCAACTGCCCTTCAGATCATATTAGACCTCTTTTGTAGGGAAGGTTCAAGTTCAACCCCTTTGCCGCCATTTCAATACAACTTTCCCTGTTATGTTGGGATTTCTACACCAAAAACATCATAATACGCAACAAGATTCTTTTTTTTTTCTTCCATTTCACTGAAAACCAAATCATAATTTATATTTTTAATAACCAACTCTGCGAATTTTAAGTATACCGTCTCTCTTACTTCCTACACTCCGATATTGAAACATTACTTTGCATATCTTCATATGATAACATAAGGTTATAATTGCTAAGCGTTCTTTTAAGTTTACTACACTTAAATGTCAAATAAACTTCCTCTCATATAGAACACAGACAGAATTTCCTCAGTTTAAGAAGCAGAGTTGGAGCCTTGTTTACGTTCGAAGTTACCGCAATGGAACCCAAACTTCCGCAAATACAACTGGAACGAATCATGTATAAGCTTTTTAAGGCATAGAGTACCTTTCCCATTCATTAAGAGACTTGGTGGGTGAGGAAGGAAGAGTTATTTCGCAGTTTGCGGACTAATGAAAAAACAAACATAACAATCAAGTAATTTGGCTAAAAATGTTGCTCAAAAGGGTTTCATCCAGATCCAGATGCAAACTCATACGAGAAGGCGCGAAACTTTCGACCCTTCAACATTTGAAATTATTCATATCATGGACTTCAATACATTAATCTTAAGTACAATGTCGATTGAAAGACACCTTTTTATTTTGTTTTGTTTTTTTCAAGGTTGATTTTCGTGAGAGCATGCATGTATCAGGTATTCACAAGGTAATCAAACCTTTTGGTAACGATTTTTGATGCGTATTTGAGTATTAAAGATGTTTCACAATATCGCTTTCGTTAAGTGTAAAAACACAAAGCGCCATTAAGATGTTGGCCCTTGGTTTGAAGCTTTATATCTAACGCCATATGCGCGCCAGAGTAGTATTGATTCCAACTGAGAAAGGTCTTGACCAAAGCGTTTAGTCACAATAGAGAACGATTTCACGCGTTCCATTTCCTTTTTTTTCTGCACTCAGGAGAAAAATAGAACAATTTTTCACCAAAATTACGATTTTACCTACCTTTGTTTAAGGGTTATCTAGAATTTTCAGCAAATGAATCATGTGACTAAAATTTAGAGAGAAAGAAATCGGTTGGAGACATTTTCTTCAATTTAATCCACTGAGGAGCTTCTTATTTGCAAAAACCTGCTCTTCAATGACAGAGAGACAACCCAATTTCCGCATCGACGAAAATCTTACTTTTAAAATGTTAATTGCGATACGGCTTGCCTATTCAAATATCGTTCCAAGGCACCCCACATTACGGGTACCTTTTTAAAGATAAATATCCGTTACGTCGGCAAAAGAAAACGGATTGCTTCAATTAAAACAGAGTCTTAATCGCCAG